GACCAAGACGTCGATGCCAGAAAAACAAATCCCTATTCTCTGAGGCAATGAGACAACGAGAAGGACCAGGAGCAGAAGAGTCGAAGTTAGCAAAGAAAACTCGACCAACTCGAGAAATGTCAAAAACAGGAGATTCAGAAGCATCAAGAACTCGAGACCTGTCCTTTTTGAAACGAACTTCCAGATTTTCATCACAGAGTTGTGAAACAGAGAGCAAATTGTACTTAAGCTTACTTACTAGTGCCACATCTTTCAGCATGAATTTGTCATTGACCTTGATTGTTCCTTTAGCCATCACGCGTCCACTGCTCGCATCCCCAAAAGTGATGGTCTCATCACTGGATGCACGAGTGAGAGAAGTAAACCACTTGGCTTCACCGGTCATGTGGCGTGAGCAACCGGAGTCCACAAGCCAAGAATTACTTCTCCCTACTCCAAAATCCTACAAGAAAGACACAGCAGATCTCGATGATTCAGTACTGGGGTTAGTGAAAAATGACTTAGGAATCCAGTACTGAATCATGCGAGAAGTACAAGCATCTTTAGTGTTATGAGCAGAATTATATGCAAGATGACCATGTCTGTTTTGCCCCAACCCTGCTAGGTCACGTCGAGGGTGCACATCTCGGCGAGGAAAGCGAGATACACCACTTGAACGACAATGACACGCACACTCGAACCTCTCAGGGACTCTAGTAGCTCTTCTAGTCCTAAGACGTTCTTGTCGCTCTTTTCTAGCCTTTCTAAAGCAGAAACCTACCAAATGACCAGCTTTCCCACAATAGGTGCACTCATACTTGGTTTTCTCTACAGGCTTGGTTTGTCTCTGGTTTTGCTTGTGCTCAACTTGTTTTGGATTTTTGGGTCTAGGTAACTCTACAGGCTTAGACTTGCTAGTCATAGGTACCATCTTTGGTTCTGAGGTTTTGGGTGTACTAGAACTAGTGTTTCCAATGAAACCTGCAGACTTGAAGGTTATAGGTTTTTGAGCTAGTTCTATCATCCCATCTGTGACACCTAAAATCTCATGGGTACCTATCCTCAAAGACTCAGCAAAATCATAGCCTATACCTTGATTGTTTATGGACACTTTGGATTGGTCTAGGATCATGTTCAACTTTTTCTTTCCTTGAGCAAACCTCTCTAAAGATTGTTGTAGGTATGAGTTCTCTTTCTTAGCAGACTCAAGATCAACTTTCAGAGAAATGCATGAAGAACAAGAATCAATAGATTTGATAGAATCAATGACAGTTTTAGCATCTTTTAGTTCAGTTTCCAGGATAGCACAATTAGCACATGAAGAATGAATAGGTTCCTTAGTAGCAAAAGATTCTAACAAATCATTCTTGGTCCTAAGCATGGCAACTTGTTGTCTTAATTCATCATTGTCACTAGTGAGAATGGGACAATTTTCACACCTACCAATCCTATCATGAACAAATTTTTCTTTTAGTTCTTTCAATTCCATCTCAAGCAAACCCATATCAACTTTCATTTCATAGCAAGTAGAGCAAGCAGCACTAGCACTAGAAGGATTCCCAGCTCCTAAAGCACATGATTTCAACTTATCCTTGAGGAGATTAATTTCAGAAAGATATGAAGCACAAGTAGAACAGGTATCCTCCTCAGGAATCATGGATCGAAGCCTAGCAATTTCTAGCGCCATTCCATCATTTTCAGATTTTAGTTTCTCAATTTTATACTTAGAAGACCTATACTTATCACTAATTTCAATCATCAAGTGTGCCATTCTTTCTTTGCTTAGTTCATCATCAACAGAGTCATTATCTGAGCAAGAATCATCACAAAGAGAACCATCCAAGGAAGGGATATCATCAAGACATACCTCAGGATGCTCCGATGAGTCATCCTTATCCTCAAGCGCCATGAGACACAGGTTGATGAAGTCCTCGTTGTTGGCGAGACAGCACATCCCGGAGAAGTCCTTGTCCCCCTTTTCTTGATCATCGTCGTCGGAGTCGATGTCGCTAAGCTGCACCTCCTCAAGAGCCGCCAAGACCTTGTGGATCGCCTTCTTCATCAAATCCTTCTTCCCCTTTCGCCCTTGTCCCTCGGGCTTCTTGATCGTCTTGTCACTCTTCTTCTTCAACTTGGGACAATTCACTCTTTTGTGGTTAGGCTCTCCACACTCAAAACACACAAATGGTTCATTGGTTTTTCCTCTTTTTCTATCTCTCACATTTTTGTAAGCTCTTGAGAATTTTCTAGCAAAAAGAGCAAGATCATCTTCAGGGATCTTCTCTAATTGCTCCTCAGTGACCGAGTGTAAAGCGGCAAGAGAGAAGCCACCATACACAAAGGCTGAGTCATTAGAAGAAGTACTACCAGAGGGATCAGCTACCAAAGCCATCGAGTGTTTGAGGCCTTTCCGATGGAAAACATCCATCTCATGGGTTTTTAGCTTTGAGTAAAGCTTGTCCATGGTAAGGTCACTCAGAGGTGCACTCTCTGTGATGGAAGTAACTTTCATTTCCCAAACACCATAATCAAGACAATTCAAAAGATGGCGAGCATTATCATTATCAGAAAATTCTTTTCCAACAGATCTCAACTTCGAAATAATTTCTCCAAAACGTTTGAAATAAGAATCAATGGACTCTCCTGGGTGCATCTCAAATCTTTGATATTCTTTATGAAATTGATTCTGACGAACCAATTGAATATCATTGTTTCCCTCATGGAAATTGCACAGAGCAGTCCACATGTCATGAGCGGACTTGTGGTGTTGAACACGATTAAATTCACCAGAAGAAATTCCACCAATGATTGCATTTCTTGCACGATAATTAAAATCAACCTGAGCCATATTTGCAGGCGTGATGTCAGCATCATCGGGCACAGTATAAGGAGATTTAACCTTATTCCACACATTATGCCCTTGCGACTGGAGGTAGGCCTCCATTCGTGCCTTCCAAATGACAAAATTGTGTCCATCGAAAACAAATGGTTTCGCAGAGTATTTTTCCTCCATAGCTGCGTTCGTTGCCACGGTTAGGTTACAACGAACTTAACCGGGCTCTGATACCAATTGAAAGACCAAGAACAGCTATAGAGGGGGGGTGAATATAGCAATTCAAATCTTGCCCCCGAAAATACTCATCAAGCCGGATTTCTCAAAATCCTTACTAGAATCGCGGCTATTAGAGAAGCCGGATCTAGAAAAGAAGAGAGAAAAAGAAGAGAAAAGGAATTCCCGAAACTAGAGGAGGAAGAGAAAAGGAATTCCCGAAACTAGAAGTGAGGTGAGAAAGAGAGAGCAAAACTCATCATCGCAAAGTTCAAATTGCAAGCGGAATTTAAATTGCGGAATTTAAATGGACAAGGCAAAAATGAAATCCTTCAAATCATTTCATTTATAGGTGATGCAAAATAACCGCTCAACTAGGAGCAAACATACACCTTCAGAGGAACATTAACACAAACTTAAAATCTCTCGGACAAACACACTCCAAACTAATCCTAATACAAAAGCCTCTCGGGCAAACACACTCCAAACTCACACGGAAACTCTCTCACCGAGCATCTCAAAATGATTACCAAAAGGAGCGACCTCCACCCTTGCATCCATCTCTCTATTTATAGCCTAAGACCCCTAAGACATTGTCTCAAATACCCCTAGGGCGAAACCCTAACTCAGAACAGATCTGGTCCATCCATTGTTCCTTCTACTCAAAGGAAAAGCTCCAGATGATTGCCACCTCATCGATCCGAACCCTCACATGGTCTTCTTGCTGATGAATCCGCGTGCTCTCCGTCTTGACGAATCCAAACTTGCCACGTTGCCCAGCCGCGTCGTGCGCGTTCCGTCTCCTTTTCCTCAGCGCGCGCTCGCCAGCGCCCAACCAGCCCGAAGCCGCCACGCGTCCCGCTGAGCCGCTCCCGCGCGCGCTTGCAAAATCGCGTGTGGGTCCCGCGCTCCTGCACCCGCCTCCGATCGAGTCACGCGAAACGGGGGTTGCCGCGTACGGTTTTTCCGCGCGCGTCCTTGCGCATGCAAGCTGCCTGCACCTCCTGAGCCCATGCGCCATGGGCCGCCGTCTTGGGCCGTCGCTGCTTGGACGATGCAGGCCTGCCGAGCCGAGCCATTCACCATCTTGGGCCACGTGGAACGGCTGGATTGGCTTGGCCTCCCTGCCAACCAATCACAGCGCACATGCACAGCTAGCTAGCTTGACTTTTCCACCGAGCCATGCTAGTAGCAACCAGTACAGTGCAAGCTCCTCCTTGCACAAGTACAGTACGTGTACATGCATGTATGCTACCTACAGCAAGTACTGTAGCAGCAATGCACTTGCACAGTCCCTTCTGATTTCTTCGCGAATCCGATGCTTGCACACTTGGCCTTGTGAAGCCTGTTGCAAAGACCTTTTCACACGGTGTTCGTCCACCGTGTGCAACCTTGTGTCCAATCTTGTCACCCGGCATCCTTGATCGCTTTGGACCTCAACTCCTCCCTGAGTCTAGTCCCGATCCGCCGTTGACCAAGATCGACCCCGATCACCTGCACACACATGAACCAAACAACCGTTGTCTTGGCACAGATGTCGCAACCTGACCAACGTTAGTCCACACACACACTTCTTGCACATCCGGTACTTGTCAATTTCCCATCACAAAAGAACTATAACCACACATGGTTTCACAAAGAGATACATATGAGAGATGGCGACCAATTTTAATTGGGTCCTATCATGTTGGAGGAAAGGCCCCTTCATAAAACTCAAATGATAAGCCTGTTTCTTTAACGTCTCAAGCTCTCGCGTTCTGGCCTCTGGGATTATTCCTACTAACTTCATATTTTAATGTATGATGCTGTTGACTTTTTATCCAACGTTTGACCATCCATCTTATTCAAAAACTTTATGTAATTATCATTTATTTTTATTGTGACTTGATTCATCATCAAATATTCTTTAAGTATGATATAAATATTTTTATATTTGTATAAAAATTTTGAATAAAACGAATGATTAAATGTTGGTTAAAAAGTCAACGACGTTATGCATTAAAATATGGAGGGAGTCCTTTTGCAGCAGGAGTTGCCAAAGAAGCAGTTCAAAGCTGAACACCTTTCTTCGTGGAGGGTGCAGCAACCCTTCCGAGCTGCAAAAGGTGCATTCATGGGGTCGTCGCTGGAGGCGGAGCAGCAGAGCTTGATAGTGCGGACGACAGAGCCGGAGGTACTCCCACAATATCCACACGAAAAAGAATAAACTTCTTTTTTCCCCTCTTTGTTCCACCAAGATTCGAGGATTCGTAGGGTTTCCCAATCCTCTTTAGTTTCTTGTTTTGGTTATGTTCCGATCGATTGAAAATGCTTAAATTGGCCCGGATCGTGAGAAAAGGCCTAGCAAAGAAATCGTGAGAAAAGGGAGGGGGAAAATGATGGACAGCTCGATTGCTCAGTTCTTGGATTCTTGGGATCGCGTAGAGCTTGGTCAGATTGGCGTGTGACACTTCGATTAGTCGGTTGCAAAACGATGGCCGTGAGTAGAGAAAGGGGAACGGGGAAGGTGAAGGTCTAGACTCTAGAGGCGCAGTGATGACTGACAGGTGAGGCCCACAGGCCACAGGGTCCCGCTCATAAAGACAATCATTTTTTGATGTACTGCTTAGAGCCTTGATGCACCTTGGGTATTATGCTGGAACACGCAACAATTTTGAGGATTTATTGGATTGACACGTACAAATTACTTGTGGAAGTTATTTTCTCTGTGAAATTTGATTGATTGTCTGCACTCTGATGTCATTTCCTTGAAAAATCTGATGGTTACTTTGACCTGTAACTTTTAAGTTTTGATTTCTTTTTGGATGGGTTTGAAGATTGATTGAAACTGATGGAGTGAAATGCGTTAAACATGTTTGACAAAAACATGAATAATTTAGAATCAACTAGTACTTTGCTTCTCTCCGTAGGATGTTGATGACTACACAGGCGATGGATCTGTAGGCTTCAGTGGTCAACCTATTTTGAAGCATGAAACGGGCAATTGGAGGGCATGCTCACTAATTCTTGGTAAGGTTTCAGCCAGAATCCAGTTTGAAACATTATCTTCGGGATTATCACAAACCTAATATGAACTTCACAGAACACATTATATTTTTCCCGCTAGTTTGTAAAATTCTTGAGTTGCAATAGCTTTTTTTTTTCTTTCAATTCTATGTATGTGAAGCATTTGTTTGTGGAATAACGTATGCTAAATCAAAAGTTCTGATGTCTTGAATACCTGAAACATGAGTCTTTTTACACTTTTATCTGATGTTAAAAATTAATCGGCAAATGCTTTTCTTACATGGTAGGAACTGAAGTTTGCGAACGCTTGGCCTACTATGGCATCTCAAAAAGTTTGGTCACTTACCTATCGACAAGATTGCATGAAGGAAATGTCTCTGCAGCAAGGAACTTTACAACTTGGCAAGGAACTTGTTATCTCACGCCACTTATTGGAGCAACCTTAGCAGACTCATACTGGGGAAAGTACAAGACTATTGCTGTTTTCTCAACAATTTACTTTCTGGTAAGATGCAAATACATGCATATATTGAGAAATTTTCATACTGGGAGAGATATCATATAATTTTGTCTTTTTCATTGGTTCACTTGTATTGGCTATGCATGTGCTAGTGAATTAAGCGCCAAATAATTATAGTAGATGTTTTCTGCATTGTAGTTTATTCATGAATGGAAGGTTAACTATAAACAGGGAAAATGAGGGCAGACATAAAGCTTATCTCATAATAATATTATGATCACATGCATAATGGTGACCTTAGCAATCACCAGCTTGATACATACTGGCATGATACATCAATTGAAAACCTACTTGTCCAGGTTGTGAATCTGTTATATTATTTACACACTCATTTCTGTTGATAACATGTGCTAACGGCTCCTCAATGTCAATTTAATTGAAGGGGATGGCAGCATTGACATTTTCAGCATTGGTTCCTTCTCTTCAACCTCCTCAATGTTTTGGGTCCTTTTGTCCACAACCAACCGTGCCTCAGTATCTGATATACTTTGTTGGACTATACATGATTGCTTTAGGGTCTGGAGGTATTAAGCCATGTGTTTCATCCTTTGGTGCTGATCAATTTGATGACACTGATCCAGTTGAGAGAACAAAGAAGGGTGCTTTCTTCAATTGGTTTTATTTTGCTATAAACATCGGTTCTTTGATATCTGGCACAGTTCTTATTTGGGTACAACAAAACTGTGGATATGGAATTGGATTTGGAATTCCTACTATCTTCATTGCCTTAGCTATTGGAAGTTTTTTTATAGGTTCTCAGAGATATAGATATCAGATACCTGGAGGAAGCCCCCTTATAAGAGTATGCCAGGTGGTTATTGCAGCCATCCACAAGAGAAATGTTGATTTGCCGGTTGATAGTTCTGTTCTTTATGAGCTTCATGGTAAGACTTCTGCAATTGAGGGGAGTCGTAAGCTGGAACATAGTAGTGAATTCAGGTATTTTTCTTGGCCACCTTGGTATATTTGCTTCATTAACATGGTACTATTCCTTAAAGAAACAAATGCTATGAGGAGGTTGTTTAACCTCCCCATCCACCCGGGTTCAAATGGGTTCAAATGCTAAAATTGACTTGATTGTGCATCTCATTCTTAACTGAATGCCAGAGTTCCTACCCAATTTTCAAAGAAATGGGGAGAAAACAACCAAATGGTGACATGTAGTTTAGATTACTAGATTAAAAAAATACTTTTTGAAAAAGTACATAAAATTAATTTAGTCTAAAAAGTGTTATTATGTAACAAAGTCGGCATGGACACAAATATGTTATTTTGGTCTGAGTCGGACATTCACATCTTGCAAGTTTGTGTCTTGGAACTTCCTGGACACAATGACCTTTTTTCAGAGTCATGACAGGTAATGTAACACAAGATTTGTGTATCGGTAGTGCAGATGCACAGACTGAGATGCACTCTTACTTAATATGTTATCTTTTCTTCACAGTTTCCTTGACAAAGCTGCCGTCATTTTGTCGAATGAACGTGGTGGTTCTCATGATCCTTGGAGACTTTGCACTATCACACAGGTTGAAGAGCTTAAAATATTAATGAGGATGTTTCCAATCTGGGCAACTGGCATTGTGTTCTTCACTGTATGTGCTCAAAATTCATCAATGTTTATAGAACAAGGGATGGCCCTCAACAATCAAATTGAATCCTTTAAAATTCCGCCAGCCACTCTGTCATCCTTGGATGTTATCAGCATTGTTGTTTGGGTCCCAATCTACGAAACTTTCGTTGTGCCGATAGCAAGTAGACTGACTGGTAAAGAGAGAGGCTTCTCGGAGCTTCAACGAATGGGAATTGGTCTGTTTGTGGCTACTACTGCAGTGGCAACTGCAGCATTGGTTGAGATTAAGCGTCTGGAGATTGCAAGGTCAGAAGATCTGATCCATAGTAAGGTACCTGTTCCCATGAGCATTCTTTGGCAAGCGCCTCAATACTTGTTGGTTGGTATTGGTGAGGTGTTCACAGCCATTGGCCAAGCCGAGTTCTTCTACAACCAGTCTCCAGATTCCATGAGAAGCTTGTGCTCCGCTTTCGCTCTTGTTACGGTGTCGCTTGGAAGCTATCTTAGTTCATTCATACTGACCCTGGTTTCATATTTTACAACTCGAGATGATAATCCGGGTTGGATCCCTGATAACTTGAATGAAGGCCATCTTGACCGCTTTTTCTGGCTCATAGCTGGCCTTAGTTTTCTGAATCTTCTTCTTTTCGTCTACTATGCACAGCAATACAAGTGCAAGAAAGCAGCTGCAATTTAATGTCAGCCTTCATAGAGCAATATTACTTGGACAAAGGAATTTATTGTACAGCAAATTGTATGTATATATTTTATCTCAAAAAATACTGAATAATCTCTTGTATATGTACATTGATTCTCCTCAGTGGTACTGGTACATAATATTACTTGGAGAATGGGAAAAAAAACAATCTTCTTCTTGCTTTTGCTAGTCAGTTTATTTTCATATGAAAGCATGTTGTTCCCCTCCAAACATTTTCTATTGCAGACATAATTGATCTGTTTGTTTTCCTGTCAGAAATCAGAATAAATAAACCATGTGTACTGTTTGCTGAAACTGAAAGGATATTTGGCACGTTACACGTGCTTGGCTAGTATAGGTATTTTATTTGGATTTGACTGAATATGACTAATCAGAAGTGCCAACTTGCATCCTGTGACAGATTGCCCATCAGGCCACCATGCGTCGCCGGTGAGCTTCTTGAGTTTGAGCTTCTTGAACTCGGTTTAATCAAAATATTTCAACGCAAATACGTTTAATCAAACTTAATTTTGGAGTTGATTTTAAGGGTTTTTTTAGTATTTTTTTAAGGGGCTGCTACATACCGAAATCCCGTTCAAAAACGGGATGATTCTGAAACTACAGTATCACCACATGCGAGCGTTGCAAAAAAAAGGAGAACGACCAGTGATTGCCATCCGCCGGCTTGTACGCATCCCAGCGAAACCTCCTCAGAATCGCACGCGATTTCTCGCTTCCTTCCACCGAGGCGAGCATCGTCCGCCGGCTCCTCTGCATCTCGGCGAATCCTCCTCGGAATCACGCACCTCCGCGCTTCCTTCCGCCGGTGCGAGCGTTGCCCCCAGTTTTTCCTCCGCATCCTAGCGAATCCTCCTCGGAATCGCGCGCCTCCGTGCGCGATTCCTCGGTTCATTTCACCGTTGCACACGCCGTCTGTCGATTTCCTCTACAACTCAGCGATTCCTCGGTTGATTCTGCCGGCACACATGCCGTCTGCGATTTCCTCTACAATCCAGCAATTTCAGTTGATTTCGTCAGCTCCTTTGCTCCTACCTCCTCAATTGATTCTGCTACAAGTGTGATGTGAGCTCAACATCAGCCTGCGTTTCAACGCCGACTACCCTGTGTAAGAATTCTGAAGCCACTTCTCTGTTATAGCTATTTTGTGCATGCAATGTATTCGAGGAAATGTCTGATGGAACATTGCTCCCTGTTTTGTGCGATTTCTTTTGATGCCCAGGGAGAATAAAAAAAAGTGATGCCCCCCCGAGTGAATCCCCTTTGTGTACACGTTCTGCTAGTGTGTTTGTGGCTAGTGAGTCAGTTGTGACAACAAATAGTAGATGTATAGAGAAGCGCTGAATTATTTCCTCAATAATTCAGGCGGTAAAAAGAAGTCAGAAACAAGTGTTGAAGCTAGTGGTACAGAGATGCAATAGACTACAGGTAAATTATTGATAAGTTATCCATGAAATGCTTCTATAGACAGTATAAAACTTATAGTTGATACCCTAGGAGGATCATGATCTTCCTCTGTATCATGTCCGGTATCATTAGGTTTCCACAGTTGATACCCTAGGAGGATCATGTGATAAGTATCATTATGTGTGATATCTGTGTAGTATCGCATGATCTTACTTAGGTAACATGTCTGGTAACATGATCCTTGTGGGTTTCACAGATGATACTTTAGTAGGTTCGTGTGATACCTGTGAAGTATCACATGATCCTACCCAGGTATTATGATACATGATCCTCAAAGTATCATTATGTGTGATACTTGTGAAGTATCACATGATCTTATCCAGTATCATATCTAGTACAGTGGTTTCCTGTGGGTTTCACAGATGATACTTGAGTAGGATCTTGTGAAACCTGGGAGGTATCATAATCCTCCTTAATATCATGTCCGGTATCATCAGGTTTCATAGGTGATACTTTGGGAGGATCATGTGATACCTGGGAGGTATCATGATCCTCCTCTGTATCATGTCTGGTATCATAAGGTTTCAGAGATGATACCCTAGGAGGATCATCCTCCTCAAAGTATCATTATGTGTGATACCTGTGTAGTATCGCATTATCCTGCTTAGGTATCATGTCTGGTAACATGATCCCTATGAGTTTCACAGATGATACTTTAGTAGATTCGTGTGATACCTGTGAAGTATCACATGATCCTACCCAGGTATCATGATATATGATCCTCAAAGTATCATTATATGTGATACTTGTGAAGTATCACATGATCATGTCTAGTATCATGTCTGGTACAGTAGTTTCCTGTGGATTTCACAGATGATACTTGAGTAGGATCTTATGAAATCGGGGAGGTATCATGATCCTCTTTAGTATCATGTCCGGTATCATCAGGTTTCATAGGTGATACTTTAGGAGATGTACAGTGGTTTCCTGCAGGTTTCATTGGCTAAATCAACTGATTTTGTTAATTGGAGATGTAACAAGAGATTATTGAAAAGGTGAAAGAATAAAGAAAATATCATTTTAATGATGAATATTAGATCAGTTGAACCAAAGAATCACATCATTTCAAAGCAAAAATCCAAATGATTTTAACATTTTGCTGCAAGTATCATATGATTTAGCATATATACACACACATCCTCGCCTCTGTTGCAAACACCCCATGTGAATGAACAAATACACACAAAAATGGGGAGTTTTAGATTACTTCGATTTCAATTTTGGATGAGATATGAGGAGTCGCATCCACAGGTTAGGGATTCAACGAAACCTAGAAATCGCAAAAATGGAGAAAGGAAAATCAAAATTAGGAAATCGATGTATATGTGTAACATCCCGGCCTAGGGCTTAATAGGATTAATAGAATACTCATATCAACAAGTTGCAACTTCTTTTCCGGAAGCCAATCTCCAAAGAACTCCAGGGTTAAACGTGCTTGGTCTGGAGCAATTTGGGATGGGTGACCGACCGGGAAATTCTTCCCGGGTCCCGGGTGCATACGAGTGAGGACAAAGTGTGCAGAAAAGACATGTGTTGGTCTGTGAGGGCAGTCTATGATCTATGAAAGCTACCAGATGTAAGTGGGCCCGGCCTGGGGGAGGCGGGACGTTACAAAATGGTATCAAAGGTATCAGAGCCGACTCTCGCGGTTTCACGGGCGCTGGCACTGGACACATGGACGTGGCCAAGAGAGGACGTTCCTGGCCTAGGGTTGATCGACGGGGGCGTCGATCTCTCTTAAGGGGGTGAGGGTGTAACATCCCGGCCTAGGGCTTAATAGGATTAATAGAATACTCATATCAATAAGTTGCAACTTTTTTTCCGGAAGCCAATCTCCAAAAAACTCCAGGGTTAAGCGTGCTTGGCCTGGAGCAATTTGGGATGGGAAGCGTGCTTGGCCTGGAGCAATTTGGGATGGGTGACCGACCGGGAAATTCTTCCCGGGTGCATACGAGTGAGCACAAAGTGTGCAGAAAAGACATGTGTTACAATATGGCATGGATGAAAAAAAGGAATGAGAGAAATGGGGACGTGAAGAATCTGTTGTTGGTGGAGACTACGAGTGAGGACAAAGTGTACAGAAAAGACATGTGTTGGTCTACGAGGGCAGTCTATGACCTATGAAAGCTATCAGATGTAAGTGGGCCCGGCCTGGGGATGTACTCAGATACCTGGTGCTATGATATCTGGTGATCCCTGAAAGAACATGTCCCGTCTCGACCGAGTCCAACGGGATACCGGTATTTAGCATTTCCGTTTTTTAATTGCTAAGGACATATATATATATATATATAAATACCCTTAAATTATCTTTTATTGCTGATTAAGTTATTTTACAGCTTATTAGCTGTAAACCAAACGATCAAACTGCACAAACCCAGAACGTTTTATTAATGTGGAACCGAGGGAGTATATTGCATTTCCTAATCCAACCAGCACTCCCAGTTCCAAAAAAAAAAAAAAAAAAACTCTCAAATCAAAATCCAACCAAAATGCAGGGGTTTTATGCAAAACGTGACAGTAGTTTACTGCATTCACCAATCATCAGTTCAATCTCTGATCCATCCGAAGTGCCGAAGTCCACCTGCTCCCCTGCGGTCGCAAAACTCTACTCAGATGGGGGCAATCCATTGCTCCTGTATAGCTTCTTGATCTGCTCCAGCTGCTTCCGTCCCCGGGACGAGCCCCCCCCCCCCCCCCTCCATGGAAGAGGCAGCAGAAGATAGGCGATTGCAGGTGCGAGAAGAGGGTGGTGATCAAGAACCGCTCCTTCTTCTTCCTCAGGTAAAAATGTTATATTTTCTCTGTTTTTTCCCCTCAGGATAAGCTGTTTATCCCGGTTAGTACGTCACGCTTGATTCGCCTCTTTATGGTAGCTGGCTCTGTTTTCTTTTACTTGAGGAAAATAGAAGCATGGGGATTTAGGAACCGATTCTCTTGAGTCACAACTGAAACCAGAGACTGTAAGATAAGGCCTTAAAGCTGTTAATGACATTAAGTCTTCTGTGTGTGTGTGTGTGTGTGTGTGTTCCGTTTTGCTTGTCTGGTTCTGAAGTATGTAGGTGTACTTCACCCTTCTGAAGGTCTGTGAAAGATTAAGCTGATTATTGATCAAAGCTAGGGTAGCAACAAATTTCTTCTGCTAAACAGTTAACACATGTATTTCGTGAATCATCCGCGTCGTGCGCACGATTGGGGAGAAAAAAATCGGCGCCCCGCGCTCGCGCCTCCGCACCCCCACCACGTGCACCGGTTGCAACGGCCGCCCGGATATAACGGAAACGCCCTATTAAGGGGGATCCGTTTCATTTTTTGTTCCACCAACAATGTTTCAGCTAGTTTACTCATGATGTTTCACTATGTATGGATCAAATGTTGCAGTGGATTTTTAATACTGTTTAATAATTTCATTTTGATGGACACGTGGTTTGTTGATGTACATGGGATTTAAGTGTTGCAATGGCTTTAAATCGTTTGTTGCATACGTTGAACCAAATTGTTTCATCTAGCGATCTGACCGTGTTTCACTTTTTTTTAAGAATTGAAACATTCTTTCGCTATTTGCTAGAACATTGTTTTTGTATAGGGTGAAACAACGTCCGATTTTTTAGAAACCGTTGTTTCATACTCCCTCCGTTTCACAATGTAAGTCATTGTAGCAGTTCCCATATTCATATTGATGTTAATGAATCTATATAGATATATATGTCTAGATTCATTAACATCAATATGAATGTGGAAAATGCTAGAATGACTTACATTGTGAAACGGAGGAAGTATGTTGTAGCAAAATGTTTCATGAGGTGATTTGGTTGTGTTTCAGTATTTTAAAAGATTGAAACATTTTCGATCTATTTACTGAAACATTTTCGATCTACTTGGTGAAACAATGCCCGATTTTAGACAAAAAAAAAATCGGGCGCCCGATTTGTAGGCGCCTCCTATGTATTTGGTGCTATCTCTTGAACTCCGGATTATATGATGTTGGATTTTTTTTTTCTGATCAAATATGGTGTTGTTAATTTGATTCACTTCCTTGCCAGCAAAAAAAAGAAAGAGAATCAACCCATCCAAAATACTGAAGTGGCAATTCCAAATTTTTGAAGTTTTCCTTTCGAAGATTGATTTGACTTCTCTTTGTTTGTTTCCATTTATTTGTTCATTTTGAGGGATGCAACTTGTTGCCTTTCAGATCTCGTTAGGTGGTTCAGACTGAAATGGTTTTTTTTCTTAGCAGGATGCTAATCTTTACACCGGAGATGGATCTGTTGATATCAAAGGGCGCCCTGCATTAAAGCATGCCACTGGAAATTGGCGTGCATGTTTTTTCATCCTAGGTAATTTGTTAAAGATGCATAGCATATCCCATAAAACTTTGGCACAGTACTTGAAGGAATTCCTTGTTTCTTCGCACTAGTGAGTAATGCTTCTATATGGTTTTGAATCGTACAATCCTGTATTTACCTTTTGCCAAAATATTTTGGTGATATACAACACAAAAGAAATGCTGGTCGAAGTACCAGATAGCATACTTTACAGATCAATTGAAAAATGCTGTGCACATTTTTATCTGTTCTGCAATGAGTAGCTTTGAAGTTTCAGAAATGCTAGTTTGGTGACAGGGGATGAATGCTGTGAGAGACTGGCCTATTATGGTATTGCAAAGAACCTAGTTACTTATCTGAAAACAAATCTTCATCAAGGCAACCTTGAAGCTGCAAGAAATGTTACAACTTGGCAGGGGACATGCTACCTAACACCCCTCATTGGTGCCCTCCTAGCAGATTCTTACTGGGGAAAGTACTGGACTATTGCTGCTTTCTCAGCAATTTATTTTATTGTAAGTACAAGCCTATTGCTATAGAAGATATTAGATATTACCTACTTCGGTGCACTTGCACCATGTGCTGAACTGATCTTTTCAAAATAATTTCATATCTGAAACATGGATAATTTCTGAACTTTTTTACTGAAGGGTCTGGTTGCTTTGACGCTGTCAGCATCAGTTCCAGCTCTGCAGCCGCCTAAATGTTCAGGATCTATTTGTCCAGAAGCAAGCTTACTCCAGTATGGTGTATTTTTCTCTGGCCTCTATATGATAGCCCTCGGGACTGGAGGCATCAAACCTTGTGTATCATCCTTTGGAGCTGATCAATTTGATGACAGTGATCCAGCAGACAGAGTAAAGAAGGGCTCCTTCTTCAATTGGTTTTACTTCTGTATAAATATCGGTGCATTTGTATCAGGCACCGTTATAGTTTGGATACAAGATAACTCAGGTTGGGGGATAGGATTTGCCATTCCTACTATATTTATGGCATTAGCGATTGCAAGTTTCTTTGTTGCCTCAAATATGTACAGATTTCAGAAACCTGGTGGAAGCCCTCTTACAAGAGTGTGTCAGGTTGTTGTTGCAGCATTCCGTAAGTGGCACACTGAAGTGCCACATGATACATCTCTTTTATATGAGGTTGATGGCCAGACTTCAGCGATTGAGGGAAGCCGGAAGCTGGAGCACACAAGTGAACTTGAGTAATTCCTGGATTTTTGCAATGCATCATTGTCTCACTTTTATTCATTCTGTTACAAAGAAAAAAGGAGGAAAGTCTGGATGGGGACAACACCAGCCATTTGCAGTTGGATGTATACATAAAACTGATACACTACCTTCTTGTACTGTTCCATTTTGGGATTGGTGGAAATTAAATACTAAATGCAACAAAAAGAATATGGATAAGGCCATACAGCAGAACGCTAGTAGTATATTAGTAGTTTGTCCATGGCATGCAATTCTTATAAGTCTACTTATAATTACTATTACTGGTGCCTATAATTAATATGGGACCATTAGAGGTATATTTGTATAATGACTGAAAATATCAGGGTAGCACAAGCAATATATGTCAGTAGGTGGCTTGCTTTACAGACACATTTCTTTTACTTTTTTAGACAATATAATATATTGTGTTTTCTTGTCTGACTGAAATTACTTTTTGTTATACAGATTCTTTGACAAGGCTGCCATCATCTCATCTGATGATGCCAAGAGTGACTCCTTTACAAATCCGTGGAGGCTATGCACTGTCACCCAGGTGGAAGAACTGAAAATTCTAATCAGAATGTTTCCCATTTGGGCCACTACTATTATATTCAACGCGGTGTATGCTCACAACTCTTCTATGTTCATAGAGCAGGGAATGGTTCTTGACAAGCGAGTTGGATCTTTCATTGTCCCTCCTGCATCCCTCTCAACTTTTGATGTCATCAGTGTCATCATCTGGATTCCGTTTTATGGCCGTGTGCTTGTGCCAATAGCTAGAAAGTTCACTGGAAGGGAGAAGGGTTTCTCTGAGTTACAGCGGATTGGAATCGGATTAGCCCTCTCCATCCTTGCAATGCTATCTGCAGCTCTTGTTGAGTTGAGGCGTTTAGGGATCGCCAGATCTGAAGGTCTTATTCATGAGGATGTTGCTGTTCCGATGAGCATTCTTTGGCAAATACCGCAGTATTTCTTGGTTGGCGCTGCTGAGGTCTTTGCTGCCATAGGTCAGGTTGAGTTCTTCTACAATGAAGCCCCTGATGCCATGAGGAGTTTGTGTAGTGCATTTGCGCTTGTAACAGTCTCACTGGGGAGCTATTTAAGCTCAATCATATTAACCTTGGTGTCATATTTTACAACTCAAGGAGGGGATCCTGGATGGATCCCAGATAACCTGAATGAAGGCCACCTAGATCGGTTCTTTTCATTGATTGCTGGGATCAACTTTGTGAATTTACTGGTTTTCACTGGTTGTGCAATGAGATACAGATACAAGAAAGCATGATGACTGTACTCATGGTAAGGTCAGTTTGTGTTAGTAATAACAGATTTTACATTCATCGAATCCAATGCATTGTACAGACTAGACCATGTAAGTTAAGATGCCTTAGCTAAACGCTCTCATGAATTTGCTTTGTAGTTCATTTGGTGATTTATTTTAGATGAAAATTTTAGAATCGAGGTGACTGAGTCACCATGGGTAGCAGAGTTATATGTATTTTCCCTTTTCTATTTGAGAGCACCATGCTGTTCCTGCACCCACTCATATGTCAACTTTGTTCAGTAAGATATCATGTGCAGGCAATGGGAAATTGTGAAGCTGGACGATCAGTTAAAATATCACAAAATTTCACCCCTTCAATTCTATTGCTTTATTACTAACCCCCAATCAACAATCAAACAAAAAATGAACATATTTACAGGATATGTTAATAAAATAAAGCGAACGTACATAACATAAACTTTCATCAGGATAGGCACGAATGATAAAAGGTGAGACCGTTTACCTAGGGTCAGCCTGACAAGGAATTTCTTTTCCAGAACTTAATCACTCGAACCAGTGAAAACCTTTGGTCAGATCAGTTGCTGCCGCATATTAACATTAGCCGTACAAAGAGTAATAGTAGCTCCAATCGGGAGACAAAACTACTTCATATATGCAGTGTGCGGGTCACCAGTAATCTCTGCAAGAACATATCCCGTCCTTGAAGTGATGGAACCTATTCGAGTCCCTAACAATGATATCTCTCTGCACAATCTGCGATATGAGCTTAATAGCAGCATGGCAGTCCCCGCAAATGCGCAGGTTCTTGAAAACCTTGATCGGGGAACCCTCCGGAGTGGCAATGATCCCAAATGCAACAGCAAGCCGCTCGCTGTGGTAGCCAATGTCCTGCTCCTTCTGCTCATCTTCGACATCATGGAGAACAAATTCAATGTCCGCCACATACCCTTCTTCCACCATTTTCACATACAGCTTCTTCAGAAGTGCATAGATTTCATCAGCTTTAGGATGCGATTTATCACCAACTAGGAACACATGAACTCTTCTCCCAACTTCAATCCAACTTGAGGCCGGCATTTTGGTTATACCCTTTGATTCCATGATTCTTCTGACATCCTCAACCTCATCAAAAAGACCAACCGAGGCATAAATATTTGCCAGAGTTACATAAGTTGCTGGATTCTCGGGTTCTATTTCGAACAATGCTTCTGCTGCCCGCCTTGCCAAGCCAACATTCTTGTGAATCCGGCAGCCACCAAGCAAGGACGCCCATAGGAACTTGTTAGGTTTCACTGCCATATTACCTATCATCTTTTCTGCTCGCTCAAATTGGCCTGACCGGCTTAGGAGATCGATCACGCAAGCGTAATGATCAGCAGTGTGCTCAATGCAATACTGTTCCTTAATCGAATGGAAGATCTCGAGGCCCTTGTCGACCAGGCCGGCATGAGCACACGCTGACAGAACACCAACAAAAGTGACATGATCAGGCTTAATTCCAGACCTCAAGAACATGTCGAAGTAGCGCAGCGCCTCCTCCGGCTGCCCGTTCTGCGCATAGCCGGAGATCACCGCCGTCCACGACACCAAGTCCGGCTTCGCCATGGCCTCAAACACGCGCACCGCGCTCCCCATGTCGCCGCACTTGGAGTACATGCGGAGGAGCGCGCTCTCCGCGAAGCAGGAGTCTCCAGTGCCGCTCTTCGCCATCCGGCCGTGCACCTGCCTCCCGAAGCTCTCGACGGCGAACTGTGCGCAGGCGCGCAGAACCCCCGCGTAGGTGAACTCGTTTGGTCGAACACCTCGGGTCCTCAGCATGTGGAGGAACAGCCTGAACCCTTCCCCGCCGCGGCCGCCGTCGAAGTACCTCTCCACCATCGCCGTCCAGGAGACGGCGTCCCGGACCGGCATCCGGTCGAAGACCCTCCTCGCGTCGTCCACGCGGCCGCACTTGGCGTACATGTCCGCGAGCGCGCTCCACAGGACGGCGTCGCCGCCGGCGGCGTCGATCCCTCTCCTCACGACGTGGCAGTGCAGCTCCCTGCCCGCGCGGCCGCACCGTGCGGCCGCGGCCGCCGCGAGCGCGCTGGACGCGGTGAACTCGTTGTCCGCGCCATCGTTCCCCGGCTCCTCCTGCATCCGCCGGTAGAGCGCGAGCGCGGCCTCGGGCTGGCCGTGTCGGGTGTAACCTGAGACGAGGGCGGACCAGGCGAAGTGATCCCTCTGGGGCATTCGGTCGAACAGCTCCCGCGCGGAGGGGAGGTGGCGCGGGGAGCGAGAGAGCGCGGAGATGAGGGTGTTGTGGGAGCAGATGTCCGGGGCCGCGATGGAGGAGAAGAGCGCGAGCGCGTCGGGGAGGGTGGCTGGGTGGGAGGAGAGCAGGTGGAGGAGGCGGTTGGAGAGGACGGTGGAGGGCGGCAGCGAGGCGGTGGCTGCCGCGGCGAGCGCGCGCGCGGCGGGGGCGAGGGACGGGTCGCCGCGTAGCCGCGGGAGGAGGCGGTCGATGGCGTCGTGGAGCTGCGACGCGGTGGTGACGGAGAAGGTCGGCGCCTTCGTGAAGCCGGAGGAGACGGCGCGCGAGCGCGACGCCATTGCTACGCATGGTCACAGCAGGAAACTCCTATAAAGGGATTGATCCAGAAGCGCGAAAAGCAAGTCATTTGAGTGAAGAGGTATTCTCCCATCCTTCCAATTGTTTTAGTGCTAAAGAAACTAGATTGATTAGAAAATAAATTTAGATCGATAATGACGAAGCTTTTCTGATTCTGAGAAAGTATACGGAGGTATATATACTACATATTGCTAATTATGAGGTATATATCAGCTGACTAATACATGTACTTAAAGTAAAATAAAAATTCAACAATATTAACAAAGATGAGTTTTTAACCTTATTCCAACCTTAAAAATTAGTTTTGATAACTCCATTAAAAAAAAGTATATTTCAATCATAAGGAGGTATGTACCTTTATAAGCAATTCTGATCCTCTGCAGTACTGATGTCACTGACATGTGGACCCGAGGGTCTAGGGGCTCACATGTCAGTGAGCAGTACCGCAGAGGACCCTCATGGGAGAATACCCCAATGAGTGAAACAATTTTTCGCTGGGCGATTTGAGTGAAACTTTGGTTTCTTTCAAATTCGTAAGCAATTCTGAAATCGCAAGGACAACATGATGAGCGTCATCTTGCCAAACAGCCAAAGTATTATCTGGGAAGAACATTTCGTGTAATAGAAGTGAAAGGTTCGACAAAAGATGTTGAATGAACTCAAATCAAATCGAACATTTTTCACAGATTAAAATGTGATGAACATCTTCTACATCATGTACAACACGAGCGATTTTTTTTTCTGATTCCACGTTTTTTGCATTTGAGATCAAAGACCGAAGAAAGCACTGGATTCACTGTTGCAGCCTTGCAGGTGAAGAGCACAACAGATCCAGGAAGTACAATGTGTGAAAACAGTCATGGTATGGTGCCTACATTCTTTAGCCATCCCCTCCCGAGCGGCCTCAAATCGCTGGATCTTCAAGTGCGGCAGTGGAGAAATTGTTGATTCGTGGATATGCTGCCTTTTCGTCCAGTTGGTTTTGAGTCCAAATTAACATCTTTAGAAGGCTAGGGAGCTTTGGATCTGCATTATGTGGGAAACATATACAAAATAACTTCAGTAAAAGTCACATTCCGGACCAGCATTTTATTGATTCCAAGTTCCAAACAGTATATCAACTTCAACTCTATTGTAAAAAAGAAAAAAAATATAATCAATGAGCAACAAAACTGAAATCTAGTGCAAATCTGATCACTATATCTTAAAATCATCAAAATAGATAGATCTGTTAGTACCACACTGCAAAGTGCCCTTTCTTCAACCCATTCTTGTCAGTATTATTAGTAACTTTGTGGTTAGTCTCTGAAAGATTTTCAGTTAAGCCTTTGTTGTTTTTAACGTGGCAGAAAATCCCACATAAATGGGTGATTCATTTGTTTCAATGTATAAAATGAGAACAGGCACCCCACATTCTGTGCATTCTCATTTCCTGATTAAGATTTACACTTGTGGATCTTTATTTATTTAAGTAATGAAAACTTATTATAGGCACAAAACTGGTATTGCAATGTAGATACATGATAACATAACCAAGTGATATTAGGTCTCAATATGAATACTATATCAAAGCACATGTGCTAACCTTTCTCATGACTTTGGCTTGTAAGAATGGCAGCATTAACTTCACTTGCGGTCTTCAATCGTTGGGAAACATCCAATAGTTCCCCATATGGACAGTTCTTTATATCTTCAAAAACCAAAAGTGCTACAGTTTTCTCTATTTCTTCAAGAAAGACTTGCTGCAGAATAAAAAGAAAAGAACCAAAAGTCACAGCAAAGTGTGATGTTAACAGAACTATTCAAAGAAATCTCTCTAACATTTTAATTAGGTGATTTGAACTGCTGAATCAGAACTGAAGTAGCAAATATTGAGAAAACTACATTTTCTTCGCCTCTTGGAGCGAGTTCTTCTTGTGCAAACTCCAAAGCTTCATTTATTTTTCCCGCACGAATCAATTCTATTAGCTTCTGTTGTTGCAGATGAAAGTACAGTTGGGGATTTGTGTCCAGAATCTGCACATGGGAAGTTAAGTCAGGATGAAGAATCAGAAGTTAAAGAACTCTTCCTGTTAATTTACAAAATTCATCGCAGCAGAACATACAGCATTAAGAGAATGACTTTTGATTTAAGGTGTTGTTTCACAAGGCTTCTAGGTGCTCTTTTAAGGTACATAAACTGTCAAACTTGGAGAAGATTTGATTGCACATCACATGATGGCCAATACTGTCGATATGAACAGTTCGTCAATCAACCACGTATGTAATTTCTGGATTCCCGTAGATATTTTCTGAGTTGTTTAAAGAAAGGAGTAAAATACTAAAAAAAGTATTTATGACCAATCTGTTGAGTCTTTTTTTCCCAAATAACATGATCAGAGCTGCCATTTACCACAGTAGACACACCTCGGTACCGAGGAGTCAATGGAGCAACATCATTGGATTGATGAACTTAAAAGGGACATTGAAAAAAGAAACTGTGAAGATTTTAACGGTGAATAGAGCAAGAGACATTTTGTTCCAATGTGTTACAGGATATTTATGAAAATATGTTAGATCCTTGGGGATCACGTCAGTACTCTGAACAATAACACTATAGTGCTCAAGTCTGAACTTTATGATTTATGTCAGGAGCTCACCAAAATCAGTTCCAATTAAGTTAAATGTTCCCAAACTTATCGCAGAAAACTAGCATGTAAAGCAAAAAAAAAAAAAAAAAAAAAAAAAAAAAAAAAACAGGGAAGAATAGTTCGCATAGTTCAAGGTTATTCACTTTTCCAATTTCTCCCCGTCCAATTGAATAAAAAAAATTTGGCATGTTTGAAAATTGAATAAGCTTCATGATTCCAAAATATAAACAACTTGTCAAATAAAATACACCACAATAATCCTTAGACCCAGAAAAGGAAACTAAAATTTGGGCATGTGTTTAACTAGACAGCACTAACCTAGTTATTGACAAGAGGAGCACTAACCTAGTTATTGACAAGAGGCAAGAACAAATAACCAGTTGGCAAAATCCAATTTGACAAATCAAGTGGTCCATCATCTCTACTTAATTCCCACAATACAATAAATAAACAGTATTCATTAATCATCGAAAGACGCCAAGCACAGAAAACACGGACAAGGTCAAGGACTTTGCCCTCGATTCCAAAACTAGCTGGCCCTCTAAATTTCAGAAAGAAACAACCATCCTTCTCGTTGTCCAATTCTCATACCCCAGGGAAGCACCAAAACTAGCATTACTAAACAACAACAAAGGCTACTATGACATTCTTATCTCAGGTAGAACCCAATTCTGCAACACCATTGCTGCCCCTCCACCGTCACCACCAAAGGCAGTTCAACATTCGAGATTTCGAGGTGGCACAAAAATTGCTAGAGTAAGTAATGGAATCGAACCGTGGGATTAAGATCGTTAATCTTCTCGATGGCCTCCTGAACATTCCCTGATTGCACCGCTCTCTTCACCTCCATCCGATCCGTGATGGTGGCCAGGTCAATATCCGCTGCAAAAGGGACACCAAAAAAAAAAGTTCACTAAAAAAGAAATCCATGAAACCCCAGCAGGGGAACAGATGAGCGTGCGACGGCGGGGTACGCGCGGCATTAGATACGTTGGGTGCCGGACTCGACGCGGAACTTGTCCGCAGCGTCGACGAAGCCCTCGGTGACGAGGAAGTTCATGACGAGGCGGTTCATGTCCTCCTTGCGGATCTTGACGTCGCGGAGCTTCCGCTCCCACTCGTCACGCGTCACCAGCTTCTTGGAGGACGCCATGGAGGCGGCGGGGGAGTCGATGGAGTCCAGGTCGCGGAGGACGATGCGGGAGAGGAACATCAGATGCGCGGGGGGAGCGGGGAGAGGCAGAGGCGAGGCGAGGCGGGGCGGGTGTCCAGGGCCGATCAAGCCGTCGCCATCCGCCGGCGGCGAGGGGCTCGGGAGGCTAGGGTTTCGCGGGGTAGGGGAGGATGGATCCGACGGAGACTTGGAGGAGCAAGGAACCGAGAGCTGGACTGCAGGAGAAGAGAGTAGGTTGGGGAGAGAGAGACGAGGAGAGGACAGGAAAAAAAAAGTAATTTGGAACCATACCATTATAATTTTACTCCTAACTTGCAGAAGTGTCATTCTCCAATTCTCTCCTTGCTTGCTTTCAAATTAAAGAAGCTGTTTAGTTCTAGTTTTTTTTTTAAGAGAGTTGTCATAGACTCATAGTTTTAGTTCCAATATTATGATTGACATAATTTACCTCGGTTTTCGTTAGCTCGTTTTTTAAACCGCTAAACGATATATTTCGTGTAAAAAAATTATATATAGAAGTTGATGTTGATTTAAAATTCAAATGATTTTTTTAGTTTGAAATAATTAAAACTCAATAAATTATGCGCTAATGGTTTTCTTGTTTTGTGTGTCTACACTTAATTTTCATCTTAACCAGGTTAGAAGGCAGCCTAATATTTGTGAAAAAAATGATTTCAACATAGATATTTTGATTGTTGCAATATTAACCACACAAATGTGAAATATGTGTCTTCCGCATTTGCAGTATTTGTTTTGTGCTTATGTGATCGATTTGGTTTGTACTCTCTCCATCCCAATTTGATTATCCCATAAGCAAAAGGCACCAAAACATCCATCATTCTGATATTAATCCTCATCAATCAAGGTGTCCCGTCGTGTTCAACAAAAATTAATTAACACTTTAAATATTGCATGGGTTAAACCAATAGAAAATAATATTGATTAGTTGAATGCATTTAGGGCATTTCGCGATGCAAATTTACTCTTTGCACAAATAACAAATAAGTATTTTGTTAGATGATCATTTAAAAAATATCAAAAATTTAGATGACGATCAAATTGAGGTAGAGGGAGTACTTCGTAACGTAATTTTTTCTTACATGTATGGATTGAGAAATATTTTGGCAATCTAGAAGGCTAACACTTGCAGTGTAAGCTTTAAACGCATGAGCTAGCGTTGCTGTACTTTTTAAAGTCCAACTTAAAACTTGATACAAATTTTACAAAAACTTGGTAATCAATAAATTTCACAGCGAAAACGGGCCGGGATTGGGAGGGCCTGGTAGTGCATCAGGCCTGAACCGACCTAGCCCATTCGACCTGACGTCCAGGACAACTCTTACCCATCAAAAGCCCAAAACTGTTTACAGTTCAGCCTTACCCAGACCTTACATGGGCCGTTCGTCTATGCGGGCCTGGCCTAGTGGAGGCTAGCCGACTTGTGGTGTTCTTTACTGTCGTCGTACATGCATGCACTGCACCAACCAATCGTGCGCACTAACTGATTTAGTGATATGATGTCACGATGCTTATCTTTCTGATGGGAGAGACTATTCCAAGAGCATGTTTAGAGGAGTAATTGGTTCGTAGTCAATTTAAAAAAAATTTAAAAATAGGTTTATAGCTTTTAATTCATTTTATGAATTACAACTTTTTAAAATCTGAACAAAAAAGTTTATAATTCCGAGAGAAACTGCAACTGCCACAAAATCTCCAAACAAGACTCAACACACGAGATGTAATCGGTTGTGGAAAATGTTTTCTTTTTCTTTTATCAATACATGCAGCTAGCAGCAGTAGCACTACACACTGCTACTCGTCTACAGATTTGATTGGCAGATTCAGTCAGATCACATCGTCGCAAAGTCTGCAGGCTGATAAACAATGTAACCATACCATTCGTCCCAATCAACTAATCGTGCCACACGTTGCAAATAGACGCTGCCTAATTAACACCGAGACGCATGCATATACATGGATGCATGCATTTACAGCACTTGATCATTTGATTTGATTAAGTTGGTGCTCCACTACGAACCACTTGGGGTTTTCATTTCAGATAGATAACACGAGCACTGGGAATTAGGAGGCGTGCTAAGTGCAGCTTCACTACAGATTTACGCTGCTACACTATTCTATTAGATTATAGCGGCTTATCTACTTGAGTTGAGCGATGCAAGCTTGCAGAAGATCACACACTTCTTCAGAGTCAGAGATTCAGAAACGCTGAAAAGGGTCCTAGCGTCCAATGACCCATCGCCATGCATGCAGCCATATGGAAAACTGATTACCAGTTATGGAAGCTGACGACGACACATCGATCTCTCACTAGCCGCCCATTTACTCTGCCATTCATGCACGAGGTCTAACCTTTGTCCAAAAAGAATTGATATCCATAATTCCATATGATATGAGCTGACACAGTGACAACACTGAATCACTGCCCACTTTGAACAGCCTATATAAAGCACTGCAAGAAGCAATGCGAGTAGACATCGAGTCCAATCACAAGTGCATAAGTAAAAGATCAATTACAATTCGATCGATTGGCCATGGAGTACGCTACTCGTGGAGATCGCACGGCTAGCTGCCTGAGTTTCCTCTGCAATATCGTCGTTCTGCTGGGCCTCGCCGCCGCGGCGGCGAGCGGGCAGCTGACGGACGACTACTACGACTATTGCTGCCCCCAGGTTTACCGCATCGTCCGGTCCCGCGTGGCCGCCGCGATGAAGGCCGAGATGCGCATGGGCGCCTCCCTGCTCAGGCTTCACTTCCACGACTGCTTCGTCAATGTAATCATCCAACTATTTTATTTTTCCCCTTTTTCTGCTGCTCATTGCAGTGCGCTAGATACACTACGTGCATGCAAGTCGCATTCAAAACGTACACATACCGAAACAAGAAAATGAAATTAACGATCTCAATTAACCTGTATAGAGGACTCTGAACTTTCATGTGATATATGTTACTGAACTTCAGAGACTGAACTCTGAACTTCTTACCGACACACTGTGAATTCTGCAGGGCTGTGACGCGTCCATCCTCCTTGACGGCACAAACAGCGAGAAGTTCGCGGCGCCGAACAACAACTCGGTGAGAGGGTACGAAGTCATCGATGCGATAAAGGCCGACCTCGAGAGCGCCTGCCCGGGAGTCGTCTCCTGCGCCGACATAGTAGCCCTTGCAGCTAAATACGGAGTACTACTTGTACGTTCCTATGTCTCGAATGGAGGGATGAAAATTCATCTTTGATAGTAAAGCACTATAGTATTACCAATCGAGCAAAAGAACAATTGATTTTTCAGTCATGCTGAATATATCTGTGTTGGTCTTTGCAGAGTGGAGGACCTGATTATGATGTCCTCCTGGGAAGAAGAGATGGTCTGGTGGCAAATCAGACGGGGGCGAACAGTAACTTGCCTAGCCCTTTCGATTCGATCAGCGTTATCACTGCGAGGTTCAAGGATGTCGGTCTCAACGCAACCGATGTTGTGGTCTTATCAGGTACCTCTATCTATCTCCTATATCTTCATGCATCGAGCAAAAATTACCTCGTCAATTCTTCAATCAAACATTGATTGGGATTTGACAAATGAATTGATAAAGACACAAATTATGATATCAATAACGATGTCGCATCTACTCTACTCGGTGTGGCATGCATAGCAGTTTACGTGGATTATGCATGATTTAGCATTTGTCAGATCAAAAACTAGTTTCTGCACCAATTTGTTACTCCCTCCGTTTCAAAATATAGTTATGTTTGGCTACGAATCAATCCAAGACTGATCTGAACTCTTCTGAACCTGAACAGGGGCGCACACGATCGGGCGATCTCGCTGCCTGCTGTTCAGCAACCGGCTGGCGAACTTCTCGGCGACCAACTCCGTCGACCCGACGCTGGACTCGTCGCTGGCGTCCAGCCTGCAGCAGGTGTGCCGCGGCGGCGCTGACCAGCTGGCGGCGCTGGACGTCAACTCCGCCGACGCGTTCGACAACCACTACTACCAGAACCTGCTGGCCAACAAGGGCCTCCTCGCCTCCGACCAGGGCCTCGTCTCCAGCTCCGGCGACCCCGCCGTCGCCGCCACCAAGGCGCTGGTGCAGGCCTACAGCGCCAACGGCCAGCGCTTCTCCTGCGACTTCGGCAACTCCATGGTCAAGATGGGCAACATCAGCCCTCTCACCGGCTCTGCCGGCCAGATTCGCAAGAACTGCAGGGCCGTCAACTGATGAGCAAAAAGGCAAAGATTTTTTGCATCTGCCATGACCCCATCTTGGATTTGCCAGAAGCTATATCGTCTTCTTGGACTCAAGTGTGAATCTGTCGTTTTTAATGTGTTGTGGAGCGCTACATGTTTCGTTTTGTTCAAGCTATCTAGGATTCTCTCTCCAATGCACGAGTAGAATAAGCAATTAGCATGCAAAGTTGCTCGTCCTACACGAATCTGCAGCTGCATTTTCAGTGGGTGTATCACCAATTATTAGAGCACAGACAAACGCGCTGTGTCTATCAGAGTAAAAGAAAGAATATGCAACTGCCATATGGTTTTATCAGTAGGTGCTCGGGTACGTCCTCCGAACTGAATGATGCAGCTCCTTGAACAAGCAAGGAAAAAACCGGAATGAATGCTAACGACTCCGTTGCAAAGAAACTTTTAGATTTTTGACTTTGCATTTCTGGATCGATCTGCCACCTAATCTCATCATCGACCACTTATGTTCCGAGAACGATGCCTCGCCTTCTCTCCAGCATCCAATCAGGTTTAGCTTTTTCGTACTACTACTGCAACTACTTTTTCATTACGTGGTGCATGATACAGTGACTGATGATGTGGCCAAAAATCATGCCTTGATGATCCTGAATATGACAGGCAGATTTTTAGTTTGGAGAAGGACAAAGGGTGAAAAATTCGCTAAAATGTCATGGAAAAACGTCGGTGAGGAGTTTAATTTTAGTTTGACGAGAACTCTGTACAAGCTACATACTGTACACAAAATATTCAGAGGGAAGAAGCAGGTACGTTGTCCTTAATTTGTGTATGCTTACCACGTACGGATATAGCACTAGTTGTCAGCAACCACTCAACCGGAGAAATCATTCCCCTCCAAACGACCAACGACCACCTCTCTGATCGATCGATGGAAGAAGAAGGCTCCAAATATTGCCAGCTACTACTACTTTCATTGGCCCTGCAATTATTCGTTCAGAAAGTGATGGGGAGAGCGAGGGACCGTGCAGTCAAGGCATCACAGCTTAGCTGCTGCATTGCTGCACCTGCAACAAACTGAAACTAAACGGGAGTCAGCGTTGTACTGCCTGAATCTGGTGGCACTAGCACACACGATCGGGCGAGAGAATTAGGTGCACCCAACGAACGCACAGGGAAGGGAAGGCCATATGCAAAGGGGAAACTATTCTAAAGCACAGTGTTTCTGTTCGCACACCAGCATGCATGCATGCGTTGCACTCTGAAAACGACGCCGCGATAGCCGAAGAGCTATCTACGTTGTTAACACGTTCGATTCTTCCGCGAATGATTGGTTATATATCCTTCGGGTTCAAGCAAAGGTGCCGCTAGTTAGTTTGTCATACTTAAACAATTAAGCCTGTGCATGGCGAGATATGTCATACACATGTCAGATTAATTGATCGCGTGTGCGTGTCTATATATAGCCAGCTTCCTTTCTTCTTCGTCACACCGACTTAACACTTGGTCATTTCTCATTTGTGCGTCACGGAGTGAGCAGTGTACATACGTTACTAGCTCAAGGCTGCAGCGGAGAGAGAGAGAGAGAGAGAGAGAGAGATGGGCGCTGTGGCTGCGGTTCGTGCCGCGGTCCTGGTCGTGGCCGTGGCCCTCGCCGCGGCGGCGGCCGGCGCGTCGGCGCAGCTGTGCGACAAGTACTACGACGGGACGTGCCCGGACGTGCACCGGATCGTGCGGCGCGTGCTGAAGAGGGCGCGGCAGGACGACCCCCGCATCTTCGCCAGCCTCACCCGCCTCCACTTCCACGACTGCTTCGTCCAGGTGAGCTAGCTATTGCCACACCATTGCCGGCGTGCACGCGCGCACTCGTACGCCGCGCCACGCAGGATGTTCGTCTGACGCGACGTTTCCGTTTTTTCCAGGGTTGCGACGCGTCGATCCTGCTGGACAACAGCACGAGCATCGTGTCGGAGAAGTTCGCGACGCCGAACAACAACTCGGCGCGGGGGTACCCGGTGGTGGACGACATCAAGGCGGCACTTGAGGAGGCCTGCCCCGGCGTCGTCTCCTGCGCCGACATCCTCGCCATCGCCGCCAAGATCTCCGTCGAACTGGTATGTGTACGCTCGCGAGAAATCGATCTGCCGGCGCGAAGTATATATATACGTGCATATGCTTTGCACGTAAACCCGTCATTATCTCCCGATAACAATCGCACGTCAACTTCATTGGAAGCTAACCAACGAAGCAGTTTAGCTACGTTCTTTCACATACTTTTCACGCCAGCATAGTGACAAATTAACGTACTGGCAAGCTAGTAGTTCGTGCTAGCTTTATCTCCAGTAGAAAGGTTGACGCTACAGCCTACAATATGCCCGTGACTGGGCTGGGAACTGGACTGGAGCGAGACATAAAGCTAGCTAGACGTCGGTGCCAAATAATTGAACCGCAATGCTGCAGATAGATCATAATCTCACCAACATTAACCGTCTGTAAAAAAATAATAATCCTATGAGCACCAAAAAACAGAGACCACATGGTACGACGTGGATTATGTCCTCGCACACATCATGTGGCATCGGCTGTGTCGACGACCAGACGTCGAGATCCCACACCAAATCCCTTCTTTTCGTGCCGCACTTTACTCCAACACGGCCACATGACGCCCACAATGTCCGTGTGTCAATGCGTGCAGTCCGGAGGCCCCCGGTGGCGCGTGCCCCTCGGCCGGCGCGACGGCACCACGGCCAACCTCACCGGCGCCGACAATAACCTCCCCAGCCCCCGCGACAACCTCACCACCCTTCAGCAGAAGTTCGCCGCCGTCGGCCTCGACGTCACCGACCTCGTCGCCCTCTCAGGTAAATAAACAGAGTAACAGATAGGGAGATAACGTACGACGCTACCTACTGCTCCCTCCGAACCAGATTATAAAACGTTAGACTTTGATTAATTTTATAGATAAATATAGTAATATTTATAATACTAAATTAGTTTCATTAAATCAATAATTGAATATATTTTTATAATAAATTTGTCTTGTGTTAAAAATATTACTATTTTTTTACAACTTAAAGCAGTTTGACTTTGATCAAAGTTAAAATGTCTTATAACTTGAAACGGAGGGAATAGCAATCAACTGAAACTGAAAATTGTGGGTGAAAATGAATGTAAATGGGCAGGGGCGCACACGTTCGGGAGGGTGCAGTGCCAGTTCGTGACGGACAGGCTGTACAACTTCAGCGGGACGGGGAAGCCGGACCCGACGCTGGACGCCGGCTACCGGCGGGCGCTGGCGAAGAGCTGCCCGCGGCGGGGCGGGAACTCGTCGGCGCTGAACGACCTGGACCCGACCACGCCGGACGCCTTCGACAAGAACTACTTCGCCAACATCGAGGTGAACCGCGGCTTCCTCCAGTCCGACCAGGAGCTCCTGTCCACGCCGGGCGCGCCCACGGCGGCGATCGTCAACAGCTTCGCCATCAGCCAGAAGGCCTTCTTCAAGAGCTTCGCCAGGTCCATGGTCAACATGGGGAACATCCAGCCGCTGACGGGCAGCCAGGGGGAGGTCCGGAAGAGCTGCAGATTTGTCAATGGAAGTTAAGGGAGGAGGACCCGTTAGCTCGAAGGACTGAGTTATTCTTGTACTGTAAAACGGATTGAAGATCAATTTATTTCATTTACGGATTTGCTAAATTTATGACGGCATATTTTAATATTTTATTGTTATTATAGTCCCTTAATTTATCATGGTGCCGTGCCTCGTATTTTTTTTACAACAGTATCCCCGGAGGAAACAAAAGGGCATCAGTTTGGGAAACTCTTCTTTTATTTGAAGAAGGGAACTCTTTCAATCGCTCGGGAAATCTTTCGTTTGTAAAATAAACATTCAAATAGCTACGAAAAAAATATTTAAAAATTTAATAGCATTTATACAACATACATATACCACATAGAAAATCTGAAGTCTAAAAAAACTATGTATCGAGAAATAAAAAAGAGATTCAATGTATGATACTAGTATTTGGTAATATTCACACCTGAATATTTTTCTTTCTTAATTTGTAAATATAGTTTGAAATTGATTTTTGACATGGGTGTAGCTATATTTATGGCGTCATATTTTTCATCAAAAAATAGTCGGCATGTATTTACATTGTAAGTCCCTAAATTACATATGTAATTTTAGTGTATATACAATGTAAGTCTCAAAATTACATATGTAAGTACTAAAATTATAAATGTAAATTTAAAAATTACATACTAATTACATATGTAAGTGGGACATAAATGAGGTGTAACTACTTGTAACGTCCCGCCTTCCCCCAGGCCGGGCCCGCTTATATATGATAGCTTTCATAGGTCATAGACTGCCCTCACAGACTAACACATGTCTTTTCTGCACACTTTGTCCTCACTCGTGTGCACCCGGGCACACTGATCGACGCCCCCGTCGATCAACCCTGGCACAGACCAACACATGTCCCGCTTATATATGATAGCTTTCATAGGTCATAGACTGCCCTCACAGACCAAGCACGGTCACCCATCCCAAATTGCTCCAGGCCAAGCACGCTTAACCCTGGAGTTCTTTGGAGATTGGCTTCCGGAAAAGAAGTTGCAACTTGTTGATATGAGTATTCTATTAATCCTATTAAGCCCTAGGCCGGGATGTTACACCCTCACCCCCTTAAGAGAGATCGACGCCCCCGTCGATCAACCCTAGGCCAGGAACGTCCTTTCTTGGCCACGTCCATGTGTCCAGTGCCAGCGCATGTGCCATGCTGTGTAACCACTCTCGGTCTACACCAGCCATGCGCACCATGCCTGCGCAACTGCGACACACGCGCCCGTGAAACCGCGAGAGTCGGCTCTGATACCACTTTGTAACGTCCCGCCTTCCCCCAGGCCGGGCCCGCTTACATATGATAGCTTTCATAGGTCATAGACTGCCCTCACAGACCAACACATGTCTTTTCTACACACTTTGTCCTCACTCGTGTGCACCCGGGAAGAATTTCCCGGTCGGTCACCCATCCCAAATTGCTCCAGGCCAAGCACGCTTAACCCTGGAGTTCTTTGGAGATTGGCTTCCGGAAAAGAAGTTGCAACTTGTTGATATGAGTATTCTATTAATCCTATTAAGCCCTAGGCCGGGATGTTACACCCTCAGACCGAGTTAAATATGAGACAGAGAAGATGGTTGGAACTAATCAAGGATTACGATCTTGGAATCCACTATCATCCTGGTAAAGCCAACGTGGTCGCTGATGCGCTAAGTCGCAAGGCCTATTGCAATGTAGCTCAAATACGGCCTGACCAAGATCACCTGTGCAGAGAATTGGAGAAGTTAAGACTGACCGTGGTACAGTCAGGTGTCCCTGCCAGCTTGACAGTACAGCCTACCCTAGAGTCGCAAATCGGGAGGCTCAGAAAGACGACGAAGGGATAAAAGAATTAATAAAAAGAATACAGGAGAAGAAAGACACCAATTTCTCCATAGACGATCAAGGCACAGTTTGGTGCGGACCACGCATCTGTGTACCGGCCAAGAAGGAGTTAAGAGATCTCATCCTAAAGGAAGCTCATGAGTCCGCCTACTCCATTCACCCAGGAAGTACGAAGATGTACCAAGATATCAAGGCATATTTCTGGTGGGCTGGAATGAAGCGAGACGTCGCAGAATACGTAGCCCTGTGTGACATTTGCCAAAGAGTCAAGGCGGAACATCAGAGGCCAGCTGGTCTGCTGCAACCCCTACCGATTCCCGAGTGGAAATGGGAAGAGATCGGAATGGATTTCATCACCGGTTTGCCAAGAACCCCCAGCGGGTACGACTCCGTTTGGGTAATCGTGGACCGACTCACGAAATCAGCTCATTTCGTGCCAGTGAAAACCACCTATGATGGAAAGAGACTAGCAGAACTCTACATGACCCATGTCGTATGTAGATTTAGCTGTCCCAAGAAAATTGTGTCAGACCGAGGCACTCAGTTCACCTCAAGGTTCTGGAAGCAGTTGCATGAAGCCCTCGGAACTGATCTGAATTTTAGTACAGCCTACCATCCGCAGACCGATGGTCAGACCGAAAGGGTAAACCAAATCCTAGAAGACATGCTACGTGCGTGTGCCTTAGATTTCGAAGGCACTTGGGATCGTTGTTTGCCGTATGCGGAGTTCTCATACAACAACAGTTATCAGGCCAGCATTAAGATGTCGCCGAATGAGGCAATGTTCGGAAGAAAGTGCCGCACTCCCTTGTGCTGGAATGAGGTGGGCGAAGCACTGGTATTCGGTCCTGACATACTCAAGTCAGCAGAAGAACAAGTTAAGCTGATCCGAGAACGTTTGAAGACAGCACAGAGCCGTCAGAAGAATTACGCTGACAATCGGAGGCGTGACCTTGAGTTCGAAAAAGGAGATCATGTATACATGCGAGTATCACCCCTCCGTGGTATGAGGAGGTTTGGGATGTCCGGCAAGTTAGCACCCCGCTACATCGGCCCCTACCTCATAACCGCCAGACGTGGCGAAGTGGCTTATCAGCTTGAGCTACCTGAAGGTCTCGCAGATGTGCACAACGTGTTCCACGTATCCCAGTTAAAGAAATGTCTTCGAGTTCCAGAAGAGCAAGTTCCCCTGGGTAATATCGAGCTGGAAAAGAATCTGACCTACAAGGAAAGACCGATCAAGGTTCTTGAAGAGGCAGAACGTCAGACTCGAAGGAAGACCATCAAGTTCTACAAAGTCCAATAGAGCAATCATTCCGAAGACGAGGCAACCTGGGAGCAAGAAGATCTTCTCCGCGCCGAGTTCCCGGACCTGCTCCCTTAGGTGCTGAATCTCGGGGTCGAGATTCTTGTTAGGGGGGTTGGTCTGTAGCGCCCGTTCCGTCGTGGCGCCTAGCGGGAAAATTATCTCTTAAAAACCCTAATTGCGAAATTTGTTTCTTTGCTTGTTGTCTAGTGTCCGTGCCATCTCAAGATATCAATCCCCGATCTATCGTCGAGTTCAACTCCGAATCCAATTCCTTCCAATCAAATTCCTCCGCAAAAGTCTATTTTGCCTCCCCCAAGGTCGATGGGCCGAATCTCGCTCGGCCCATCTTCCCCTCTTCCCCGGCCCATCTCTCCCTCTCCCCCCGGGCGCTCTCCCGCTCTCTCTCTCTCTCTCTCTCTCTCTCTTCCCCGCCCTCACGCTGCTCGCGCGTGCGAGAGCCGCCCCGAGCGCCTCTCTCCCCGCTCCCCCCCTCCGCCCCGCCCGCGCGCCGCGCGCGCGTGCGCGGGAGTCGCCCGCGCCGAGCGCCCCTCCCCTCGCGCGAGCTCCCCGCTCGCAAAGACGCTTCCCGCGCGCCGTGTTCGCGTGTGAGCGCCCGTGCGGACGCCGCCCGTTGTTTCCCGCGCGCGCGCGCCGAGTGGCCGACCGCCCGGTCGCCGCCGTCGTCAGCGTCTGCCGCGCCTGTCGCCAGTGTCGCCGCTCCGCTCCAAACCGCCCGCCGTCATCGCCGTCGTCACCGCCCGGCCCCCGCCACTCCGCGCGCAAGCCGCCAAGGGAAGGAGGCCGCGCCCTCCTCTCTCTGCCGCGTCGCCCCCGCTCCCCTCCCCCTTTTTCCCGAATCGGCAAAGGGGCAAGCCCCCTTTCTCCCCCTCCTTTTCCCCTTTTTCCTCCTCGCCGGCGTCATCCTCCCTGTCGCCGCTTTGGCCGCGACCGCCGAGCGCCAGCTCGCGCCCTTGACCGCCCTAAGTCGGTTCCCAAACCGACATTGCCATCCTATAAACCCAAGCCTCCCCCTTTCCCTTCCTCTCCCATTCGCCTCCTCACCGTTGCCGCCGCCCCCGTGCTCTGTCTCGCCTCCGCCGTCCTTCGCCAAGCGCCGGGAGAGCCGGTGCGTTCGAGGACGCGGAAGGGGACTTCGGCCGTGCCCTCTCCTTCCTCTTCCCCGGCCCGAGGCCGGAGAGATTACTCCCGCGCCGCTGGCCTCTCGTCACATCGCCCCTCCTCTTCTCGGTGATGTCTCTCTCCGTTCTTCCTCCTCGCTCCATCTCCTCCCCCTAGCTTTCGGTAGTAGCTTGAGTAGCCTCCCCGTAGTTAGCCGGCGCCGCCCCGACCGTTGCCGTCGTTCGCCGTGTGTTCGCCGCCGTCGCCGCTCGAGCTCCGTAGCACCCGCTCGTCGCCGGCCTCGCTCGGCGTAGTTCCACCCAATCCGACGCTAGCGTCGAGTTCCCGAAGCCGCGTAGATGCTCTCACCGCCGGGAATCGACCTCTCGTGACCTCGTCGCCGTTTCCCTCTTCTCCCGCCGCCGGTTGCCACCGCCGCAATCCGCCGCCGTCGAGCAACCTCCGGCGAATCCGAGCCGATGGCTCGCCTTCCCTTGTCACGTGCAACCGCCCGGTGTGCTCGCTGTTGCCCGTATCGCCGTGGTTCGCTCCGCCGCTCGCCGCCGCCGCCCGCCGTCCATTCGAGGCCGGGTCGTCGTCTACCTCCCGCCAGCCCACGTGGCCGCCACGTAGGCGCCACGTCGGCGCCAGCTCAGCCTAGACCGGATCGAGCCGACCCCGGTCAGTCCCTCCCCGTGCGCGCGTTCCACCGCGAGCCGTGAGGCTGCGCGTGGGCCCGCCGCACCTGCGTCCACCACGGACCGCTCGCGTGCACCGCGTCCTTTCCCCGCCCGCGCGCATGAGCCACGTACTCCCTCCGCACGGTGAGCCGAGCCGCTGACAAGCGGGTCCCACCCGGGACCGCGCGTGGTGAGCCCGGTCCACCGGACTCTCTCTCCTCCCTCCCGCGCGCGCGCTTGGGCCGTCTTGGGCCGGCCGGCCCGTTAAGCTCGGCCGAGCCGCTCCATTTACCTTGGACCGCGCCCTAGCCGCCCGAGGAAAAGTCTAATTTCCATCCCTCTGTTCTTTCTTTTCTTTTCTTTTTCAAAAAGGATTTAATTAAATCCTTTTCCTTTAGACCAAAAATCCAATAATCTTAGAAATTCAATATCTTCCCAACCGTAATTCCGTTTGACTCCGTTCAACTTCTAAAATTTCCCAAATCTCGAGATCTATCTAGTGGCACGCTTAGAGGTCTTTAATAGGGCTTTATTTTCGCCGTTTGTTGAGTTGTCCCGTTTCGCGTGTAGTTCCGGAACCCGAAGACCCGCAGTGCGAGAATTTCGAGGATCAAGCTCCAGATCTCGAGCAAGGCAAGCCACCTTTGAACATCTTGAGCCTATATTTGAAATTTAATTATATTGCTTGCGAAATATTATGCATTGATAGGATCACACTTAATCTGTTGTCCCGTCTGCAAGGCAGATTGGCAGACCTACCTAATTTGTTGCATTTGATCCTTCCTTTATTAATTGTTATACCATGTCCCCTTGTAACCACCCAGTTGCACCTCGATATTCGTGCACTCTGCGCGAGTATCGACGGTCGCCTTCAAACTTAAAATCTGAGAAACAACTTGGGTAAAACTGGAGTTTTACAAAAGACTTGGAAAACCCGACACCTGGGTCGGTGCTTGCGAACTAAATGAATTTCCAAAACCGCGGACCGGGGAACGTACCGGGTGTATGGTTTCCCGCTCTCGCACTTAAGGACCGATTCCTTGTAATTTCATCCAAACATAAGACAAGTACGACCACATGGGTGGAATGGGACACCCCTGGCTGAGTAACTAGCTTATCAGGGGAGCCTTGATGCCGAGAGACATGTGGATTCGCCGGGGTGGTGTCGGGGAGGACCCCTGGGCTTCTTGGCACAATATGGTCTGGGACCTAACCTGTTGTTGGTCTGGGACCCCTCTCGTCGGCATATGGTAAACCTGTGTCGGCTTTCGAAATGCCTTGTCATGAAAGCTTGGAGGTCTCCCGACGTGGCTGATCCCCACGGGCTGGGTGATCCGGGTTAGTAATGTCGTGTGGGTAAAGTGTACCCCCTCTGCAGAGGTCATTGAACTGTTCGAATAGTCGTGCCCACGGTCAAGGGCGGATGTGAGGTGATTCCTAGCGTAGTTTTGTCTGACTACTGCTTGTGAAATTGCTGTTGTGAAAAGGGGTTCGATGTTTGAAAAATCTGTAGCTGATGGGATCAGCTAGGCCCGGGTGGCCGTTTGAAAAGTTGTTGGCCCGGGTGGCCGTTTGAAAAGTTGTTGGCCCGGGTGGCCGTTTGAAAAGCTGTTGGCCGGGTGCCAACCTTGTTGCAATCCTAAAGACTGATACATTGCACATACTCCGACCGGACGAGACGCACTGTCTCATCCGTGTCGTTTGAGAAGCACTCACTTAGAATTTTTAGAAAAGAGTTCAAACAAAATCAATTACGAAAACAACAGCCTTTCCTTGAAGCCTGCATTAAACACTTATTTCCCCTGGCTTGCTGAGTACTCCCGTACTCACCCTTGCTCTATATAAATAATCCCCCCCCAGTTGCTGAAGAAGATGAAGTGGATCCTGCTGACGAAGAGTTCTTCCAGGAGCAAGTCGGCTACGATGAGTTTTAGGGTTTCGGCCTAGTTCCCAAGTCGCGCCTGTGATGAATGGTCCAAGTCCTGGCTTCCGTTTTCCTTTTGTAATGCAGTTGTGAGCTCGGGATCTGTCCGCAGCCCAACATGACTGTACTTCTACTCTATAATAAAGAGACCTCTGTTGCTGTGATACTCTGTCTCCCTGTGATACCAGCACTGTTTCCTGGGACTGGTATCGATTAACAGGTTAATTTGGAGCGTCACGGGCTAGTTCCGGTCGGGACTAGTTCGGGGCGTGACACTACTGTGCAAAGTGGCTGAAATAGCATATGGCGTCATATTTCTAGCAACTCCATTTTGACATAATGATAACAATCAAGGGATAGATGCTACTATGCTCTATATTGATTTTTTTTTCATAACCATCTGCATTAAATTTTAAAGAGAAAAAAGTATATGAGGGGACACCCTCAATGTGTTAGAATTCATGTTTGGGATTTTCTCATTCACTGTGTCGGCCCAACATGATGTGGCTCATTATAATGAACAGATTTTCCATATATTGGCCCAAGCAATGCTAGTACGCTGAAGCCCAAATTTGAAGGGTGACCTAGCCAGACGGCAAACACGGACAATTGAGCTTATGTCTGCTGCTCAAGGGGACACTAATTCTATACTTGTAATAGTACTGCTGTCTGAATGTGGGCTTCACTTGTTCTTGAGACATGTTATTGGGACATGGGGGGGGGGGGGGGGGGTGTGGAGCTCCCCTTTTGCGACAACGGTGGTGAAGCAGATGCAGTGGCGATTGGTGCGGTTTAACGGCTGCCTTGACCAACTAGGGCGGTAGCAATACATGATGCTTAGCTGAATGACCTTCCACTACCTAGCCGACGTGAGATTGTTTTGTATGAATCGTGCATGTTGAGAAGAAAAGATTGGGAAGATCTCTTTGTAACAAACTTTGGAGTCTCATCCAAAAGTTCACAACATGAACATAACACAATGTTAATGCATTTGCGTTTCCGCTTCCAAAATACCATTATATCATTATAGTTGCAGGATGTATTAAGTTAGCAGTATTAATTATAGAGTTGGTATTTGACAATTTTTTTTAAAGTCTTGGAGGTAGCATTTATATCAAGAAAAGGTGCATAATTGGTCTACATATTTATCTCTTCATTAATACAATGGTTATCACATTCAACAACTTCGGTGGTTCTCAATATATTAAACATCTCTCCTTATTATTCTAATCGCTCATGTTTTATTCTCTTCTCTATCCCCACCAGGTTACGGCGAAGGCAACCTATAGTAAGGGGGAAGGGAATGGTAGCAAACATGCCTAGGCGTGGAGGCTCCCATCTACGGGGCCAAAGTCGAGCCCGGGATACGATGAAAACAAGTAGTAAAGGAACATATATTATTGTTAAAGAGTTAGGAAGGGGCAAGCGACGCGACCAGATATCCAAAAGAGAAGGATATCCGATTCAAATGACGGAAAGTGGGTCTGATAGTGATGATGAATGGGTACCAAATAGGCACCAAGCAAGATGACCAAAAGCGTCAACTGCAGCAATCTCCGACCAGATAGAATACTTGGAATCTCATATGTTATACTTTTCTTAAACAAAATAATAGACTCTAGGCATATGCATGGCATTCAAGTGCATCATCCCCTTTCCCCCTTTTTTTATAGCGGTGCTAGCTTTGATCTACCATCTTTTTTAGTTCTTATTTAGGCGTGGAGCAACGATTGGTATTGATTTGATCATGGACATGAGAAACTAATAATCTTCCTTAGGGTTTTTGTTCGATTTATATCTTAAAATCCACCAATTGTTAGGTTTATGTGGAATGCATAAATGTAATATATGGGAAATTAGGGGAAAAAAACATAGGAATGCATATCCGAGATAGATGATTTTAAAATGTAGGAAACATAAAAGGGTAAAGTGTTTTGAACACATATACAAATATTGCCATATAAGTGTATATTATAATTGGTACCTACATGTGCTCAAATCATGGTTATATATATTTGGTGCTATAAAGCTTGATTTATGTACATGGCAAAGGAAAGAAAAAGGGCCCAAGATGGACGTGAAAATTCCTATAGAATCGAAGGCGCCAATTCCTTGGTTCCTTTACGCTTAGTTCATTTGTTCCAAATGGATGAACAATAAACTTTCACAGGTATTTACAATTTTCCATGAGAAATCTATATGAGCTCTATTCTATTCTTTGAGCCAACCACTGGTCACGTTTTTTCCCCTTCTTGCATTATAAATAAACAAGAGTTGTGGTCACAATCATATATATTTCTCATAACGAATTCCTTATCGCTGAATTTTCTATGCCTACGTATGTTCACTTCTATAGCAAGCATTCATCATAGTTATATTGCTATGAATGTTAGAGAGAGAGAGAAGTAGGAGTCATTGAGTATACACCTAACCATTCAATCCAAAATCAAACAACCGAAGACTACACACTCCCTCACACCGATAAGTTTTTCTCATAATAACAAAATAACTCATCGAATATAACTGTACTTTATACAACATGTCGTGGTCGTTAACATGGAATACCTCATAACCTACAAGCTCACATATTGGAGACTTTAACTTTTATCAAATATTTTGTTCCAAAGCTTACATAAGCATATGAAGAATTGGGGGATTAAGATTCTGAAAAGCCGCTGGTTAGTAGCCAACTTTTAAGAACATAAAAAAATCTATATCTTTCAGTTTTTAGTTTTTTAACTACGTAATTTTAGAATCTAGATGATTAAAGATCTTAGATAAATTTTGCTAGAAGCTCCTTAGAAGTTATTATGACTTGGGACGGAGAGACTCCGAGAGCGCTGCAACCGCAAACCCGCAACGCGGCCGTGCTCCTCGAATTTGACGAGATTTGGCGAAGCCGCCCGCGCGCGGCGCGCCCTCGGCCCCTCGCCAACAACAGGCGCGACGAATCCGGTTCAAATCCATTAAAGAAAGGGGCCCCACACGCGGGGGCCACTTCACCGACATGTCGTCCCCACCGCCGCAGCGCCCGCCAGCTACGTCCCCGCCCGCGCCGGCCGCCGCCGCCGCCTCCCCCCAGCCGCTCCCCCGCGCCTTCCTCGCCGCGGCGGCCTCCTCGCCCCGCCGCGCCGCCGCGTCCCCGGCGCCGGCACCGCCGCCCCCGCCCTTCACCGGCCGCCCGCTGAACCCTAACCCTAGCCACCATGCCACCGCCGCCCACGGCATCCTCTATCCCGTCGCCACGTCCTCCGCCGCGGCGGCTGCGGCCGCCGCCACCGCGAACCACCGCCGCGCGCCCGCGGTCGCCGTAGGGTACCCTCGCGCCCACGCCGTCGCGGTGCCCATAGTGCAGCCGCAGCATCCCCTGGCGCCCACGCATGGCCGGTCGTTCCCCGCCGCCCCGAGGGCGGTGGTGGCAGGTGTGTCGTCGCGCCCCGAGCAGCCTCCCCGAGGAGTCCCTATAGCTCAGCAAGCACAGCCCAAGGTTAGTGACTAATTTTAGTCTGCGAGCTTTGCAAGGAAGGGGAACTAGACGAGAACTTGAAGTCTTGAACGTTCTACTCTCTAGAGCTTTTTAATTAAACGCTACTTGTAGATTTCGGTGGCGATTTATGGTAGATTTTGGAACTTATTACCTGTTGGGCATGCTACGTTTCATGTGCATGTTGAATTGCTTAGTGAACTTATATTTGGTAATAGCACAATGCTACTTCTGAGGTAAATTAGGCCCATGTGAATGGTTCCGTACTGGATTTAGATCTTGTAAAAGCGAAGACACGAATTCATGGGTTTTTTTATTGTTATTTTGATTATAAATGGTGCTGGTCTATTTTGGGTGCTGTGTTAATTAGGCTATTCCTTATTGATAAATTCTGGACTTAAATATTGTGAATTTTGAAGTTCCCTTAAATTATGCTTTTCTGGCATCTTTCTTAGGTCATTCCACTACCAGCTGTAACTCCATCTCCTCAAGAGATCAACAACTCAAAAGATAGGTAAGAAAACTACAAACTGTAGTGTGTTATCTTTTTCTTTTGAGGGGATATAGTTACAAACTATAGTGTTTTATCTTTTGGACTTAGACTTCCCAACTGTCAATTTTGATTGTTTATTTGTAGTGAAAGGAGCAAGGAGGACTCTACAACAGTGGTTATTAATGACCGTAAAGTAAGTTTATGTTTCTTAAACTTTTTTCTAGAACATTTGCGCTGTGTTAATGCAAATACATTGGCTAGATGAGGAGAATACCTGTACCTTTGGATAGTTGGAACATGCCCAATCACTTTTGCCCATTATCATGAATCTTTGGGATACCAGTTATGGCTCACCTTAGACGTTTTATATGATACAAATTCTTTTTCTTTGCTCTGATTAGTGACACTATTTCAGCTCCTATGATAAACATGATTTTGTTTGGTTTAACATTTACCAAAGAAATTTAAAACGTACGGCTCTTCACACCTTATTTTTTCTGTTCATGCAAATGCAAATTGCTTCTATTTCACAATTCATTTTCTTAATTATCCAAATGGTTTTGTAGATACTTGGGCTACGAGGCTGAAATTCTAATTTCTAAATATAATTGGCCCACATATGAGGAACCTCACAATATAATCTATACCTTGTTTTATCCCGACAGATCAAGTGGACAGCACAAACTGACATTTCTTTTTATTGTTCCAAAGGTTAACTTGATGGATAGTGAGTCAGGATCCTTGTATGCACTTTGTCGATCATGGGTGCGTAATGGAGTTCCACATGAAAGTCAGGTTAGCATGCTCACTCGTTACAAATGAATGATTTGGGCACTTGCCATGTGAAAATTTCTCTATAGTTATGTTAAACTAGATCCTAACAGGTTCTTACACGCCTCAATTGTCATTCTGGTGGTCTTATAATTTCTAGAGTTACTCTAAAGTGTATTTCTTCTCAGTTATAATTTATAAATGCAATTCTAGGACTACAACTTGATTGATTATGTTGTATGCCTGAATTTTCCTCTTACTACTTTGAACGGACACACATTTGCTCTCTGTTATTTAAAGTTTGGTTTAACATCAACAAGCTTCAAACTTGTGAGAATTTTGCCAGGTGCACTTTGTATGGATTGAATTGTCCTATAAAATGTAATTGCCTAGTGGAGCGATGTCTCCTGTAGAGACAATGTGAGTTGTTTTGCACTGCATGCTTTCTTCTTTCCTTTGTACTAATAGACAGGCAAGGCTCCTGTCACTTTACTCCCCTCCACCACCACCACAAGGAATTCCCCTTTTGGCTCTTAATATGTGAATATCTGCAGTTCATAGTCCATATTTTGTATGTGCATCATGCTATCCATGCACTTGTCTTACTAGTTCTTGCAGCCAAGCTTTGGAACTGGTGCACCAATTCTTCCAAGACCACTGCCTGCTTCAGTCGTGGACTCTAGGATATCAGAAAAGGACAATGATGCTGAGAAAGAGAACTCAGAGGAAGAGAAGGTATCTTGTAAAAAACTAACTTTGAAGTTTTGATCTTTGATTCAATGAATCTAGCATTTTAGTTATGCTAATTCATCGTACAGCATAACACTTAGTTATATTCTTTCCAGGCAATTCTGGATCATACTGGCATTTTCTGATTTTTGGCATGTAAGCGTGTATGCCTTTTATAACTAATATTATGACTAATACATGCAAAAATTGCTGTATTTCTTAGGAGTTGCACATACCAACTCTGAATTTTACGCTTTACCCTGTTATTTAAAATGAAGTATATTGTCTATCTTATGTCCTGCATATCCCACTCTTGCTTATTTGCAGTTGTCTTGGTCCATTATTTGCCCATGTGTTCCATTTGCTCCCAAAATAGTTAGATTTGCTTCCCAGTTACAACCTTCAATAATATTAGGTATTAGGTGACGGTTTCATCCAACATGTTTGAGAAATCCGGGTTCATTTCAACCTTGCCATAGAAATGTAGTATCCCAAAAAGTTCTTGAGACTGAAGGGATAAAGGAGTCCCTTTTTCGTCTGTAAATTGATATTCTTGGGGAGAGCTACTTGCTTGTGACTTCTGTTACTGACCACTTTGTAGCTATTGTTACTATTTCCTTCTATTATCTTTTCTATCACCACAAGCATAGTTTTTTACATCTATAATCGCAGTGTTACTATATTAGCTCAAAAACCATTGGCTTTGATCTTCTGTGCAGAATGAAACCGGTGAATATACTGCAAGTGACTTGCTGAAGCAGCATGTGAAGCGTGCAAAAAAGATCCGTGCTGGGTATGTATTTGTTTTCATCTTCCAGCCCTTTTACGTATGATTTGTGAAGTGAGCAAGTAAGTTCAAAATATGGTGATGCAATAGTGATGATTGGCTTTTGCTTCCAATATGTAAGTCCAGCTTGATTCTTCAGGTATCCAACGAAACAATAATGATGCACTAGCAAAAATGGTAAGAAGATATATTATGAAAGTGTTTCACAAGACAAATGAAAATATGTAGTGTGATGTTGTCATGTTGATTGTTTTGGTGTAGTCAGTTTATATAACATATATTAACACCTTAATCGCAAGCTCAATCAAACTTATATTGCTGGGTGGAGATATTAAGTTAGCTAACTTAACGCCCTTTTATGTGGTGTAGTGGAGAGGTTTTAGGTTGTCATTTTGATAGACGGCAGATTGAAAACATTAGTTGAGGAATGGCTGTTTGAGAATGTTATCTTCATTAGACAGAGTTACTGAGTGTTGTGTTCCACTTTGACATAAATTTCTTTGGCAGTTTGCAAAAGGAGCGGCTCCGACGGATTGAAAGATACAAGCAGCGCCTTGCACTTCTCTTACCCCCGCCTAGCGAGCTTGGGAAGCATGATGGTCATTCGTAGAAGTGTAAAACCGACCCAATTTGTATTCAAGTGTTGTAGTAGCTCTTATGTAGCCTTGGTGTTGCCGTTTTAGTTAAGAAAAGAAAAATCTGAAGAAGCTGAAACAGCATTTCATCTGCTGGCCTGTAACTTCGTTAGCATAGTCGTTCGAGCGACATATACTTACCCAACAACAAACTTTGACCTCCATGTAAACGTCTTCTCCGGCTGTGTTCAGCGTTTGAGTTTAACATAGTTTTATGCAATGACTTGTGCTATTTATGCTGCTGGATGTTTGTACTAGACAAGAAATTTGATGGCTGTATGCACGAGTGTTTTTGCATGTTGTGCCATTGCGCCTTGAATGCATGATTAATTATCCTTTTGTGCTTAATTCCGTCGTTACTTCGTCTTAGAAAGTATCTGTCAAACCATTTCTCTTTTGATAGAAGCTATTCATTTTTACCTTTTTGCGTAGCTAATTATTAATTCACGTGTACATTTCAATCTTCATAGAAAAGAAATAACTAAACGAAATTAAAACATAAAACACATGTGCAATCTATTATATTACTAAACAAATTGAAAGGAGGCACCATGTTCGCTGTGGGGGCTAGAAATTTCCACATTAATCGGAGAAAAAGAAAAGGAGAGTCCAACTAGAAATTCGAAATAACTGAAATTCGGAATTAAAAATAAGTACGGTTGAAAAGAGAGTTCGTATAAGAACCCAATACAAGATTAATTAATATTCAGAATAAAAAATAAAATAAATCCGAAATTTGAAAAAACGAAAGAAGAGTTCGAGTAGAAATACAATTTAAAAATAACTATATTATTAAAAACAGCTTTAAAAGGAGGTATCGCGTTTGCTATGGAGGCTAGAAATTCTAACATTAATCGAAAAAAAAGAAAAGGAGAGTCCAACTAGAAATACAATTTAAAAATAACTGAAATTCGGAATTAAAAATAAGTACTATTGAAAAAAAGAGTCCATATAATAATCCAATACGAGATTAATTAATATTCATAATAAAAAAATGAAATCCAAAATTAGAAAAAAAAAGAAAGAAGAGTTTGAGTAGAAATATAATTTAAAAATAACTAAAATTTAGAATTAAAATTAAGCAATATTGGAAGAAGAGTCCATATAAAAACCCAATACGAGATTAATTAAAATTCAGAAAAAAAATAAAAAAATCAAAACTAGAAAAAAAAAGAAGAGTTCAACTAGGAATACAATTTAAAATTAACTAAAATTTAGAATTAGATATATGAAATATTGAAATAAGAGTACATATAAGAACCCAATACGAGATTAATTAAAATTCGGAATGAAAAATAAAATAAAATCTGAAACTAGACAAATTAAAAATATAATTCAAGTATGAATACAATTTTAAAAGTAAATTGGAATCATGCCATTATAATTTTGCAAAGTTTGAGATATGTCATCGGTATCTCAATGACATATAGGACCCATATGAGTCAATGACATGTGGGTCATGATGGCATATCTCAAATTTTACAAAATTATAATGGCATGGTTCCAATTTTCCATTTTAAGAAGACTGAAATAAATATTAAAAGAACACAATACAATATTAGTTAAAATTCGAAATAAAAAATAAAAATAAATTATGAAATTAGAAAAAGAAAAATAAGATTTAACTAGGAATACAATTTATAAATAACTAAAATTGGTGATAAAAAATAAAGACTATTGAAAGACAAAGATCATCTAAAACATATGACGAGATTATTTAAGTAATAGGCCTATAAAGGAGTAGAGTGATGGTGGTTGATGGGACATCTAAAAACTATTAACAAAAGGAAGGATGACGGGCAGGCCGTGAAGCAACCGGTTAAGGTGGTTGGCGGGACTTCTATAAAGTAAAAAAAAAACCAATGATAATCATATTTGATTTTTTAAATCTCAATGATAATAAAATGAAGAGGCAGTGGACGGGTTGTACAGGAGTACAATGGCAAAGCCGCGGATGGTTGGTGTGACTTCTAGAAATTAAAAAATGAATTCCAATGATAGTTATGTCCGGTTTTTAGAATCCCAATGAATATAAAGAGTAAGCGGCGGACGGGTCGTACAGGAATATAGTGGCATCGTTTGACGTGATTTCAAAAAATTATAAAAAATGAATTCTAACGAGACAATAAATTATAAAAACTATAAGGTCCAACTTTAAAAGTTCGGTCTTCTAAAAAGTAAAAAAAAACTTCAATGATATTCATGTTTGATTTTAAAATCTCAATGACAATAAAGAAGGAAGGCAACGGGCGAGCCATAGAGGAGCACATTGACAAAGCTGCTGACGTTTTGGCGGAACTTCTTAGAAAGTAAAAAATGAACCCAAGCGATAATTATGTTCTATTTTGAAAATAACAACGACAATAAAAAAGAAGAGGTAGTGGATGAGCCGTATAGGAGTATAATGGTAGCGTTTGACGGGACTTCTAAAAATTATAAAATCGAAACCCAACGGGACAATAAACTCTAAAAACCATAAGATCTAATTTTGAAAGGCTCCAAATAGAATGAATAGAAACAGTGCCAGATCGGACAAGCAAATAAAGAAGGATATAACAGAAGTAACAGATAGCAACTGGTGTGACTTTTAATAAAAAATATAAAATTAGAAACATGGAAATGATAAGATTTGAAATTTCAAAGTCTTAACAACAATATAACTATTTAATAAATTTTAAATAAAATCATATTAAAGATATATAATTTTGTATAGGTGCTAACCGCGCAATTGCGCGGGCCACCCAACTGGTTTCCTTTCAACAAACAATTTCACGGAGACGCTGATCAACCTGATGATCAGCCGCGGTTGACCACCCTGCAGTTCCTCCTGATCTCCCCCATGCTCCCGGTGAGCGGGCTGATGTTGCCCATCTTGACCATCGCCGTCGCGAAGCTCCTGAAGAAGTCGTCCTGGCTACCGGCGAACCACACGACGATGGGCGCGGTGGTCGAGGCGGCGCCGCCCGGCGCGGAGAGCATCCCCTGGTCGGACTGGAGCAGGCCGCGGTTGCGCAGGAGGTTGCCGTAGTAGCTATTGTCGAACGCGTCCGGCGTGGGCGGGTCGAGGTTGCGCAGCGCCGCGCTTTCGGGGTCGCTCGCCGGGCAGCTCTGCCGGAGCTCGTTGAGGTAGGCCATGTCCAGCGTCTGGTCCGGCTGCTCCGTGCCGCTGATGTTGTAGAGCCGGTCGTGGAAGAACCTGCACTGCGCCCTCCCGATGGTGTGCGCGCCCTGGAGAGCGACGAAGTCGGTGTCGTCGAGGTTGAATTCGGAGAATTTCCGTCTCAGGAGGTCCAGATCGTCCGTCGGTCCGGGGAGGTCTCTGGCGCCCTCGAAGTTCGCCGCCGTGCCGTCCCTCCTCCCCAGCATCACGTTCCAGCTCGGCCCTCCTGACTGCTCGACAAGAAAGCGTACGTGTCAGCGATCCACAGATACTATATGGTTCGGCGTGATTGAATGTTTGATGGCATGGGTGCGTGCATGGACTGACCAGCTCGACGGAGATCTCGGCGGCGAGGGCGAGGATGTCGGCGCAGGAGACGACGCCGGGGCAGGCGTTCTCCAGGGCAGCCTTGATGCCGTCCACCACGTCGAACCCACGCGCCGACCCTTTGTTCGGGGGCGCGTTCTTCTCGCTCTGCATCGCGCCGAAGTCGTCGAGCAGCAGCGACCCGTCACACCCCTGCACACACAAACACGTTAATCCCAGCTCAAATATGTCACGCAAACGCCATGCATGGCACGCAACCTAGGACACACTGTACGCACATTGACGAAGCAGTCGTGGAAGTGGAGGCGGAGGAGGCTGGCGGGGGCGCGCGGGTCGGTGCAGCGCGCCTCCTGGACGACGCGCCGCACGATGTCGTACACGCTTGGGCACGACGCCTCGTAGTACGACGGGCTCATCACCGGCCAAGCGCTCGCGCCCCCCGCCGCCGCGAGGACGACCAGCGCGCACAACACCACCACCGAAGCCGCCGCCGCCATGCACGCCGGCGAATTAAAGTGATCTCGCTAGGAAATTTTTGCTCTCTGTGCTAGCTATATCTATCTCGCCAGCTACCTCAGCTCGGTGACTGTGAGATTAGCTAAGCTTGGTGTTGCGTTGTTCGTGGAGCGGACATGGCGTCGCCGGGTGTATTTATATACCAGGGCTCGAACGAGGTTTGACATGTTCCGGCTACGGTAGTTGCAGACGCCGCTTTTTCGTGCAATGATGTGTGGACTCCCTCCAACGCCAACGCGTACTACTTGCCTACTTGATCGTGTACTTGTGTAGTGGTTGAGCACTTGAGCTGATCTGCTGATGTGACAGAAGGGGTCTAATTTCTTGATCGTGACCAGATAGAGGTGATTACTCGAGAGAGCAACTCGTCGGCCAGAAATCGCTGAATTGTTAGTTTATTGTATTATTATTAGTACAAACAGTAAACCTTTTAGTATTATACTCTGCACACACGCATTAGATAATTTCAAAAGCGTGCAACATTTGGCTTGTCAGGTGTTTTGCCTTGCACCTTCTTCAGGCCTCCAACTGCTCCAGTATTTACCAGTTGATGAACTGGTCTTGGATTCTTACTGCTATAAGTAATTTTCGTGACATAGAATTAGTCTGATGATTAGAAGGGATCTTCACGTACTTTCTTATGAGTCTGTATAACTGAAAAAATCAACTCAAACTAAGCATCTAACTAGTACAAGAACGTTTACTTCTTGAAGAAAAAAAAAAGGCATTTCCTAATTTTTTTTAGTGACCAATCATCTACGGAACTAGGTGAAACCCGGCGCGTTGCTGCGGGATTTCAGTATGATAACAATAAGTAAAAATAATATGTAAGATGGCTAACAACATATACTTACATAAGTTGATATGGTTTATGATAATTTAAATTTAAATAGTATATAGACGATTCAAATGTAAAAGTAAGATATTGAAGTATTATAAGAGAATAAAGGGAGTGAGATAGTTTGGACCATAGATTAATCATTTAAGGCTAAAAATAATTGATGTGATATGATTTAATGGGAGAAGAGAGAAATAACACTAACTAAGTGAGGATGTACCATATAGGTATATATGATATTATCATAAATGATGAAGATATATATTGAAATATTATGTGAATTATTTGGAGTGATGATTTAACATGTTTACATTTTTAAACTCTAAAATTTAATAAATTATAAAATTATAGATAAGATAACATGCTTGTATGATGTTTAAATGTAATAATTGTTAATGGATGATGATGTGATATATTGTTAATGTATTATGATGTGACATCTTTGCATGTTGAGCTTTAGAATTAGTGGGTTATAACTTTATAGTAAGATAGGATAAGTTCATTATTGTCCCTCAACTTCACGTTGAGTCAGTCCGAGGTCCCTAATCTCAAATACCAGAAATCTTCACCTCTCAAATGTTCAAAGCCGTACAAAATAGGTCCCATAGCATAGGTCCCATAGCATTATATATGGGTGGTTTTGCTGACATGGCATCCGCCTAGTCAGCAAAGAAGGAATAAAAAAATTACAGAGCCCATATGCCATTTACAGAGCGGTGCCGCGCCGTGGAGTTGAGGAAGATCCCGACCTTGGAGAGGTCGGCGCCATCCCCCACAACGGAGAGGTGGGAGGAGATGACGGAAGCGGCCACCAGATCGGAGGCGGTGAGATAGGTATCTTCCCCGGAGAAGTACGAGAAGGGGTCTCGGAGACCGTGCTAGGTTTGACGGCGAGGGCGTAGGTGCCGCCACGACCGCCGCCGCTGCCGGCAATGGAACTAATCGATGGGCGCTGGCTGTGGCGATGGGAACCGGCTTGCGAGAAGAGGACGCAGAGCTAGAGGCCATAGCAACGTAGGAGAATGGCATGGCCGGCGGTGAGGTAGTTGCGAGGATGAAGCAGGCGAAGCCAGCTGGCGGAGCGGTGAGCGGAGCAAGCCGCTCGCCGCCGCCCGCTGCCGCGCTCGCCCGCAGTCGCTCTCTTCTCTGCCGCTGGCGCCCCTGCTCCGCTCCACGCGGGCGCGTTGCTCTGCCTACTCGCTCTAGACTCTTGTGGTCTTGCCGCCACCCGCTTCCACATCCTTCTCTACGGCGAAGAGAAAGAAAAGAGAAGAGAAAAGAGAAAAGAGAAGAAAGAAGGGATGCATACCCCACATTTTTATTCGTCTCCCTTACATGTGGGTCTAGATTGCTAACTGGGATGCCATGTCAGTGAAAACACCCATATATACTGATATGAGACCTATTTTACACGGTTTTGAACATTTAAGGGGTGAAGATTTCTGATATTGGAGATTAGGGACACCACAGACTCGACGTAAAGTTGAGGGATGGTAGGGGAACTTATTCCATCATCATCTACCTCGGCAAGAACTTGCCCGGCCCACTAACTAGAGGCGCAGCTGGGCCAACTATTCCCTCGGATTGTGCGGACCATTTCGGCTGCCCGTCTTACACTCCACGCTCCCCTCCTCTTCAGACCAAACCCTAGCTCGCACCGTATAAATCGGCGAACATCCAGCCTCCTCTCCCCCCGCCGCCGCAGCAGCAAGGAGCTAGAGAGACAAAGGGGAGAGAGCCCCGGGGAAGAAGAAGAAGCAGCAGCTAGGGCGCCAAGATGCAAATCTTCGTGAAGACCCTGACTGGGAAGACCATCACCCTCGAGGTGGAGAGCAGCGACACCATCGACAATGTCAAGGCTAAGATCCAGGACAAGGAGGGTACGCACCCACTACACCCTCTTCTTCTTGTTGTTCCTCCTCCTTCATCTGTGGCTTTGCGGCGGTAGCTCATGGGGGTTTGTGTCGGCAGGAATCCCGCCGGACCAGCAGCGGCTGATCTTCGCCGGGAAGCAGCTGGAGGACGGACGCACCCTGGCTGACTACAACATCCAGAAGGAGTCCACCCTCCACCTCGTCCTCAGGCTCCGTGGCGGTATCATCGAGCCGTCGCTTCAGGCGCTTGCCCGCAAGTACAACCAGGACAAGATGATCTGCCGCAAGTAAGCTACAAACTTCTCACCAAATCATCTTACTTTACTTTTATCCAGCCATACAACATATTCGTTCCTTTCTTGATGCTATGGATAGTGGTAGCATGTTTATAAGCAGGCTAGCTAGCCAGCGCGTTTCTCCTGTACTTGTGCCGTTTATCTTTTGAGTATATGGAATTGCGTTCGTCAGGAATGGAGCCAAAACCTAGAGACACATTTTTATTCAGCCTTGGAATAAAAAAGATAATATTTTTATTGTTTCGTTACTTATTTGTGGTGCACTCTTCTAGCTTTAAAGATAAGTCACTTCGGTCACCATTAAGTGGACCTGAAGCTTTCTTTTCTGAAGAGATGCAAGATAAATTATGGGGACCTCTGGACATGCGGCTTCTTCCAGTAGATTCTCGCATTTTCTCGTAGGTCCAACACTTATATAACATTTTATCCCCTACTTTCAGCTATTTTGTGAGCATCAGAGTAGCAAAAAACAGTTATTTGGCTCGATGATGACTACTCTTGCTTTAACCACACCGAATTTGAAGACCGGAGGAAGTGTAAAATCTCATTTCTTTCATTACTCTTTGCTCTTCCTTCTCGGTGATTCCTTATGAAATCTCTTCCTTTTGGTGAAGAACTACTACGGAATTTATTTTCGTAGTTTTTGTCCTTTATCAAAAGATTGCGATTGAAGGATGCAGCGAGATAGTGGAGCATAGTGTAAAAGGAAGTGGGAAGCTATCTTCTGATGGATCTTCATGTGTGGAAAACTTTGGCCTAGACTGAGAGCCATCAATGTAAATGCCCTTAGATTTTTGCTGTGGCCATCAGTTCTGGGCACATTGTCTTCATAGATACTCCGGAAGAGTGTAAGACTCTGGAAGATGCACCATGCACGGCCAAAGAATTTCCATGTTGGCATGTTCTAGACAGCTATTATTTGGTTTAGTCTTTTGTGTTATTTTTTCTGTGTTTTATGTGTCGAGTGTGCTACTTTTCTACCTGGCAGTAGTGATGAATCAATTAGATGTGTGAAGTGACCTTATGAACTTAACTTTTGAGGCATACATTCTGTCTGAACTGCCATATGTACTTCTCTTCATAGTTGCAAATTGCAGTGCCTATTTGCTTTGTTCATTCTTGTTATTTTTGGTTATTGATTATCGGTGTGTGAATTTGGTTTTCTTTATTTGTTTGTATGGACAGTTGGTCCTTTTTTAATTGGCAGGAATGATGAATCAATTAGATGTACGAGGTTACCTTATGAGCTAAAATTTTGAGGCATACAATTGTCTGACTTGCCAATCTACTGTTGTATTTCAGTGTTTCGTTACATGTCTGTGGTCCATGTTCTCTTATTTTCAATTGCCTATGTATGTGCATGCTTTTATTTGACATGCTATTTGCAACTTTTCATGCTGTACATAACTCCCAAGGGGTCATGTTTTATATTTCTGTATGTATCTTGGACTGTAAAAAAACAAATTTTAACTTTGACCGACCTTGTTATTTATCTACAGATGCTATGCGCGCCTGCACCCTAGGGCTGTCAACTGCCGCAAGAAGAAGTGTGGTCACAGCAACCAGGTGAGCTTGATGATTGATAGTGGGGCTTACTATTATTTTACAGTAGTCATGCAATTCAGTCCATCTTCTGGTTACCCTTTAGGAATTGTTATGATGATTGGATGGAAGTAGGGTTTTCATATGTTCTAGATTTGTTATTTGTGCCTTTAAGCTTGTAAATAATGGCCATGGCATTTGCTAGCATGATTTCAATAACATATACCATAACATATCAACATACCCTTTTTATTTTGGCTGTTTGATCTAACGAAAATTTCTGGTCCTTCCACTTTCAGCTGAGGCCCAAGAAGAAGATCAAGAACTAGAGCGTCACTCGCCGGGTTCATGGACTGGTTAAATCAATCGTCATATTAGACTTTTATGCTTCCGTTGTTATCTCCCTGGATGTTGTTGAACCGTGTTTTACTGTGCTGGATGCTTCAGCTTCTTGTTTTGACGGTCGTGGTATATGGTAATTGGCAGCAAACTATATTGGTCATGTCGAAATTGTCGTGCGTTTCAATATTTTCTAGTGTTGTTTTCGATGGCAAGCGGCTCTGCTCCCAGGCTCCCAGGTCCCAGCTCTCTGCTCGACCTTATGTAAGGTGTGCAACTGTGGCAAGTCACACCTCGTTTGCAATGTTAAGAGCATCACCAAGATCCATCCACAAAATTTAGTTTCCGTGAATCCCAAATAAAATTTAAGGTGCAAAAAATAACTCTCAATAATAAAATGTGGGCTACTCTTAAGTCTTAACTACCACGGAAACAGAAATTGCTATGCACATCTCTTGCTATAAATTGCTATGCACATATCTTTCTTCTTGCCGTAGGAAGAAAATTGAGAATGAGAGCGCTTTCCGACTTTGTGAAGAGAATGCATTCTGGTTTAGAGTTTTTTTTAAAAAACTTTGTGAAGAGAGTGCTTTCTGATTTATGGAGAACGAGAAAGGAGGACAAAATGTAAATTTTTAAGACATATTTGAAGGGAATCGTTAGAGCACGTTTTTCACATAAGAAATCCAAATTTTAGGATTAGGCTTCACAAAGGAATACGATAGGCCATGCTCTAAGCATCATCCAAACAACTCCTACATATCGAAGCTTAAACACAGAAGAAAACCATCTTTATTTATGTTGAATCACAAGAACAAAACATCAGGCCGTGCTTACAACAATTGTAACGTACACACCGACACACTCAGAAAAATTAAACGAGCAAATTAAATGGCACAAAGTGAATGGGCGATCAAGCAACGAAATCAACATGGGCTTTCAACTATTTGTCACTCTTACGAATGGTGCTTAACGATTTACCACTAGACCCATACGTCATAGACACATGAGGACCCACATGTTATAGACAGTGAGGGGTAAATCGTTAATTGTCATATCATAAGAGTGACAAATAGTTAAATTGATTTACACGGGACGTCGATGGAGAATCATGCATGAAGCTGAGGCAGTACGCTTATAACAGAGCGACCGGCTTCATCCCCTCCTTGATGGCCGCAACCAGGTGCTCGTAGGCTTCGCCCCACGCGTTTTTCATCTCGGGGCTCCACATGCTCGCCGGAATCCCATCTTTGATCGTCTCAAGCAGCGCGAACCTCGCCACCTGCAGTTTAATTTCGATGCAACAACACCATCAGAACACGGTCGAGTTTTCACGTCGATCAAACGATCCAAGCAACTCCTACTACATCCGTCTTATACTCTTATTTCAAGTACAACTATCGGTTTCTATATCCAACGTTTAACCGTCCATTTTATTTATTTTTTTATTAGTTTGTTTGTTATTAGATGATAAATTATAAATAATATTTTTTACGTGATTTATTTTTTAAATTTTTTAATAAAATTTTTAAATAAGACGAACGGTAAAATATTGGATATAAAAACATTTGGCTGTAATTAAATGGGACGGAGCACTACGTATACATACCTCGAAGTGGGTGTCGGAGACGCCGTTCTTGAAGTGCGTGGAGCCCAGCCTCTTGATGGTGGTGTCCCTCACGGTGACCCTCCCGGTTTTCCGCAGCTGCGCAGCCGCCTCACACGTCTGCATGCGAGATCCATCGATCGGTTGATCGCGGCAAATGCGCGCACAAAATCTGTCAGTGTCAGCTGCAAACTCTAGTACAAAGGTCGGCGAAACTGTTTTTTGTTTACCATGACGAAGACGGCCATGGCGTGTTTCTTGAGATTGGGGTTCTTCTCGAGCGGCACATCGGAGTTTCGCAGGAACGAGAACAGATGGCGAGCCGACGGCGCGACCTCGAAGATCCTGGAGTACAGATAGAGTAGCAGCAGCAATCGATCAACAAATGCACTTGAAAGTTGCAGAAAACGGCAGTGAAATGTACTCATACTACGTACTTCAAGAAGAAGCGGTGGCCGATGTTGGCGGAATCGTCCTTCATGATAGCCCACGACTTGAGCACCAGCGCCTCCTGCTCCTCGGTGAACCTGACCGCCCCGTTGCTTGCGCTCGCGAAAGCCATGGCCTTCCTGAATGAATCCTGATCTACCAAGTTCCTGCTTTGATTTCACAGGTGATCGATTCGATCGCAGCTAGATCAACCCGATCGAGCTCAGTGCAACTCAACTGCTGGATCGATGCTATGCTATCTGAATACAAACTGCAGCAGTGCGAGGCCGATTTATACTGGTCGATCGGTCCGGGAATGGGGGCGGCCATTGGCTGTCGATCGTGTCGACGAGCGAGACGCATGGTGGTGGCACTCCACGTCCACTCCAGCTGCACGGAAGGAAGCAGAAAAACGACCTGAATATGGCGAATATCCGTCCATGCAAGCCGTGAAAACTGTGTGCCCGAGTGCAGCTGCGAGAGCGGGAAGCTGCACGAAGGCAGCATGCCTGCAACTCTGCATTGTCTCGCGGTTGCATGATGGATTGATGGGGGCGGTTTTGGGCGCGCCGCGCGCGGAAACCAGCGGCAGGTTTGAGTTAAGAATCCAGTTTATCCAAGTCAAACCATCCATGGTCCCGGCCCTTAATTTCTTTCTTGCCTGAAGACTCGAACTAGAGGCGAGATGGTTTGTTCGTGCTGCCCAAAAGGGCAGTGGTGGATGGAACGTTCCACAAAAATGGGAGAAGGTGACGACCATTTTTTGGCCTAACTTAATACATATTGTTACAAGAAAAAGGTCCACTTTATATCCCTCAATTATAGGTTGAGTTTTATTCATGTCGCTTAACCGCAAAACCAGATACGGAGCATTTCTCAAGTATATGAGATATACCTTATCCATAACATTGATAAATTTTGCGTTAAAAAATCTACTTGTTATTTACTATATATATACACTAACTGTACAATTTAACTTTAACAAAGATCTCGTAGGCAGATGCGGGGTGCTCGACCGCACAAGGGCTCCCAAAACTAAAGGCTCTTATAGGTTTTAATTCAATCAAATATTGTGTTTTAATAGGTTTCAGGACATCCCCATTCCATCTTTGTAAGTTTCACATCCCCTCCTCCAGTGATCTCGCTGGAACGAGTATGTTTTTTTTTCTTTTGCTTTGATAAGTCTTTGAGGGTAATTATAGTCCCCTGAAATACACATAGCTCATGACAACTATGTGATCACACCGTTCTAGATATTGAAGATTATTTTTTTTTATATTTCGTAAATAAAACATAATCATTTCATAAGGGTGCAATGATTTTCCTAAGCTTAAAAAAACCATCACCGGTGAGGTTAGTAAGCTTCCTAGCTTGGCTGTCCATGTGTTTATACTGTGTTCTCCTATATAAATCCAGCCGTTGTTAGTCGTGCGTTGCTCTTTTATTGTTTAGAGGGAGCACATTAGATGGGAGTGCATTTTCATCCTTGAGGAGATATCCCCTTGTTATCTACATGTCACTTAAATAGTTATGAAAAAAATTGAGAAGATGTATTAACATGTGATATATCACTCTACAAACATGCAAGTTTAAATGCAACTTCTACATCTCGCAACGAAAAAAACAAATTAAACTACAACTAGTTAACATATATTCACAATCAAATTTGTTTTTTTCGTTATGAGATGTAGAAGTTGAATTTGAACTTGCATGTTTGTAGAGCGATATATCACATGTTAATACATCTTCTTAAATTTTTTCAATTTTTTTCATAATCATTTGAGTGACATGCATACAACGAGGGGATATCCCCTCGAGGGATGAAAATAGTTTTTCCACATTGGATTTAGGGACAATACTTCTGATGTGGATAGAAGATCACCAGCCACATCGTGGCTGTGGTCTGTGGCTGAGCAAAGCATAGAGATAATGAATATTACAATGAATTGTAAATTATGTGGCATTAAGTGAAATAGTCTATAACATTAGTTTATTTGTAACTTCAATTTACATGCACAGTCAAAAGTAAACTCTACTATTTTACTTGCTGATATTTTTAAAATAGAGGGTCTTATCGTAGGTTTAGCGCCAGGGCCTCCAATTTATAGGATGACCGGGGGAAAGTGATTTTATCCCTCGAGAGAATATCCCCTTGTTTTATACATATGCCACCTAAATAGTCATAAAAAATATGAAAAAAAATGGCAACGTAGATTAATATGAAATATATCACTTCACAAACATACATGTTTAAACTCAACTACTACAAGTTGTAACAAAAGTAACAAATATAGTTACAAATGTGCAATAACTATTTTCAGTTTAATTTGTTATTTTTTTTGAAACTTGTAGAAGTTGAAATTTGGTCCTGCATGTTTATAGAGTGATATATTTCATATTAATCTATATGTTTTTATAATTATTTAGATGATATTTAAATAACGAGGGAATGTCTCTTCGAAGGATGAAAATCCACATCCTAATGATCGAAATGATATAAGTCGGCTGAGATGTACTTGCCCCAATTGTCTTCTCTTTTCTAAATGTTACATATCCAAGCGCATGCATGACATGTGGAACAAAAAAATGTCTCTTTATTAATATTTTGTCACGAGTAGAAAAACAACAGTGCTTGCATCCAACGTACACACACGGACACTCCATTCTCGGCGAAGAATATATATCAGACGAGCATATATATAATGGAAAAAAAAACATAACACCAATCGGCGAGCAACGAACGATGTCGAGATATATATGGAGGATCTTGATTCTTGAAGGCTTGAAGGTGCACACGTATTACGCAGCAGCCGGCTTCATCCCCTGCTTGATGGCTGCAACCAGGTGGTCGTAAGCTTCGCCCCACGCGCCCTTCATCGCGGGGCTCCACATGCTCGCCGGAACCGCCTCCTTGATCGTCTCAAGCAGCGCGAACTTCGCCACCTGTTTGTTTTACAAAAATCAGAACACGATCGAGTTTTCGCGTCGATCAAATGATCGATCGAAGCGGCCATTAATTAGCTAGAGATACCTCGAAGTGGGCGTCGGAGACGCCGTTCTTGAAGTGCGTGGAGCCCAGCCTCTTGATGGTGGTGTCCCTCACGGTGACCCTCCCGGTTTTCCGCAGCTGCGCAGCCGCCTCGCACGTCTGCGACACACGCACACATTCTCCGTCAGTGATTGCGGCAAAATCTTACTCATCGACGGCAATAACGAACTATATATGGAGTAGTTCTAATACCATGACGAAGACGGCCATGGCGTGGATCTTGAGCTTGGGGTTCTTCTCGAGCGGCACGTCGGAGTTTCGCAGGAACGAGAACAGCTGGCGCGCCGACGGCGCGACCTCGAAGATCCTGGAGTAGTACAGATATAGATTAGAACCAATCATATGCAGACACACACATCAACAAATGTACAAGTGAAAATGTATTGCTTAATGCTTGAGAAACACATGGTTGGTGCAGTAACTGATTCTGCCAAAATGGCAGTAACATTTTTCTTACTTAAGGAAGAAGCGGTGCCCAATGTGGGCGGAGTCGTTCTTCATGATGGCCCACGACTTGAGCACCAGCGCCTCCTGCTCCTCGGTGAACCTGACTGCTCCCCTCGACACGACGTTGCTTCCGTTCGCAGCCATGGCTTCCTGACAAAATTCCTGCTTCGATGTGGTTACTCTGCGTAGCAAGTGATCGAGCAAGGGACACTGCTAGATCAATTCAAGCTCAACTGAACTCAAATGTTGGTTGCTGCCTGAATCCAAACTAGAGCGTAGTGAGGCTGATTTATACAGGTCGATCGGTCCCAGGATGGAGCTGGATCTGATGGTCGTGACGAGCAAGAGAAGCATGCTTGGTGGTGGCACTCCACTACAGCTCTACGTACTGGCCGGAGGTAGTAGCGAATATCCATCAATCAAAGCCGTGAAACTGTGTGCCCGAGAGAGGCCGGGAAGCTGCACGACGGCATGCCCGCAAGGCCGCAACTCTGCTGTCTGCATGTCTCGCTCGCGTCTGCATAATAGGGGCGGTTTGGCGCGCCGCGCGCGGAAACCTGTGGCGGGTTTGAGTTTAGAAACCAAGTCAAAATTTGTTCGTATTCGTGCCGCCCAAAAGACCAGTAGTGGATGGAACGTTCCACAAACATGGGAGAAAGCCACGGCCCTTTTGGGCCAAATTAGCCAGATGTTCCGATCCAGGTTTGGCAGCCGAAGGGCTACGCACAAATGCCTGGGCATTTTACCTCTAGAAGATTGTCAAAAGTTAAATCTGGATGCAGCAATATCACGATCGGATAACAAGGGAGCTGTTGGAGCAGTGTGTGCCGTACTATATCAGGTGAATTTGTGGCAGCCAGTACTATGGTCTGGGAAGGGTTCTCTGACTCAGCCATTTAGAGACACTTGGGTGCAATGAAGGGTTAGCAACTTAGCAATAGCTATGGACTGCAACATGTCAAAGGTCTATGTAGTCTCAGACTGCCTTGAGGTTATTAGAAGCATCTCAGAGAAGCCAAGACACCAATATTTAGTAGTCCTTAATGATATTGAGGCAATAAAGAAGCATTCTGTGAAAGTAGAATTTCGTCATGAAAGTCAGCCTTGTAATTTTGATGCTGACAACTTAGTTTGTAAGTTTGCTTCTACTTTATAGGAAGGGCGTCATCTTTGGTTTTCAAATCCTCCCTGTGATATGAATAGGAATGTAAACGTGGATGATAATGAATAAACTGTCCGCTTTTACTCTAAAGAAATGTCCATGCTTTTCTCTTTCACCACATTGTGGGCAGTGGCAATGGAAGTACAGTGAGACGATGATGCTTCGCTAGAGTTGTGGAGATGGAGGGTGGTAGGCGGTAATAACAATAGAAGAATCTTGGTAAGGTAGTTAGGTGGTGGGGATGGTAGATCTAGTGGTGGGAGTTGCTGGAGACGGAGGAGGTGGGGTAGGACAGGGGCACCTCATCGAAGTAGTTAGGTGGCAATGGAGAGTGGTGATGGTTTTAAAGGCTCTAACGCCAGAGGCAATGGAGGAAGGCAGGGTGCGGGCACCTCTCTGAACTCCGAAGTGATTTAATTACAACACATATATTTTTTTTATATTAGAATAGTACTCACTCCGTCCTATAATATAAGGGACTTTGGCTATAATTGTATATCCAAAATGCCTTATATTATGGGACGGAGGTAGTATCATTTAAAATTTTGTTATGAAGATTTAATTATAATGATATAATCAGATTGTTGATCGAATAAGTAATTTAAAAGGAAAAATTATCTAAAACTTAGCTATTAGTATCTTTTTCTTACTATTGCATGTTTGGATACTCCTCACATAGGAAAGAGATGCATGGTACTTTTTATCATTTATTCATGCAAAGATAGAGTCGTACAATTGACATTGCGCGACTAAGATTTAGGCCCTGTTTGAATAAGTGGAAAACAATATATAGAAAATGAAATATTGATGAAGGGTGTTTGTAAGACATGATTTTTTATTATATATTAATCTTATTTTCTTAGTACTAAATCCTTTTCATTTAGGCTCTACTGACATGTTATTGAAATCTTATCCATCCTTTTATCTAGTCTACTTGCTTATCAAGTTTTTGGGAACCATGATATACTTTAAATAAAAGATTAATTCAACCTTAGCTAATGCACTAGCTCTCTCCTTTGTTGTCACTTCCATGGGAAAATTGTCATTAGTCTTCACTACATCTTTTTTCCTTTGAATGTAAAGGAAGATTGAATCACAGAGAACATTTCCAAAGGAATTGTTGGCTCCATTCCTCCATTCTAAAGACTTTCAAGGGTAGAAAAAAATACTACAGTTTCAAATTGCTTTGATTTTTTCCTTTGAAAATCCTTCATACCAAACACAGTCTAAGAGGAGTTAGTTCTTTGGGCCCTTGGTTAGAACACCGTAAAATCTGTATACAATCCAGTTTCATCTTCCCCATGAAGAAAAGTCCAATATAACTCCCTCAACTATATATCGAATCTTGTTCGTATCTCTTAACTTAAAGCCGGGTATATCAACTCCCGTTTTGTGATTGGGAATACGAATAAAATTCGACCTACAATTGAGGGGGTCAAATTGGACCTTTTCCCAATCCACAGTGGAAACACGCCTTGGCCCAGTCTTGAATGGGCTGGATGGGTTGCTCTGCCTGTCTCCCTCCGTGCGAAGTCTTTCTATTTCCCTTTTTGGCAAACGTCCACAACGTCAGAATTTGACCTGTCGCGAGCGAGTGCCGGTCAACTCATCCATTGACGGCACGCCAAAGTTCTCCTTTTTTTTCGTTTGTTCAAAAGCGCATGCAAGCGTAGAAAACCATCTTTATTTATGTCTTATCACGAGAAGAAAACAGCAGGAGCGTGCACCAATCGTACACCACATACACACTCCTTTTTTTGTGGGACACGATGAATATGAAACGAGCATTTGAAAGCAACAAAAGCTAATCGGACTCGCGAGGCGAGGATCATGGAGGTGGAGCAGCTAGCATGCCTGTCGATCACTCCGCGGGCTTCATCTCCTGCTTGATGGCAGCGACCAGGTGGTCGTAGGCTTCGCTCCACGCGCTCTTCATCGCCGGGCTCCACATGTCCGCCGGAACCTCCTCCTTGATCGTGTCAAGCAGCGCGAACTTCACCACCTGTTTACACGATCGATCGATCGCATGTACGTTGTTCGACAAAGACACGATCAGAAAACGATCAAGTTTCATGTCGATCGAATGGAGCGCAGGCAGCCATTGGGGATCACTGTACCTCGAAGTGGGCGTCTCCGACGCCGTACTTGAGGTGCGTGGCGCCGAGCCTCTTGAGGGTGGTGTCTCTCACGGTGACCTTCCCGGCTTTCCGCAGCTGCGCGGCGGCCTCGCATGTCTGCAATATCGATTGATCGCGACGCACGCACACATTCTGTCAGTGTCTACTACCACAACAAATTTACTTGCCTGAAATAATGATGGTAGTATTACCATGACGAAGACGGACATGGCGTGGGTCTTGAGCTTGGGGTTCTTCTCGAGCGGCACGTCGGAGTTGCGCAGGAACGAGAACATCTGGCTCGCCGACGGCGCGACCTCGAAGATCCTACAACACAATCAGACACACATGTATCAGCGAAATGCATTGCTCAATTTAATGCTTCACAAACCCAATCTCTGATTCCGCAAAAAGAGAAATGGTAGTAACACGCATGTACATACTTCAAGAAGAAGCGGAGGGCAATATTGGCGGAATCCTTCTTCAAGATCGCCCATGACTTGAGCACCAGCGCCTCCTGCTCCTCGCTGAAGCTCACCGCTACGGCATTGTTATCCTCCACGAGAGCCATTGCTTCCTGACAGCTGGTTAATTTCCTGCTTTGATCAATTTCTCTGTAACAAATGATCGAGAGCTAGCTGGGCTCTGAAAACAACTGCTGGTTTCGATCTGAATTCAAACTGCGCAGGTGAGGCCGATTTATATAGGTCGATCTGACCCAGGGTTTAGCGGCCTTTCGCGCTCGCGACGAGCCAAGAAGCATGGAAGCGTTGGCCATCGTGCCGTGGTGGCAGTTGCCGTTCCACTCCCAAGTCTACGGCAAGATGTACAGGGGGCAAAGAATTGAAGATGATTCGAGCCAAAAAACCGTGTGCTGAATGCAGCTGCGAAAGCGGGTAGTTGTGCGAGGCAGCGTCTCGGGGCTGTTTAGATACCCAAAAATTTTACGCCCTATCACATAGAACATTTCAACACCTACATAAAATATTAAACATACGCTAAAAATAACTAATTGTATAGATTGCAACTATAAATCTTTTAAACCTGATTGCTCCATGATTTGACAATGTATTGCTACAGTAAATATACGCTAATGATAGATTAATTAGGCTTAATAAATCCGTCTTGCGGTTTACTGACAGATACTGTAGTTAGTTTTTTATATTAGTGTCTGAACACCCTGCGATAACCTATATAATATTTGATGTGAGATCTAAACACCCCTCAATAACGTGGGCGCGTGGAAAACCATTGGCGGGTTTAAGAATCCAAGTCAAAAACGTTCCACTTTCTTTCTTGTCCACCAAGACGGAAATCGTCGTCCGTTCGTGCCATCCGAGAGACCAAGCAGGTAGAACGTTCCACAAACATGGGCCAAAAGCCACGGCCTCTTTTCAGGCCCAGATAACTAACTTTCCAAGTTTGTTGGGCCGGGCCCAAAATATCAACTTTACAAGGCTCTGTACATTGGGCCGTGAAACTTTACGTGGAGGATAGGTGGGCCGTTGGCGCGGGTGGGCCCACGAGCTCCCGCGCGAGCAGGTAGCGGAAGGCCGGGTTGTGGGGCCTCCACTCGACGCCGCCGCCGCCGCCGCGCGACCGCGCCGCCTGCTGCGCCGCCGGCCGGAGCGGCTCCGGGAGGCAGGACTCCACCGCGCGGAGGAGGTCGTGCGCACCGAGGCCGGCGTCCCTCGAGTACGGCTCGAGGAGCTTCGGGAGGAGGAGGAGCACCCGGCGCCCGCGCCCGCGCCGCCCCCCGCGGACGCCGACGTTGGCGCGGACGAACTCGTCCCTCGCCGCCTCCAGCTGCTGGAGGAGGCGCTCCGGCCGGTACAACCGCACCACCGGGTCGGAGTGGCTCCCCGACGACAGCGCGAAGTGCACCAGCGGCTCCGGCCTGTCGACGGCGAACCCCTGCAGGTCTTCCTTCTCCTTGGACTTCCATTTCGGGTACAGGAGTAGTCTCAGCCACTGCACAAATCATATGCAATTCAAGATGGCAAATTTTACCAATCACTCAAGCAGGTCAAACTGTGACTAAATTTTCAGGGACTTTGGAAGGGGAGGTTGTGAGAGACGCTCCAGGGTCTTCCGGCTAGCTTCTTAAGGTGGTGAGCTAACCGGTTCGAAGCCTCACTCCTTATATTTATTTGATATTAGGTCATTCCCTAATATTTTCGTTTTTCTTTTTTTTTTGATGGGGAGGTTGTAAAATGCAGGAAGTAGGACAAACCTGTGTAGGAGAGTGCACTCGGCAGCATAGGATATGGTACTCTATCAACTCCGGGTTTACTCTCTGGCCACTGATGAGGTAAGATAACTGTGGCACAGAAGTTGTTACCAGATTATGATTTCATACGGAATGAGATACTGCTATATCATTCTATCTAAGAAAATTGCAGTTTGAGGATGTTTTCCACCTTAGTAAGCAATATTCTCTTGCTGTTACTTTGCGGAATCCCGTATTCTATATGGGCCTAAAAGAAATTGTCAACATTAGACTCCACAATTGAAGAAATATAGCAAGACAGAAATGTGGGTTAAGAAACTAGTTACATGCATCATCATGGCATTGTGCACATTGATCCAGAAAGCAATTTTTTCTTCATTTTTCATTCCGTTGAGATCAGCACTTTCTAGCAGCTGTACAAGAGACCTGCAGAATAACATCTTTTACTAGTCTGCAAATAGATTTATGCATCATTTCCAGCATGTCATGAACAATACTCACTTGTATTTGTGTAGCATGTCTTTAACATCAGCAGACCTCTGGGCCCCCTTGCAAAGAGCAGACACCTCAATCACAGAATCATATTGTTGACTGAAGTATCTTGATTCGCCAGTTCCTAACGCATCGTCTTGCCAGGCCTCAATATAGCCCTCTTTCCTACATCTTGGGCTCCATATATCCCCAGTGTATTTGGAAGAGAGCCCGCTCGCTGATGAAAATGATGAGCATGGTGAGGGGAAGAAGGGATGTTGCACGGCATTGAAGTCCCTAATCCTTATGTATATCGAAGCAATGCATTTGATCATGTCCTCAGATATTTTGTTCGGTGTTTGAGGAACATGATCTGCTATCCTGGTCCCTAGGATATCCGCCAGGCTCACAATACCAGGATCCATGCACTTGCCCTCCTGGTCATTTCAATTATGTCAGTATCAACACCGTTACAAGTATATGACAAAGATCTGATAGCAAAGTGGTTTAACAGGTCAGAAATGAAAGAGAGTTTTCAGACATCGTCCTGCACCTCGACAAAGGATAGAGGCAAAGTATGGCATGGTTTGAGAGCCCTAGCAAGATTGTTTGCTGAAGGAGATACTCTGGCTGAACAAATGGAACGCTGCAGGAGCGAGGAATGGCTGCGTCCGATACCAGTCTTGTCATTGTAATGTGAAGTTCTGGTTTCGCTAGTGAGAGTTGTCGGTGTAGACTTGCGTGCCATGACCATGCCACTGGACTGCAGGAGTTGGTGTTTCCTTGGGGTTGAGAAATCCAGTTCTGAAGATCCTGTGAGTATACCTGAGAATGACCTTGCTGACTGCTTGTTGATTTCCATGTCACAGGAAGAAGACACGCTGCAAATTTGTTGATCAAAGGCCTTCCGGTAGAGTGCTAGGAGATGTTGCTCCAAGCATATGACCTCTAGCTCCAGCACAGCAATCTCCTTTATTAGTTCCTCAGTAGGCTGAGACAACATGAGAAGAAAGACACAGAAGCTTTCAGTAAGCAACGGGAAAACACAGCCTTCAAAAACATTTGCGATACAATTGAGGAAAAAAGTGGAGGAAAATTTTACCTTTGGAATGCAGCTCTCATTGGATGAATGAATGGCACAAGGCTTATAACCTAATGCTTTCTCCAAAGCACGCCGCATAGCAAATTGATCATTTAGTCGCTTCTCAAGGTGTTGGACCTGCAGAGCTAACTCTATGTATCAAAACCAATCTGCAGTTCTGCAATTCTGTAGTATCACTATTACCTTACAAATTACAGTAGAACCATTTGTTTAGTCTTATGCTACACTTGGGCAGGACAAAATAAAGGATACCCTGTACTTGGCACTACTCAAAATTGGGATGTCTCTTTAACTCTAGCAATGCAGGAATGAATGCCTGTTACGGAACTCTGTACTACGACTTCCCAACTGAATCTTAAAATTTCACATCATTAACACGCTTTAAAGTAGTCCATGTATCACACAAATATGCTACAACATCGGAAACTTTGTGCAATACTTGCGATGTCTACTTCTTACCTCTTGTATCAAAGAGCATGGGAGCTCTGTAGTCCGGGGCAGCCTCTTATTGGTGCTATTCTGATCCTTCAGTTCTTCGGCATTCTTCCGTGAACAGAAAAATAGAAAGAAAAGTGAGATGTTTTGGGTTATGGACTGAAAAAAAGAGAGATTATATTCCAAAGGGACATAGCAAATGCACTAGTCAAGAGTTCTGTACTGATCTTGGGCAGAAGAAAATGGTTCAGAAAGTTAAGGGGAAAAAGGAGGGGAAATTCTGCTGTGAAATTTTTTACCAGCAAAAATGACACCGACCCACATGCTTGGAGTCAAGAGAATGAACAAATGAAGCAATAAGTAACAAGCCATTTTATCTCCACCACCACCAAATTACCTGTAGATGCTGAACATTGCACCTTGGGGAAGACAAATCCGTGCCATCCATTCTGAGCATTCTAACAGAGTCGCTGCCGATGCAAATTCGTCAAGATCATTAGGCATTAGCCAAGAACTGATCCTATCTAAAACATGTAGAATCATAGCATCTGGTCAGAGATCAATATCTGTAACTTGGTAACAAGAAGTAAAGCTACAAGCTTTATTTTCAACCTGCAACCCCAACCAGGGTGCTGTAACCAAAGCTACAAGCTTCTCACCTCTTGGAGCGGCTATGATACATTGAGCAGGTTAAGGAAGGAGCCTACAAGTGAACAACTCCGCTGCAAGCCTGCACTGCACCTCTGAGCTCAAGAAGGGCTCCTCCTCTCTAATCTTTGCACAGGTGAGCCCATCTTAGCGAAGAGTTGAACTCTGTAACCACTAAAACTACACTATCAGTTAGAGAACTAAAAAGAGCAAATGATGCAGGGTAGAGACTGCATGGAATGGGGAAGCATCTCACCTTTGCAGATAAAATCATCCAAAGGAAGTGGGAGCCTGGGAGTTGTTGCTGTGGAGTTGATCACCTAATAAAGTCTTTGAGCCTTTGAGCTCTTGACACCTTTTTTCCTCTCTCTTTTTCTCGTGTAAAAGTTGCTTCTTCTAAAGGCCCCTTTCTTTCTCTGCTAGGAGGATGAGGGTGATGAACTTGATGAGGTACTACACTACTACTACTTGTACTAGCAGTACTGTCCCTACTGCTGAAGCTCTTATATCAGTATCATGCCGGATCGATCCTGTCCGGCTATTCAGATACTTTGTTTATGGTGGAAGATATATTTATGTCTGTCCTAAAACTTACCAACTTCCTTTCTTTTTTATGCAAGATAGAGGTGAGAGCTCAGGAAAGGCTTCACTCTATTCCATCCAGATCTGGTTGATTCCAGTTATTTATGCCCAAAAGGAAAATTTACTTCACCCAAAGTGGCTGACATTTTTACCCCAGTAATATCAGATCAGAAGGTGAATATATAACCTAATCTTCTGCCACATTATAAGCCTGTCCCACCTGCCACATTAGCTTGGAGGACCTCTAAAACTAGTATTCTTCAGATGTCAACACATGCCTTTTTTTTTCCATTTTCTTACAAAAGAAATTGTTTCAAAAAGTTGAGTAACTCTCGTTTCTAAATACGAAGAAGTCTACTTTTGGTCTCTCAAGTATGACCTTGGTTTGGTTTTAGTGACTCAGCTAACACTTGAAATTATCCGTATTTCATTACTCCACCCAACCTAGGTGGTTTTCGATGACATGACGCCATGTAGGATTAGGCAGAGAAATAGGAAAAGAAAGTAAGGTTGATGTTGTCACTCCTCATCCATGTAGGCACCGCGACATCTTTCAGAGCTGCTGGATCAAAAGTAAATGGTTTTAGTTAAGGGATCTAAGATTCAAAGTTGGACCAAATACATACAGTTCAGTGACAATGTAGTACAGATTTTTCTCCATAAACGATGGTACCGTTTCACTGTTTTCCTGCAAATGTTCTGTGTTCCCCCCCTACAATGATGAGCAGCTCATATGCAGATAAAATTGCAGCAGCAGAGAAGGACAGTATCATGCATGTCTTTTCTTTGACCTGTGACTGGCTCTGCTCCGGTAATTGATGGAGCTCGTCCTATGCGTGTACAAGACCACGCCAGTGAACACCACGGACAGCGGCAAGTGTGTGCGGAGAAGGCATGGAGTTACATGGGAGACCCACACAAGCAGCCAAGGAAATGTGCAGCCCACACCCAGTGCTGTCTCGGTGAATTTGTCATTTTTTTTCGCCTAGGAAGAGGCGCTCCCTTGCCCTCGTTTGCACTGCCTTCCTGAGTGAACTCCAAAAGAAAATTTTTGGCAGGTCATGTGACACGGTCACATATCTTACTGTCTACCACCAGTGCAGCAGCGCAGTGCACGACAGTGCTAGCTAGCTGCTGCTGCTGCTACTACCAAGTACTCGCGAGTCACAAGATCGTCACAGCCACCGTCCTGCACTGCGGCTATAGTTGCTACCATCCTGTTCGGATCAATCATAATCATTAACCAGTTACCGATTGTTAAGCAACAATGTGAATCAATTGCTCTTGGCTTGTTAACTGTGATGCATTCCAGTTACTGTCAATGCCACAGTTTTTACACACAGCTGTGTTGCCTGTTTGTTTCTGTGCGAAACATGACAGAGGAATCGGCACGTTAGACAGGCAACGGCACACATGGTTTGATTGTGCCAATTCATCCCACAAAGTGCTTTGTTCGTGGCAAGTAGCACTGTGAGCATACATGACAAACGCTACATGAAAAATGGTACATCGGTTTGTATCGGTAGATGCCTCATTGCCCCAAAGGCCAACACTACACCCCTAATGTGGCACCCCATCCAGGTCCCAGACGGAGCGTAGTTGCTTGTCACAGAATCTTTGGGTGACCTAAAATCCCAGTGCAGTTGAGCTATGGCTTTGGCCTCACTTGGCCTGCGTCCACTGTTCTGGAAACAGGATGCAGAAGCAGCACCACAACAGCACATGTGGTGCACGTATGGATTTGTAATAACCTTTTCAATATAAATTATTTAAAAAGGATCCTCTTGAACTTATTTTAACCTAAACTTTTTGGTAGCTGTAAAATTTTACGGCAAGTTTCTCTTGTAAACTCGGTTGACTCTCTTCTTCTACAGTGAATTACAATAACTTTGCCCTTTTCAAAGGTTCTTTTAGAGTGTTCGTTTTAAAATTTTAATAAAAAAGGTTTTACAAAATTGTATGTATTGTTAGGCCTTGCCTTGGAACTTCTTTGTGTTTGTGCGTGTGAATCATCCATGCTATAAAACCGTCGTAAATGAAATAGTAGGAATCCTTACCTGCTTGTAAGAGTACAATGTGAGTACTGTACCATTTGTATTTATCACATCTGGACTCTGGAGTGAAGGCTACCGGACAACCAAAATTGGCCCTTGTTTATTCCATTATTATTTGTGAACGTGTGAGCCATCGAGTAGACAGCTCCTGCAACCTAGCCACTTGTTAAGGCATCTCTCATGCAATAGAAGAGAGGAGGAGGCAGGTCAGGAGAAGGCACGCTCGGTGTTGTGCTCTTTTCCCCGGCCCAGCTCACAGATGCATGCATAAGTTTACAATGATTGTTATCTCGACCACTATGATACAATGATGCTGCCAATGACGACTAGGGAAGCCGTGCAGGTAAATGATGACAAAAGTGAACCTTGAGAAAGCTTAATTTCCATCCCTAATCAAATCTCAGTGGGGTGATTAGCTGATTAAAGAAACATCCGGCGACAGACATGCTCGAGGTTTCATGTGCTCTTGGACCCTCCTCTAATTTGATACAATTCCAATACTATGTCCATCTACTAGAGGTAAATAATTGTTAGTAGAAAGAGCAGGTGAGGTGAGATAGCAATAGGAAACTACATATACTGTGATTGCAATTGGCAATGCTACCAATGAACATAGGAAACCAGCTCCAGTTCATTTGATTATGCAAGCTAGTAGAGTCCGAGATCCAGAAAGATTCTTCCCATCGGTTTTCCAAGCTGTCAGAGAAAGATTTAACTTAACCAAACCACAGCAGTAGCAGAGCAAGTACTACTATGACGGCAATGGTGTCTTATTGACAAAGTCAATGAGCTGCAGAGCTAGTAATATTGCTGGGTAGTAGAGTCTAGCAAGTAGCAAGTGACCTCTTGAGAAGAATGGACCAACACGAGACAGGAGAGGACAACATAGAGTGTTCTTTCACGCACAAGATTCCCATAAGTCCAGCGCGCTGTACGAGTGCATCGCCGTCGATTCCGATGGGTCACCGTATGCTTGTCCTTTGCATGGGTTCTAGAAAGAAAAGGCAAGCTAGATGCCCCGTTTTATCAACGCATAATCCAACGATTGACTTGAGAGTTTATGTGATTCTTAGCTAGTACTCCCTCCGTCCCATATTATATGGGATTAGAGGTTAAAAACGTGTCTCAAAATATAAGGGATTGGGTAGGTGGAGTACTAATGCAAACAGACATCGGGCAGGGAGAGTACTAATGCGGACAGAGAGCTGTCGGTGGAATTTGTCCCTACCTTATCCTCTCACCGAGTCGCCCATCGACCACCGCTCGTTCCCCTCCCGATTTTCTTCGCTTTTTCTCCGTCCCCTCCATCAGCGCCTCCCTCCCACCCGCATCTTCTTCTACCTCCTCCCATCCATCCGAGCTCCTTCCCTTCCACCTCCCATCCGTTGACGCCAACGCCGGCGGTGCGGCAGCCAATGGCGGCGGCCAACCTGGCCCATGCGCCACCGCCACCGGTGCCCAACCTGGCCCGTGCGGTGGGGGCACCACCGGAGAAGCGAATCGAGGTGGTGTGGGAGCGGGAGAACACGCTGCTCTCGTTCGGCCGGGCCGCCGCGCACGCCGCCGTCGCCTTCGTCAAGTTCAACGTCCAGGTATATATATACAGCGCAGCCGAGTTCGATGTGCGTGCTTCCGTTTCCACGTTGTTGGTAGTACCTGTGTTTGTTTTGGATCTTGCATTGGATGTCAGTTTACGCTTTGGATTGTTTGATTTTGACACCGCAGCATCGCAATGCAAGATTTGGAAGCTAGCGTGGGTATGACTTGGATGTAGCCATTGATTGGTGTGGTACTGGACATGAAATTTGCAGCAACGTTCTAGCCAGTGAACTATATGGGACAAGCCTCACAAGTAGGAGTATCAATTTAATCGCATTTAACCAGGATCTAGATGCCACCATGCTAAATTGGTCAAGAATGAAGAATGGAGCGATTTTAGGTGGATGTTTTGCAGGGATGTAGTTATCCATTAGGCAAAGTGCTAGGATTTGAAGTTGCAGTTCTTATTTAGAGCTGAAGAGGTTCTTAATACATTGCCAACTACTCTTAGATCATACGGAGTACTAGGAAATTAACGGTGTTAAAAAAACTAAAGTGTCAATTTTATTAATCTTAGACGCTGTTAGGCACATCATATCTTAGATTCATGTTAGATTTAAAGTTTATATGTTTCATTTTGATAGTTTAAAATTAAAAAATTTATTTAAAATAGGAATATAATGATTTAACATGTCGCCGGCAGCGGTTTACGGGCTGGCGGCAGAATGCGGCCCAGCGGCAGGGTTCGCGGGACGTGGTGGTTGCTAGGCAAAGAGCCGCGTCCAGTGGCGGAAGGCGTTTGTTTTGACGACTTGATGTTTGTCCCTGACTTGGATGATGAAGGGGCTGGCAATGAGTTCAACTCACAAGGTTGTGATGACGAATTTGTGCCTGAAACACAACAAGATGTTCCAATCGAGGAGATTGGCATAGGGTTCCTCTCTTATTTATTTAATTATTAGTCCTTTCCATTCAATTTTGTTAAATTATGTGCTTTTTGATGTTCCATTTATTTCTCCTTACGGTGCAACCATCCAGTGACAAGCAAATCAGGAGGGCCGCGCCAGCTCGGAGTGCGTCCTCGCTTGGGGTATGTGATTCACACTAGATTGTCGATTTGGGATGGTTATGCATTTGTAGCATGCAAATTGAGTCACATCTTGATTTATATTGATTTGTCTTATCTTCTTTACAGTACAATGTTGCACAATTGGCTTCGGGCTATTTCAGAGTATGAGAAGCCAAGCATCGACATGGAAACCATCGAGAAGGCATGGGCTGATGAGAAAAAGGCAATCGCTGATGTGGACTATGAGGGAAATCCAAGGAAGGTGAACACAAGCTCCGAGAAGAAGGCATGCGTCGACGAGGGGAAGTCAATCTCCGATGCAGAAACTGATGATGAGGGCGTCGGTGTGCCTGAGAAGAAGGCATGCATCGCCGAGAGAAAGTCAATCTCCGACGCAGAGACTGATGATGAGGGTGTCGGTGTGCCTCGGAATTTACATATGAAAGATTTGCACGATATCATGTTTCCTACCTATACCCAGGTATGCAAGCGTAGAAGAATTTAGGACTACCAAACTGTTGAATGTGATTTTGTTGTGGTATTTTGTTGTGGAAATGCACAATGGACGTAGGAGTACTTAGTGCAATATGGATGTAGGACTACCATGTTTATAAGTGTACAAATTACCGTAGTGTTCCATATGGTTGCCAGACTAGTACGGAGTATTTTGTTATGGAAATGCCCTAGTTATAGTCATATACTCCTATAATATATTGTTCTAATGATTGTAGTATTGTTCCAAAGTTAGTGCTGAAATTAACTATGCAATGACATGTTCTGAAATGGGTTCAATTAAGTATTCATTGTTATGAAATTAGTGCTGAATTAAATATAGAATCACATATTGCTGATTGCTAAAACTAGTTATGCTGAATTACCTATATATAACAAAAGTCTGAAATCATATTTACAAACTCCATCGGAGTACGAAAAACAAAAGTATGGCTAGGCTGGACTAGTTGTTCAACATGGTCTGCATCACCACATACTTACAAACTCCATCGGAGTACAAAAGACAAAAGTATGGCTAGGCTGGGCTAGTTTAACAAGGTGTGCATTACCACATACTTACAAACTCCATCGGAGTAAAAAAAAAACAAAAGTATGGCCAGGCTGGACTAGTTCAACAAGGTCTGCATAACCTTGTTGTAAAGTGCAATATCACAAGTCAGACTAGTAGGGAGCATGTCAAGCCTCTCCAATCGATCCTTGTTCATATGGGGTATCTTGTAGCCATTGCCTCCATCGGCTTTCATCACTTCTATGAAGCAAGCTTGTAGGTTTAGGAAAACCCTACTCACCAAGTTAGAATTATACTCATTGTACTCTTCGTCCACATTGCTGATTAATTCATCCATGTTACTACAATTTTTGAGGTATGTCTTCGATTGAAGAGAAGCAAAGAAACCCAGATCAAGCACATTCATGTCTGGTGAATTAGGGGGCTGGTTCATGATGCGTATGTCTAGGCCTACTTGGGCCACCGCGAGGGCAAATGCTTCGTCGTTTGGCAGAATATGTGTCAGTGCATTGTCTTGCTGAATCCAAATGGTCTTCCCTACATCTTCTCTAGGCCAACAAGAGGCAATAGCTGGAATAACCTTTGTAATCAAGAAAGCCCTACTTGTTTCTCTCGACACCATAATAGATTTTGTGACCAATGTACCCTTCGGCCTGTTGCGACTACTCCTTTGTGCTGGTTCCTAACATATAGAGCAAAGAACAAGTTAGCTACAAAGTGACTTGAAAGCAATAAAAACAGATTGAATCAAGTTGAGACTTCACCTTCCTAACAAAGGGCCATATTCCTATTTTGCCATCGAAGTAGCAATTTCCTTCCTCATCATACCTAGGCTTTGCAAGAGTTGATAAAAACATAACTTTATCTATGGCATTTTTATTTTGCACACATCTCACAGGTTCATCTTCATTGAATACAAGGTAGAAGGTCTTGTTTTTCATAGTGGCGTTGAACCATTTTTCATCAATATGCACAATGTTTTGCATGTCTATAAATCTTGGTTCAGCATTCAAAGTAGCAGCATCTAGCATGGATACACAGAACTCGAGCCTTTGTTTTTTATTAGCTTCCTTCAAGTAAGGTTTAATGCTATTTGAGTGACGGCGAAGGGCTCCTTCTTTGACTAACCTATGCACCTGGCTTTTGCTAGCATTCAATGCACTAGCAAGAGATCTGATGCTACACCTTGAGTTCAAAGGAAGTGCTAAAACCTGATCCAAATCAATGTCACTTCTTTTTTGGCCACAATTACCAGGCTTCTTTGATTTAAAGTCAACTTCAACACCTGCTGCTAAACATTTCTTCGCCTTTGTCCAAATGTCTTGTACAACTCTCCTTGTCACATCAAACATAGCTGCAATAATTTCTGTAGTATCTCTATCAGCAAGTTTCCCATTGATAGTACTTGCAAGTAAAGCTCCATAAATAGCTTTCTTCTCAGCTTCTGGTAAATATTTCCTTCTCTTTATATTGTCTTGTTGAGTATCTGCACAAAGAAAATATTTATATATATGCATATCAGTTGGCAATATATTTTATACTTGCAGTACACTAATGAATGTCATTTGCATGTCATACCTTCCTCATCACTTGATGTATGGAGATCTTCATCAAAGACAACATCCATATAAGGAGAATAAACATCAAAATCCTCCTCGTCTGCATGGACAGAAAAGGTGAGACATGAGCTACTCATATGATATCCCCATCTGCATCACTGCTGATTACATATGAGCAAAAAATAATGTATGTACCTGCATAATTTGATTGATCTTGGAGAACATAGAATTCGTCATCGTCAAATACAATATCATCTTCTCCATAATTTGCTGCATGACATGTGACGAAGATAAATTTAAAGTTGAAGGTTGTACAAAGAAACTAGCTAATGAAGTAGTGCATTCGCGCGGCTTTAACCACCCTGTCATGTGCTTTGTATGATGAAATATACAGAAAAGTGCATTATAAATTAAGTAACCATTCTTGACCACAAAAGTTTTTTTTTTGCATTAGGTCATCTACCACAAAAAAAACACATGTTCCCATACCTATATGGGTCATCCTGCAGTGGTGTTATATATAAAGTTCATACTATTCATTTTTTGGGTTGTTTTAGTAGTTTCTGATATTAAAACCAGCTTTATGAAATAAAACTTTAACTATGCTGATTCCAACTATTTAGAACACATGATGTACGCTTATAAACTTTGGAGGTTGTTGGGCTAATGGCTGGTTATCATAATGAGCAAATAAAATTCATAGAGCCATTTATGATCATCATTTTTGCATAGTACCACATAAGAGTATATATATGACTGATGGCTGAAGTTTACAACTCCTGACTAAAAGCAACAACTGATTGACACTAATAGCAAAGCTGCAAAGCTCTGTGTTATGCAAAGAAGTAATATTGGGCTTGTTAGTTTATGAATTTGGTCATAAATTTTGATCATACAAACTTTGCTACTTTCAACATTTATGTTTCTGTTATTTCAGCAGAAGGGAGGATGGGAAATGTGAATAAGCCCATAACTTGCTTTGCATTAAGATTTTGATTCCATACCTGGCTCCATGTTTAGATGACAAATTTCTTGTGCACTCCGGCCATTGGAGAGTTCAACTGCTTGCATGGCAGGGCCTGGATGTTCATCTTCATGAGCACCAAAACATTGGTTGTCAGGAAGCTCTTCATCTTCATATTGGAAGGCATCTTCTCCTTGCACAGCAGGAACCAGGTTAAGGTCAGGGATCCCATCACCTTCATCTTGCAGCACTTCTTGCACACCAGGATCAAGGTTGAGATCAGGAATCTCATATTCCTCTTCTTCCATGGATTAGTTGAGGGTCTCTCTTGGTGTAATGATGGAGTAGGTTGCTAATATGAGTGTAATATGAGAGCTTTGGTTTTTAGACCTGTGAGTGAGAGCAAGGGAGTGAAAATGGCGGGCTGGTTCTGAGCATCAAGTTTAAATTTTGAACAGCTAATGCATGTGTATTTGTGGCGCTAATGTGTAGTGCGTGTGAATTTTGGGCAGCAAAGAGGTGAGTGGGATTTAATTGACTCTTGTCAACATGTGCATTAATGTCATTGTGTACTGAGGAATGCTTACTCTTTCTTTGTGCCAATCATTTGCTGGCAAGCTTGTAAACCCAAATATTCTCACTGCTAGTGCCCAGTACTAAGTAAATGAGGGGTACATGCGTCTTTTGCTAACCTCCTTATTTTGGATGAACAGTGCCCAGTCCCATATAATGTGGGACGGAGGGAGTACAAGTTGTGACAAATAATCCAAAGGCTCTAGGATGAAACAAGAGAAGAAAACCAGAAATCCTGTCCTGAACAGGGACCAAGATTTGCATCTTGCACTTCAGCAGATGGGAATCGGAATTCAGACATTCCCAGAATCCCAGCAATGAATGCTTGGATATATGTCAACCAAAACTGACCTAGAGATCAGCTGCCTTCTGGCCACAAAATAGGTTTGACGGATAAGATGAGCCCATAAGCTCGGCCAAGAATATGTCGCGACTCAATTAGTTTGTTTCTATTAATTTCCAGGTGCTACGCATCCGCAGGCACTTCCAATATGCTTCATACATTACCTTGCATGTTTGCAAAAGGACATTTCAAAATTTTATCTTCCAAAATGCCATCGTCTTGCCCGAGGGGTAGATTTAGCATTATAAGAGCTATGCAACGTGCACATTGCACATTGCCACCAATTCTTGTCATGATTTACAAGAGAATAAGTGAACGCTACCCTATTGTTGGTATTATAGCCCCCCGTTTAAACTTGCCATGTCGACACTCTAACGCAACAAAAAAGAGCAGAGTTTTCCTTTATGTAGCTGAAGAAGCCCGGGTCAGCTGTACACTTGCAACGGAATGTGCTGTAAGTTATTTAAGTTTCATATCTTGTCTGCCACTTCAGCTGGCACATTGAGGTCAAAAAGGGCAGCCCCACCATGGGCATCATTTCTTTCTCGCTTGTGAGGCCGCCCATTGTTATTAGAACTTGAGCCAAGTTGCCGCTTTCCAAAAATAGATGAACCTACAGGGCATGTTGAAATATGCATCAGCTATCAGAAACATATAAATTGAAGCTGCAATAGAAATGAAAGGTGTCAATATAAGTACCAGATAAACCAGGCTGACTCTTGTGTTCATCTTGACTGTATTTAATTGGTTGCAAACCTTGTTCAGAAGAATCCCAACAAACATTGAGCTCTGAGGCCCTGTCAAGGCCCTTGGATTTGTATGGAGCAATATTATGAGGCGTACGCAGTGGATACAACAAATCATTCTCAATGCACTGATACCTGCAAGGTAATATAGTTAGAACAGTAATTTACAGACACTACCAAACTTTTGTTGAGCTCTTACATTTGCTTGCAGAGTCTATCAACCACATTGGAAAGATTGATGACATGCTTCATTGTATCCATAACCTCATCATCACTAAAATTTTGAAAATCCCTCTCAAGGAAACCAGATAGTCTTTCAACGTTGAATTCTAATTGTTGTTGTTGGTCCTCAAATAGGTTTTGCTTTAGTTCTCTTTCATCAGAAGTCATCTCATCCTTGAAAATCTCATCACCAAACATGTAGAATGCAAAAGGATAAGAATATGAAAGAACCCGCCTTGACCTGAAAAGTCTGTTTAATCCATTTATCACCCAAGAGTAATCTTTTATCTTGGAATCCTTGTTTTCAGAAATGGAAATCTTCCCCTGGATGTCGCCCTTAAGCTTTGCTTCCTGCTTAAGAGAATCAGTGTGAGCTTTGTATCTGTTGTGGTAGTGCATGTACCGATAAAGGTTTCTCCTAGCTTGCTCTGTCTTCTTTGACTGATCTTCAGTGAATCGACCACAACTGTGGCCACTAATACTTGACCATGTGTGATCTCTGCCAGTAGCACCACCGCATAACCAGCTACATTCAAAAGCATCAAATCAGAATAAATTTAAACTAAATTTTCAGTGAAAATGAAATTTCTGTCAAAACACATTCACCACATGATACTTCAAAATTGTTGTTTTGGGTTTTGACAATCATCTAACACCATGTCCTTCACTGATGCAAGTTGCAAACACGTTAAAATAGTTTGAATTTTACAAGCTCTTGGTGTGATGACTTGTGTTACTGAAGGAGAAGAAGCTACTAGAGAGATGTCAATGTAACACCAGTTCAAGTAATCAAGTGAGTGAACTGCCTAAATAGGTTCAAGCTTATACAAAAACATCAACCATCCCATATAATCAAGGTTAAACTGTTTAAGTCATAGAATTTCAGAAACTACCATTAGCCTGTCAACCATATCATATTGCAATACTGAAGAAAGTATCATATTGAATAAGCTCTCTAGTTCAGGAATGCATTCAACTTATCAGCTAGCCAGGTGGTGGAACCTGTGAGTTCATTAATGAAAAAAATCATGTTGGATGGTACACTGAAGCTTACTCAAAGCAGGAAGTTTAAGAAAAAAAAGGTTGAAATGCTTTGAGTTTGTTTGTATGAACAAATATATATCTACTAGAAAAAGGCATGGATATATGCTAATAGTAGTATATCATTATCTACCAGCAAATGGGAACCAGTAAACATGCAAAAATGTAGAAGTTGAAGCAGCATAATAACCATTACCAGAATGCTTGCCCACATATACATGCAACCAGATTGCAGCCACCGTTCTTCTCAACAGGTTTGTGGCACTTGGGACAGGGCTTAGTATTTACTGTTATCCAATTCACGGTCTCTGACTCGTCACGGCATTTCTTGATCCAGAGCTCCCACATCACACAGGAACATGGTGAATGTGCTTCTGAGGAGCAATTAAAACAAAACTGGCGTCCACATGTACATTCCACCTCACAGTGAATATCACCTTTGACGCGTATAGCATTTCCACAATGCGGTGTGCTTGGGCACCACTTGACTGTATCATTGTCCTCAATATAAGATTCCAACAAGAACCTTTCAAAGCGCTCTGCAATATCTGGCCGCTTTGCATTTACTAGCTTACGAACTATTGCTTCGTCACAGATAGTATTGCACTTCAGAGCCATGCACTTGATACGGCGGCTTTGTCCCTCATTTATCTTCACAATGAAATATCCTGTCCAGCCTGGAAGGGGGCAGGAATACACAAATTAGTAGCTAGCTACCCAGGAAATAAATCATCATACAGCAAAAGGATTAATCCACAAAATGTCATATACTCTTCTATGGCAACACCTATAAACTGAGGTCAAGACAGTTAGTCGACATAGAATTAAGATAGGTGCAAAGACTAAGGATAAGTTGAAGCATGTGATAGTTTTATAAGCATAAATGACTATTCATACAATTATAAAGTGATAAGGCACCATCCTATCCCAGAAAATAAAGAACACACCATTCCCATAGTTTAGTTTCATGCATTTAGTAGACAAAAGGTGCTTGCTAAAAGAAGCTGTTATGTCACATCATTTCCTTTGTAGCATGAGGGTAGTAAGACGTTAGCCAATACGACAACTTCCACATACCTAACAGATTAGTAACTACTAGTGGATGAATTTCAGACTGTTGTTTAGCATTGAGGTCAAAAGGTGGGGCATTGACCCAATGGCTTTGCTACGGAAAGTGCATTTGCATTTACATGATCAATCTACCAGCATATCCAAGCAAATAACTAGCACATACGCAAAGGTGAAAACTTCATAGTATTTCCTTTTCCCCAAACGGTTGTTGCTTACATTCATTGCAGTAGTTGTGGCCGCAGTCCATCTTGGAGGCGTCCGAGAGGGGCACATCGTCATAGCAAACATTGCAGGTTACCTCCGTTGAGGAGGGCGAGCCGGGATTATTAGCAGGTTGGAGAGGGATACCAGCCTCCGAGAAGAGCCTGTCCCTCCCCTTCTGATCAAGCAGCTCGAAAATCCTTTCGACATCCCACCTGTAGTGGATGAGCAGCGTCCGCGCGTGGTGCTCTCTCAACCCTAGCAACTCCATCACCTTCCTAAGATCCTCCCTCTGCAAAATCCCAAACAAACCAAACAAAATTTTACCAAGGCAAGGAAAGGGAAAAGGCTTCAATCTCAGGAAAATCGCGTCCACCCCCCGGAAATCGAATGCGAAGAGATCCTCTCTAGTCGCGGAATCACCTGCGCCGCCAAGAGGGATTCCTTGGTGATCACCTGCAATCGAAGGAACCCATCAACAACCGAAGCGATTGGGACTCGGACAACAAATACGACGAGGATAAAACGATGGATAGTGGGGGGGCATACGGAGGTGGAGGACCAATGGCAATCCTCGTCGCGTTCGTCCTCCAGCACCTGGAGGACGGACTCCTCCAAGGCGTCGTCCTCCTGATCGCTCAGGTAGCAGTCATCGTCATCGTCCTCCTGCTCCAATTCCGACGAGGACGCCGTCGGGGAGACCTCCTCGGCGTCGGTCACCATCTAGGGGGGGGCGATCGGATCAGCCCCAAATCAAACCCCCACCGGCGACGCAGCTCGCGGCAAACCGGGGCTTCCCCGGGTCGGGGGAATCGGCGGCGCCTGCGGGAGGGGCACCGGGAGGGGCAATCGCGGCGCGGGGCGGCGGGCGATTGGGGGCGGCGGCGGCGGCGGAGAAGCTCGCAGTCGCGGAAGGGGAAGTGAGGGAGGGGAAACGGAGGGGAGGCGGTGGTGGTGCGGCCGGAAAGAGGGACTGGTTTGCGGTGCTTTGCTGAGGAGGAGGGGCGTAAATAGAAAATTGCCGCGATGTTGTGTGACCTGCTAGATTCCGTTGGATTTTCGCTTGCGTTTTTGCATCGTAAAAGCACTCTTCACCCTTCCGATTCCGATGTGCTAAACATCCGCCATCACGAAGTACGAACGAAAATTGGAACCTCTGTGCAAATGTGTGAAGCATTGAGATACGACTCCCTCACATTTTTTTTTCTCGAGTTTGCGCTGAATACACAAGTGATGATGGTAAGCAATTGTGTACAACATATTTGTTTAAGCTGGACTAACAACATTTTCTTAGAGAAGTAGTTGTGTTATTTCCATACCCTATATCTCATTGAAATTGGGATGTTGGGGCGAGTGGAGGATGCAAAATCAAAGATGTCGACGGAGATGACATGTGGTATGGTGTTGAGTGTTGTAGCGGCATCAGCCATATATCCATGACTATACCGTCTCTATGCAAGGGATCTCTCCTTCCCTTCCAACATCCACATCGATGATGTTCTCTACCGACAACGCCAGATCTTGCATGACCACATTCTTCTTCCCTCCAACCCCAAGGAGTCCTTGTTGCCATCGGAAGCAACAGTCATCCCAAGGAACAATCTGTCCCTACCAAACCCTAGCAGAAGCAAAAATCCACCTCCACAACCACAGATTTCCATTGTCATTAATAAACTCTTGGTCACCCAACCTCCACCCTCCTACTAATAGGCCCATCAAAGCCTTCTGCAAACAGAATCAACCCTCCCCCCCAACTAAAAGCCTGAGAAATCCTCTCGCCCCACCAAGAAAAACAGAAAAACAGGGACAAGGCCAAGGTCAAGAAGCATCGTTGCTCCGAGCACATTGATCTTGACTGGGAGACGTGCACCAAAACCGAGGTTGCCATCATTCGACACTAGCACCGATAGATAGAATGTTGTCAAGCTACTCCTCTGTGGAGGCGATGTCTAGATGATCGACGACAAGAAAGTCTCATGAGATTTTGAATATGTGAATTCCACCAAGGTTAAGAAGAGGGCCAGATTAGTCACAAAGATCCGAAGGGACAGAGAGAAGTAGAAGGATAACGGGAAAGAAGCAACCTCATCAGCGAGAGTACTCTTCATGCTCTATAGTTCATCTTCTTATTGCTTAATCTGCCAGACCTTGGATCATGAAAACCCACTCACCTATTTGCTTTTACTTGTAGAAAGTTCATTTTTATATAGAAATGTAGTATAGCACGCCTCTAGTGATATTGAGCTCAAAAAAAGAAGAACGTTGGTGACAACTCCCTTCATCATATGTAGATGGTAGCAAAATAAAAAGGCAAAGTTGAGGTTTTTAATCTTTTCCTTCTAGAGAATGGACATGAGTTAACATCACTATAAATTATAAATTAGAGAACTTACTTCAAAACTATAGTATAAATCCCCTAGAATATGGAACAATATGAAACAACGATGTATGTATGGACCGACATAAAAGTAGAGGTCAAGTTCACATGGTATACACAATGCACTAGCCAAAAGAACAATATTATAATCATTGGATACATTTTAACTACAGCGATTTCACGTAGAATGTTGGATATTGAAATATAATTTGTTGCTTGTGTATTCCTAGCATTTTCTCTAATTATGTGTATGATGTATGTTTATTGCAGTGGAAACGTTGATGCTAGTATTAGATATGGGGTGAAAGAATTAGATTGTACCATTCAAACTCTGAAAAGGTAAAAATGTGATAATTAATCAATAACTATGCTTAGATGATAAATATATTTTCTTTAACATAAACTTTGCAGATCTAGATTAATTGAGTAAGAATCAAAAAACAAAGATACAATGTATTTTCATTGAAATACCACAAATAGAGTACTAGAAGAGTGGATTAGGATAGGATTCCCTAACGGTGACTTTAGAATGGATTGAAGCCAATAATCACATGTTGGCGATATTGTCATTGATCTGAAATTAAAGCAATCCGATTCATCTTATCTTGTACATCTATCATGTTTTGGCTAATGCCCGCTAGATATTCAGACTATTGATATCTTGCCTTTCTAGAGTTATAAGCATTGTGTTTGAAAATGACAACTTGCTAGGTCATTTAAAAGTTTTTTCTGTAGATGGGTATTGCATGATTGATTTAATTTGTTTGCCCTGTCATGTACTAAAATTCATATGGGTAGTTTGCATAATTTTAGCTGTCACCGTTGGCATTTGGAAGACCGTTTCCCATAAGAATTAATAATGGACTGAATGGTAAAGGATGTCTTTGTGAGCTCATTTCGACCATTTTTGTAGGTACCTTGATGGAGTATTTCTCATACAGGATGAACAATATGATGCTTGTCATTCAATTTTGCTTTTTTTGTTGATCTATAGGGTTGTGATTGCAAATTTACACGTGAAATGTAGTTTGAATTAAAAATAATTCATTCGTCGCGAATAAATGAGATGATGTTTTAGGGTCCAATTAATATATCTAATTTATTACATAGCTAAACATTATTATATCCTTAAAAAGAAGGATAAGAAAAGTGGTCTAAATATGGTTGAATAAAATATCTCCTAATAAATGCTAAGAGCCGACGTTGAGCCATTGTTATACTTAGCAACTATATTTTTCTTTCCTCTCATCTCTTTCTTCCACGACACTAAATTTAAATTTACTTGCACGGTAATAAAGAGAGTCCACTAATAAAGAACGTTGTACATGTTCTTAGGCCTTAGCTCTCTGCTTTAGATTTTTGAGGGCCAACTTGATGTCAATATGGGCCATATATGTTAAAAATGCCCTACCAAGAGAAAGCGATAAACATTAAGAGAATAGTGATCCAATAATATGTTAGGAAATATATTGATAGAGCCCTTTTTTTGAACTTTCAGCGAGTATTTCCCTACGCTCTATGGGCCGGGACGGGTGAGAAGTGAGAATGAGCGTAATAGGATGGGAATATTATTGGAGCCATGGAGAGTATTTCCTACCGTGGTCATGACAGAGAGAATTTGAGCTGCATCGCACTGCGGTGGGTTGCTGTCGTCTGGTGGTCTATACTCCATGAATGAAGTACTGTAAATCCCATGATGAAGGTTCTAGGTGTTAGGGCATGTACAACGGTCTTTATTAGTAGTCTCTCTCTATTGCCATGCAAGTAAATTTGATGACATGGAAGAAAGAGAAAGGAGTATGGTTGTTAGGGCATGTACAATGGTCTTTATTAGCGGTCTCTCTTCGTTGTCATGCAAGCATATTTGATGACATGGAAGAGAGAGGAAGAAGGAAAGAGAAAGATGGTTGCTACGCATGACAACGGCATAGAGTCGACTCTTAGCATTTATTAGGAAATTTTTCGTTGCATCGAGTCTAACAAAGGAAAGATGACTAGTAAAAAAGTATTTTGGTACATTAATGATTAGAGATCATATTGTTTTAACTATTGTAATATGGTAGCCTCTAATTGACGTAGAGACCATACCGGTCTCTACCTTTGTACTTGCCCTTATGTAGGACAACGGCTCAGAGTCGACTCTTAGCATTTATTAGAGCAAATTTTTTTGCATGGTGGTGAAAGGAAGGAAAGAAGAGTAAAAAAATTTATTTGAATACATTAATGATTAGAGACCATATTGTTTCTATCTGTTGTAGGATGCTAATATCTAGATAACGTAGAGTTTATATCTGACTATATATCTTTGTACATGCCCTTATTCCGCTCCGGCTGCAACATCATTACCTTCCTTACATAATCCATATTTCTTTCTGTTGATAACGATGCCCTTGTGTTGTTATCTGACGGGAAAACCTCCAATCAGATGGCTGATGGCGGCAGACCGGTTCCGTTGTTCCGGCTGCAAAACGGCCGCTCATGAAAGCTCCGTTCACAAGATACAAGCAGGCCGACGCCCTCACAATAATTTTCTGATCAAATGATGCGTACTATTGTGAACTAATCTAATCAGGCGTGATGCAGACACAGAAGGAATGGCATCTGAGCCGCGAGGAGGGACTTTCACGACCGAATCAAAAGCAGCAGAGCCGCGACAACAGACGCACCGGCGTTTGACCCGAACAAAAACCCCACGCTGCACGTTAACTCCACTGAAAAACCGAGCTCTCTCACTCCTCACAACTAGTACGTTCACAAGCACCGTGACAGCCAGCTCCAAATGGAACACAAGGGTTTGTGCATCCTCGCCGTCGTCATCGCCTTCCAGCTCGCCGGCGGGGAGGCCGTCACCGATGCCACTGCCCGGGCACGTCGCTTCGCCTGTAACGTGTCGGCGCCGTGCGACACGTTCGTCGTGTACCGGACGCAGTCGCCGGGGTTCCTCGACCTCGGCAACATCTCGGACCTGTTCGGCGTGAGCCGGGCGCTGATCGCCAGCGCCAACAAGCTGACCACCGAGGACGGGGTGCTCCTGCCGGGGCAGCCGCTGCTCGTGCCGGTCAAGTGCGGCTGCACGGGCGCGCGCTCCTTCGCCAACGTCACGTACCCCATCCGGCCTCGCGACACCTTCTTCGGGCTCGCCGTCACCGCGTTCGAGAACCTCACCGACTTCGTCCTCGTCGAGGAGCTCAACCCGGCGGCGGAGGCGACCAGGCTGGAGCCGTGGCAGGAGGTCGTCGTGCCGCTCTTCTGCCGGTGCCCGACGCGGGAGGAGCTCAGCGCCGGGTCACGGCTCCTCGTCACCTACGTGTGGCAGCCCGGGGACGACGTGTCCGTGGTGAGCGCGCTGATGAACGCCTCCGCTGCCAACATCGCCGCGTCGAACGGCGTCGCGGGCAACTCCACCTTCGCGACGGGGCAGCCCGTGCTGATCCCGGTGTCGCAGCCGCCGCGTTTTCCTCCGCTGACCTACGGTGCCATCGCCGCCGATCCCGGAGCGGGCAAGCACCGCCACGGCATCATCGTGGCGACGAGCATCGCGGGGTCTTTCGTCGCGTGCGCCGTGCTGTGCACGGCGATCTTGGCGTACCGGAGGTACCGCAAGAAGGCGCCGGTGCCAAAGCACGTCAGCCCGAAGCTTTCTTGGACCAAGAGCCTGAACAGATTCGACAGCAATAGCTCCATTGCTCGCATGATCAATGGAGGGGACAAGCTGCTCACCAGCGTGTCGCAGTTCATCGACAAACCGATCATCTTTAGAGAGGAGGAAATCATGGAAGCGACGATGAACTTGGACGAACAGTGCAAGCTCGGCAGCTCGTATTACCGCGCGAACCTTGAAAGGGAGGTGTTCGCGGTGAAGCCGGCGAAAGGCAACGTTGCCGGGGAGCTGAGGATGATGCAGATGGTGAACCACGCCAACCTGACCAAGCTGGCCGGCATATCCATCGGCGCGGACGGCGACTACGCCTTCCTCGTGTACGAGTTCGCCGAGAAGGGCTCGCTTGACAAGTGGCTGTACCAGAAGCCGCCGTGCTCGCAGCCGTCGTCGAGCTCCGTGGCAACTCTGTCGTGGGACCAGAGGCTGGGCATCGCGCTGGACGTCGCGAACGGCTTGCTCTACCTGCACGAGCACACGCAGCCGAGCATGGTGCACGGCGACGTCCGTGCCCGGAACATCCTCCTCACCGCGGGCTTCAGGGCGAAGCTGTCCAACTTCTCCCTGGCCAAGCCGGCCGCCATGGTCGACGCGGCGGCGACGAGCAGCGACGTGTTCGCGTTCGGGCTGCTCCTCCTCGAGCTCCTCTCCGGGAGGAGGGCGGTGGAGGCGCGCGTCGGGGTGGAGATCGGCATGCTGCGGACGGAGATCCGCACCGTGCTGGACGCCGGCGGGGACAAGAGGGCGGCGAAGCTGAGGAAGTGGATGGACCCGACCCTCGGCGGTGAGTACGGCGTGGACGCGGCGCTCAGCTTGGCCGGCATGGCGAGGGCGTGCACCGAGGAGGACGCGGCGCGGCGGCCCAAGATGGCCGAGATCGCGTTCAGCCTCTCGGTGCTCGGACAGCCGCTGTCCGTCTCCGACGCGTTCGAGAGGCTATGGCAGCCCAGCTCGGAGGACAGCATCGGGATTGGGAACGAGGTGGCAGCTAGATAGATCAAAACACAGCAATGGGTATGTATAACACTGTTGGGTAGTGTTTGGTTGCAAGGTTTGGGATGGAATGCGATGGGACGAACCCACTTTTAAATAGGTTTGGTTTAGGGGTGAGCGGGATGGGTTGGTCCCTAAATAGAATAACTCTTAAATCCGGGACCAACCGATCCGGCAAAATCGAGCGGACGAACTCGTCCCACCTGAGATGGGCGCACGGCATGAGTCCCGTTGCTACTTTGCTCCTCGCATCAGTCACCTGGGGATGCTCGACGAGAGCACGTCGGGCTCGAGCGACAGCAGGCGGCTCAGTGACGGCGGCAGTGAAGTTTGGCGGTAGGGAGGGCGGCGGCGGTGGATCCGAAGGCCGGGGACTCGGCAGCGGCGGCAGATCCGGAGGCAAAGCACGACTAGCCATAGCACGCAGAAATAAAGGAGACCCAATAAGGGGCTCAATCGCGGACCAGTAAGACCCATGAACCAGCTAGACCAAAAGACAATGCCCTTACATATATCCCTGTCACGAGGACAATTATGTAAAATCATTAGCACACCAAAATTTAAAGGTTGTAAACCTATAAATAGATCTCAAATAATGTGTAATAGGAGATCCAATTTTAGAGAGAAACTAATATACTATTTATTATTTTCCTTTCCACTTAAAATGAAGCTTGACTTTGGTACAAGCGTTTGTCCTTCGATAACAGTGTGTCATGGCCCATATATATATATCTGGGCCTTAAAAATAAACTTGCGTTTGTACGAACTCAAATGTGATTCAATCCTTTGTCCAAGCATGCACTTTACATTGCTATCGACTTTTCATCTGCTACGGAATTGTTGCCACCAATCCACCTCCACAGCTCCACTACCTCCACTCCACCGATCAATCTGAGCCACTACGCCTATATTTAGGCGTGAATGGCAGAAGTTGGGCACGCGACGTCCGGCGCTGCTCGTGCCTTCCTCCGAATTCTCAACAAACTCCGCCATGTTCTCTCCAGTTCCCACCTAATATCTGAGGATATCACCAACGTCCATATAAACAAGATAATCACCGGGCAAATTACTGTTGCTGCTAGTTCACCATTTGCGCATTTCCTCTTCTATTACCCGCATTGTTCAACTGCCATTTCTCTCCTCAATTCCAAAAAAAAAACACATATTCATTTTTTTTCTCATTCGAGCTAAACCATTTCAATCCATGGAATTCGGACGAACTCCAGCCCTTCAAATCATCGTTGGTAAGTCTGAGAAACTTTCAGGTTAACTTTAGGCTGTTAGCATACATCTTCTTTATTCTTCAACAATGCGTGTCTCAATGCAGGGGTCCTATGGTCGCAGCTGCAGTTCGGCGCTGAGGCAGTCGGCACGACGGTCTTCACGCTGCGCAACAACTGCACCTACACCGTCTGGCCGGCCACCTTGTCCGGCAACACCGCGGTGGCCGTCGGGGGCGGCGGGTTCGAGCTGTCGCCCGGCGCCAACGTCTCGTTCCCGGCCCCGGCTGGTTGGTCCGGCCGCTTGTGGGCGCGCACGGACTGTGCACCCTCCGGCACCGCGTCCCTCGCCTGCGTCACGGGGGACTGCGGCGGCGCCGTGAGCTGCTCCCTCGGCGGCGCGCCGCCTGTCACCCTCGCCGAGTTCACGCTGGGCGGCACCGACGGGAAGGACTTCTACGACGTGAGCCTGGTGGACGGGTACAACGTCGGCATCGGCGTGGCGGCGACGGGCGCCAGGGTGAACCGCTCGACGTGCGGGTACGCCGGGTGCGTCGGCGACGTGAACGCGCTGTGCCCCGCGGAGCTGCAGGTGGCGGGGAAGGAGAACGACCAGCAGTCCGGGGCGGCGGCGACGACGACGGTGGCGTGCCGGAGCGCGTGCGAGGCGTTCGGGACGGCGGAGTACTGCTGCACGGGGGCGCACGGCGGGCCGGACAGCTGCGGGCCGACGAGGTACTCGCGGCTGTTCAAGGCGGCGTGCCCGGCGGCGTACAGCTACGCGTACGACGACCCCACCAGCACGTTCACGTGCGGCACCGGCGCGCAGTACGTCATCACCTTCTGCCCCGCGCAGCAGCAGTGATGATCACCGCAACAGACCTCAGGATTTCTGATTAGGCCATCCATCTCCGGTGATTCAAGTCCCTCTCTTTTTTTTCTCTTACCTTTGCTTCGTAGTAGTAGCCTAGTAGGTCGTGAATGACTGAATGCAAATTGTATCCTCTGTTTCGTTTTTAGGGATTTGCACTAAAAAATGGGTTGATCAGCGCTGATCTCTCTATTGTAGTACTGTGTAGTTGCATGGAGCCATTTTTTAGTTGCGAAAATCAAGCCACCATCCCCGTGACAAAGCGGGGGTTTAGTGGGGGCATGGAATCTTGGGCCTCGTAGGCTGATGGTTCGCCAACCAGGCCGACCGACCAAGTTACGCAATCACGGCCCAGCCTGTTAAGGAACAGAGTGGCTAGGTAGCGGGTAGCGAAGGAATAAGTTCACCGGAGGTCCCTCAACTTAACAGCGAGATTTTCTGAGATCCCTTAACCAAAAAACCAGAAATCTTCACCCCTAAACTATACAAAACCGTCTAATTTAGGTCCCAAGGCAATGGCTGGTTTTGATGACGTGGCATCCTAGTCAGCAAAAATAATAAAATAAATATGTGGGGGCCCACCTGTCAGTGAGAGAAAATGATGTGGGCCCCACCTCTCTTTTTTCTTTTCTTTTTCTCTTCTGTTCTCAACTTCTCAGCTCTCACGCGACGGCGGGATCGGCGGCTGGTGCCCATCTCTACCCATCTAGAGCCGCGGCGGGCGAGCGGGCGAGCGGCGACCTCGCTGTCGCCAGCCACGCCGCCTCCACGGTGCCGTGCACCTCCTCAGCGCGACACCGGCGGAGGATGCGGAGGAGCGGCCCACCCGCCGCCCGCCGCAGGCCGAGCGCAGGGAGTCCGCCAAGCTGCGCATCAACCGCGCCCTCAACCAGAGCGGCCCTGTCGGCCGCGCCTTCGGCAGCCGGTTCGGCATCGTTGCGATGCTCTTCACCAGGACCGAGAGTTTCATTCGCGACCAGTGCGACGTCGCCGACGACTGGGTCAACACCGTCGCCGCGGGGGCCAGCGCCGGGGCGCTCTACCGCATCGCGTCCGGCCCAAGGTCGATGATTGTCGCCGGCATCCTCGGCGGAGTCCTGTCCGGCGCCGCCGTCGCGGGGAAGCCGATGCTTCAGAGATTCGCACCGAAGCTATCCGCCAGATTGGACTATTTACTTTGAGTAAAATTTCAGGTTAATTACTACTCAGCGTTGTGCGCGCCTGGAGATGTTTTTATTCGTAGTATCTAGCAAATCTGATCTCAATTAATTCATAGTTTGTAACTGTTCATATTAATGGACAAACAAACACCACCGCCCGCCGCAGGCCCGCCCGAGGTGGACTGGTCCTTGAGGACGCGCTTCACGACGCGTGACGCCACGTTGGCCGTGTCGGCCGCGCCGCCCCTGCCACCGTCGTCGCAGCCGAGCGCCTGGAGCACCTGCCTCTGCGTCGCGCCCCGCGCGCCGCCCGCAGCCGAGCACCAGGGAGATGTGGACGACGAGGGCGGACACGGCCGTGTTCCCGGTCCCCGCGGCGGCGAGGACGCGCCACGCGAGCGGTAGGCAGAAGGCGCGCTGTGCCGCGGCCAGCTGCTACCGCCGGCGCCCCTTCTCCTGCCGCTCCTCTCCCCCACCGCCACGTCGCGCGCCGCTACTCTCCGCCGTCGAGCTCGCCATCATGCCGGCCGTCTCTCTCTCCCTCTCCCACTGCCGCCGCCGCCCCAGCTCTGCCGCCGGCCACCTCACGCGGAGTCTGCCGCTGCGCCTGCTCGAGAGAAAGAGAGAAGGGAAGAGAAAAAAAAAAGGAAAGAAAGGAGAGATGTGGGGTCTACACCATTTTCTCTCACTTACATGTGGGCCCCACATAATTATTATTTTTATTTTTTGCTGACTAGGATGCCATGTCAACAAAATCGGGTGCACATACTGCCATGGGACTTCTTTGCACGGTTTGAGTAAGTTTAGGGGTGAAGATTTCTGGTTTTATGGTTGAGGGATGTAAAAAATTCTCGCTGTTAAGTTGAGGGACCTCCAGTGAACTTATTCCGGTAGCGAATTAGCGACCCTGATCGTGGCCCGTCAGGGAACCTGATTACGGGCCCAGCCTATGAAGAAATTGGATCGCTATAGTGCTTGTGGGCCGTAAACACTTCTTAGTTACAGAAATGCTATTTCCTATACCAATATACCATCGGGATGGGATACATTTTGTCAACCTTTCCCATCCAAAGAGGAACGAGGCTGAGCGCCTGAGCCGTGAGGAGGAGGTGGCCGTCGGTGACTCCGGCGCAGGCTGGGGAAGAAGACCTGCTCGGCGAGAGGAGGGCGCGGCCGTCGGCGACATGGTTGCCGGATTGTCGCCTAGTGCTCGAGCACCGCTGCTCGCCGTCCACGGCACCGCCGTTAACGCCCACCTTCGGCTCCATCCGCGTGGCCAGCCGGTGCGCCCCAACTCCGTCGCCGGCCATGTGGCCGTTGGCGACGTGGTCGCCGGATTGTCGCCTGGAGCTCCAGCACCGCCGCCCGCCATCCACGGTGCCGCCATTAACGCCCATCCCCGGCTCCATCCGCGTGGCCGGCCGGTGCGCCCTCCGCCGGCGTCCCAACTCCGTCGCGGGCCTTCTTCGGTCGTCGCCTTCGTCGCCGGCCGTCGATCCCGCTGCTAAGTCCGGGCCTTTATTCTATCCATCTGCTGCTTCGAGAGAGCAAAGAGACAAGATGTGGTGCAAAGAGCTTATTGACTTGGTCATGGCTGACTGTTGAGTGTGGTAGAATCATCTTCTACGTGATAAGAATCGCATGATACCTGATAGGTATCATCTTCTACGTGGTAAAAATCACCTGATATCTGATAGGTATCATTTTCTAGGTTGTAAGAATCGCATGATACTTGTTAGTATCATCTGATACCTCACACGTATCACTTGATACGTTGTAGAATCGCATGATACCTGGTAAGGGGTATCAGGACATGATACATCACAAGCATCACCCACCACGTGGTAAAAATCGCATATCATCTGATACCTCGTAAGTATCATCTGATATGTGGTAGAAACGCACCTGTCCTGATACCTACCCGGTTTCATCTCGTTTTTGAACGTGATACCGGTATATAGCAGCCCTCCTTAGTTAACATGTAGATTTCTGAAGAAAATGTAGCGCAAATCACACATGAGTGGAAACTTAAACTATTGTTGAATCTAAAATTGAACGCTTGAGATTTATCCGTGTTATCTGGAGAAAAAATTTTACTTAGTGATTCAACCAATTTTTCAGATTTCTGACCGAATAAATGGCTGCTGGTACAGCTGGACATCATGGACTCACCCGAGTCCCGGATCGTCCACGTCTCAAACTACGTGGAGTACAGTATTACTGTACTACTCCTAGCTGGCAACTACGCACGCGCTCGACGTCACACCTAATTAGCCACACCAAAAAAAAAAAAACACCCTGCTGCTGCTGCTAATGAACGTGCGTGACGTGCTGCTGCCTCAACACGATGGCGTCGCGCGCCGCGACGCCGTACCGTGCTCCTCCTCCCACCTGCTCCTTCAGCGCCTCGTACCGGGCGACGTCGAAGCTGCGCGCCCGCATGAGGCGTCGCTGCCTGGACGCGAGGCGGCTGCGGTAGAAGCCCTCGAAGGACGGCTCCGTGGAGGTGCGCATGAAGAAGGCGTATCCGGACATGAAGTAGAGCGACGTGACGTAGAAGCAGACGGGCTCCATGACGTCCCACGAGAGCTCCCAGAAGGTGAGCCGCATGAACCCCAGCGTCTGCGCCGCCAGGAGGCCCAGCCCGCACCACAGCTCCCGCCGCACCTGCGCCGCCGCCGCCGCGTCGATGCCCGCCTTCTCCTCCTCCATCGCCCGCAGCTCCTCCTCCTCCTCCCGTTTCTTCCGCACTTCGACGACGCTTGCTGCAGCTCGCGTCGCGTGTGCCGTCGCCGGTATCATGCTCCCGATCGCTTTCGCTATCTGCACGACAACGGAGACACGTTAGTGTGGGACGTAATTTGCAGGTGTTCGATCATGGATTGTGTGTTTGTGTTTCGTGAGTGCGTAACGAAAGACGTACGTACCATGTCGGGGCGGAGGAAGACGGCGTCGCCGAGGACGATGACGACGCCGGAGTCGTCGAGCGCGCGGGCGAGCCTGCGTCCTCCCTCGGCGCCGCCGGCAATGTCGACGCAGAGCGCGGCGAATTCCGACCCGGACACGACGCTCTGGGCGTTGGACCTCAGCCTCGCCCGCGCGACCTCCATCTCCGCCGCACGCGCCACCTTCCTCGCCTCCTCCACCGTCACGCCCACCCCCTCCTCCTCCGGTGGCCGCGTCACGGCCGTCGTAGGCGGGACCAGCCCGTCGAGGCGGAGCCGGTTGAACAGCTGGTCGCCGACGGGGAGGGCGGGGAAGCAATGGGCGGGAAGCGGAACGGACGCCGTGGTGTACCGGATGGTTCCCGGTCTGGGCCGCAGGTACGCGAGCGTCGGGCAGTCGTCAACCGCCGGCAACGGCCGCCGCGCCGGAGGTTTTGGAGCCGCAGCCGCCGGACAAGCGGCGGCGGCGTTCGCGTTCTTCCCCGCCCATATGCCGCGTGCTAGTGTTCGTCGGAACGCCATTTTCTTCGCCTCTCCGAGCAGGCAACCAAAATATTTTGCAGATTTTGTGTTGTGTACGTACTCGTGTTACGTGACAGAGATGAGAGATGGCGGCAACTGCTGGTTGGTTGGTTTGGAGTTGGCCGATGAATCGACACGATTTTGACGAGGAGTGAACGGCAGCCGCGGGTCGGTATTTATATTGGGCTCACCGGTGACGCGGCGGATAGGGGTCGTTAGCTCCAGCGGCGCGCCAGAAATTAAATTAAATTAATTAAGGGGCGTGTAACACGGCGCACGTTATTATTAATCTGACCTCGACGCGACGATGCGTCCAGGCAAAACTGTACGCTGGATTTGGAGAGACCTTCTCAACGATTGACTCGTCGTGGGAAATGCTACACGTACGTACCGACTAATTTGGATGTCGATGACACGTACATGTTTGGAGATTTTACCGGGTCCGTCGGGGCCGTACAGGAATGTGGACGAGGACGACCTGGTTGAAGCAACACGCCCTTGTGCAAAGGAAACCAACGAACTGAACATGTCAAGGAAATCAACTCGCTACTTAGCTTCGAATTGATTTTAACCCATTTTTTTTCTCAAATATATATAAACACATACACTCGTGTACGGATGTACGGATAAGAGCATTCCCAGCAGCTCATCTAAATTTCATCCTCCATACTCCTATTTGGATGGCCATCCAAAAAGATTCATATTACATCCTACATATACCAACATCCTATATTTTACTAATATTTTTCAACTACCACACATTTTTACTCCTATTTTTCTCACCTTTCACCACTTAAAAAATAATCTTGGGAAGTGGGTGGTTGAGGATGGAGTGAGGAGAGAGAACCTCCATATTTGGCTTGGGAAGAGCTAAGTTTGGAGGACCTCAAAAAATAGAGTATGTGATGGAGACTCTGTTGGAGCACTGTTTTTCTTCTCCATACTTCAAATATCGGATGGATGACTAGATAGAGGAGCTGCTGGGATGATCTAAGTTGATTTTGTGATACTTGATGATCGATTAATCAGTCAGTATTTCGATGCTCGTCGAATGTAGTCAAATGATCGATTATGTAGCTTTTTCCTGGGCAGAACTTGTGCCAAATGTGCGCAGAGCAAGCGGCTGCTGACCTAACCGAGATAAGACCACAAGGTGTTTTCCATGTCTATCCTTGATGAGAAGCCTGGAAGAGGTGCATATGTCCAAGAGTCGTGTTCTGGAGTACTGAACATATATCCCCATGACCTCATCGCTTAGCTAGTTCACAAGTCAAACAAGTTGTTCGATTGGCGATTGCTAACGGCTGATCGAGCTGACAGACATTGGATAGGCATGGCAATTTTATTATTTAACCTTCGAACAGTTATGCTAGCAGATATATCTATTTAGTACTGTAATGCTTACTGGTTTAGTACATGTGGGCAAAAAGAACAGGAAAATATGAACTACGGTTCCTTATCAGATCACATTGAGCGCGTAGGCTGACGTTGAAATTTTAGCCATTTTCATGTTATTGCTATTTTCAACACTACCAACTTTAATTTCGGCAATGCCAATTTCAGTAAGGTAACAAAATTCAAACAAGTTTTAGTGTCTGCTTAGATTTTAGCCAAAATAAACCTTACCAAATTTTGGCAATTTGGCAATATTGCCAAGTTTTGACAGTATTTCTTATTTATTTACTAGAGTTGGTAAGAAATTAAATGGATGTATATATTTGACAACTTTACCAAAAAAAAAGGCATTAATTTGAACAAGCCCCTAGATAATAACCTATCACATCCTACCATGCAAAAATTTAGTAATTTTCTAGAATCTTCTTCACATAGCTTCATAGAAAAATATCTGGGAAGGGAAATAAACTAAACAACAACTACTTAGTGTCGACGGGGGATACCCGTAAACCGGATATATAGGGTATTGGGGTCCGTTGGCACGAGGATCTATGTAATACGACATCAAACAAACAAAAGACAATGATTATACTGGTTCAGACCCCTTAGTAGGTAATAGCCCTAATCAAGTTGATATGGGATTATATGATGGAAACCACGGATTACAAAAGGAATAGCAGAACTCGATGATACCGACGATACCGTAGTCGAGTAGGTCCAACTAGATCTCCCGGCGACTTGGCTCCTATGCGCTCCGGCTTCGTAGGCTGTGGTGGGTGTGTTGGCGGTGAGATTCGATGCCTTAGGTCCTGCCCAGGGGGTCCCTTTTATACCGCGGGTCAGTTGATCTCCAAGTAGGACTCGGAGATATCGGACCTCTCACGATATGGTAAAGACCCAGTCTTTGTCTGAGCAGAACTCTTTCCATCCGTAGATACCATATCTATCACGTGATAGATTTCCTTAATGTATACGGGAACTATCTGTATACGCGCGGGTATACCGTATTAGTATACAACGTATATCCAAGGATAGAGGGTATACCTTATCCGTAACCCTGACACTTAGCGTTATCAAATCTTACCACTACTTAATGTTGCCAAATCTTAGTATTGCCAAAAACTTTGTAGGATTGAAAATAGTAGTAAACTAAACATGCCCTTCATATGTGCAACATACTCCCCCTCATTATAAGAAAAATGTTGTTTTAGGTATTAACATAGTCTTTAAGATACAAATTTTTATTACTACTCCATCCGTTTATATTATAAGATGTCTCGACCCTTTTTCTAGTTAAACTTTTTAAGTTTGATCAATTTTATAGAAAAATACTAACATCTATAATATCAAATAAATTTAGCTAAATCTAGCACTAAATATATATTGATAATATGTTTGTTTTGTGCTAAAAATATCGCTATGTTTTTCCTTTAAACTTGGTCGGTCAAACTTCTTTAAGTTTGACTAGAAAAAAAATCAAAGCGTGATATGATATGAAACATATATGAATAATTTATATTGCACCTTATTTTAAAATTTGATGAACTAGCAGTGTTATGAAAAAAAAAACTTTTCACCACCAATCTACATATATGATTTTTTATATATCCAAATAAATATTTAAAAGGTACTAATGTTCAAAGTTCCAAAGATTTTACTGCATAACAATGTAATTCATGACCAGCATTCAACAACTGAGGGCTTAAGTTCATTTCAGATTATTTACCGGATTATTGAAACTGATTGTTTGCTCCAAGTTTCAAAAATATACGTTTTCTAAAAAGAAAATTCTACTTTAGACTTAATTTTATTTATTAAAATATTTAATTTAGTCTCATAAGCAAGTAGATAATTCAAATCAACAATACCAACAATATGTTTTAAATTGAACCTAAGTCTATGATGATAGACTCCTACGACTTTCACAATTTCCTTTTTACTTGAGACTTTCACATTTTCGATGTTCAAACAAAAGGTAAACCATAGCAACCTTGAAGTTGGCCTAAACTACCGTGGCAAATTTGCCGATACACGCTAGGAGGGTATTATATGTGTATGAGGATTTTATGTTTTTTTTCTCGATTACATGGAAGATGCATTCATACACACCACTCTTATGTACCCGTGATTGCATTCTCTATTGTACGCTAAAAAGACAGATTAACAACATCTCCTTAGTTACTAAAATTCTATTCTAAGTACATCGGCCTGTACGTAATGTTCACTAGAATTTGAACCCTAAAAGGTGGAGTCACGCTCACGCACCCATGACTCATTGATCACACAACTAGTGCTTCTGTGGATTTTATGTATTCTGGTTTTGATATTTTCCATTTGTACCTAAAAGAATGTAGTTTTATCATTCAAAAGACAAATCAGTAGATGGAAAGTAAATGACTTAGACATTATTAAATGAGGAGAGGTGCTTTGTAAGATGGGGAGAAAATTGAATAGGATGGTTTGGAAGCAAAATATTACCTTGTACTAATTGTTTTCTTCAATGAAATTTTAATGTTAGAATTGTATTCTTGTAGTGACGGAGGAGTATTTGTAAGTTCTACTGATATATAACTCGTATATATATCTCGTATGTGGTACAACTCCCAATCATTTCAAAATGTAATTTTGAAGTTTCCATATTGTGCGATACACAACTAAATTACATTCTTTTTTAGCATAACGAAAATGTGCACACACAATTATACACGAGAAATAGATTATTGGCACACACAACGAAAATGTTTTTTCGAGTCAAGTATGAAAACAAAAAACAATTATAAAAATATGTAGCTTAATTAACTGGTTAGGTTTCTTTTGTTAAAACTTATCCAGTTTAATTAATTTATAGGCACGATATGGATATTTAGATTTGCAACTAATTATTCTTTCACTGATAGACGACGTATGTATTTCAGAGGTGTTAATTTATAGGAGTAGGTTGTATTGTATGCATATTGATAGAAGTGAGTGCGCGTCTTTTGTGAGTGTCTATGATTTTTACTTTTTAAAGAACCAAATAGAAAACGATGAAGGAGTATAAGTCGAGTGTGATCTAAGACATATCAGTTGACGATGAAAAAGGTTGTCATAAAATACGTTTAAAACAAAATGTCCGATTCGCAGTTAACCGACCCCTGGTACCACAGAATTTGTGACCCTTCACATTGCCAAGGCTCAAGAAATAAAAGGTGATCTTTCAAAAAGAAATAAAAGGTGGCTAAAACAAATGTCTGACTCTTCATTCGAAACTAAAAAATCGTTGACTAGTAGTAGCTCTTTGCACCGGATCTAGCCTAACAGAATTTGACCCTTCAAATTAGCAAGGCTCACCTTAATCCTCTTGCGATAATCCATCATGAATTCATGATTACGAAGCGCACCTTTGTATTTTAAATTTCAGAATTGTTACAGCCTCCTCTGCATTGATCAGGCTGTTGACAAATGTAAAGCTGGAGCCATGGCAAGTTGCTGCAGATGCGCGCGCACATCAGAAAAATTTGCTAAGAAACCACACACTCCTCCAGTGGAAGCATAGGCAGCCAGCACTGCGCGTCTTTGCCTGATGCAAAGTTAGGCAGCACAAAGCAAGCAATGCTGATGATCTTGCGGTGGATTCGCCCTCCGGAGAGATGACTTCGCTTCCACAACTCCCGGAACATATCCCACCCAACCGTTACATTAGCTGATACTGATTCCACTGACAAGTGAAGTGACAACATGCGGGCAGCCACCACCAAATTAAAACTGT